GGCTCCCATTCTAAAAATCCATTTTCTTGGTTTCTAGATCTTCATCGTCAGATAGATCTTCGACCTTGCTTGAGGTCTGTTCATCGTCAGGCTTAGTTCGCCTTACCGGTTGCTTTCCTTTATCTTTCTTTCGGGCATCTCCGGTCTTCTTGGGATGACATTCAGGGTCATTGGCATGATGTCCTGCTTTGTGACAAAGGAAGCATAATCCTTTCTTCATATGTTCGGTTCTGGCTTCATTGGTCATGTGATCCACGTCCATGGCATTAGGATTGTGGGATCTGGTGGGTGTGTACCATGGGGTCATTTTCCGGTTATTCTGAGAAGTGTGGTGGGATCAGTGGGACATCAGGAGTTGGTAAGCAGACTCCATGTTGACAACCTTTTTGACAAGGCCATCAAAGGTGTCAGGGATATCTCTGGAGTCACAGATTTTCTGGACGACTTTGGGTTTCAATCCTTGGAGGAAGTAGTCTTTCTTGGCAGCGAAGTTCGTGATTCCAGCTTTGCCACAAAGCTGTTTGAAGGTGTTGATGTACTCGTTGACATCCATTCCTTGTTTGAGGTTATGCAGTTTGTGCAACGCAGTACCTACGGAGTCGATGGGGTTAAAGGAGGCAGCAAAGTCATCCAGAAACTTTGCCCAAGTTCCATAGCCATGAGGCTGACTGGTTTCTAGGTTGATCTCCATGGCATGGTTGATGAAGTCTTCCATCCATGTGGCTGCTGCGCCTTCCTTGAAAAAGGAGAGGGCAAAGGCAATCTTCTCAGTATCTGTTTCATAGATCTTCTCATTTATAGTGAGATATAGGTGGATGAGTCAGATAAACTTGGAGGAGGTGTCTCTTTCTCCATTGAAGTTAGGGGGGGTATCAATTTTCTTTTCTACTGGTTTAGGCATGTCGTCTTCTTCGTCTTCTGAGGGTTCTTTGTCAGGGTCAGGTGTGGGAGCTTCATATCTTGCTCTGTATCTCGGTTGGGGTTCTGGTGTGTCAGGGATTTCTTTGTCTTGGTCTACGACGAGAGGAATTGGTTTGGGAGCAGGTGCTTGTCGAGCAACGATGTCTCCAATGAATACTCTGCTGCCTCCAGGAATTGATGATGGTCCTGGCTGGTTTAGAAGAGAAGCAAAGGGTCTAAAGGAGTGGCAGAAGTGATTAGAGCAACAGGAGGTCACATAAAGTATCATAATTATAGAGATTGTGTTGATCAAACTGAAAGTCAAAAAAGTGTCTCAATGAGTCACCAAATTCAAATAGCCATATCTGCACATGATAACATCAGATTCCCACGCTACAGGGAGCATAAATGAGGCTGAGAAGTATAGCATTATGACACCTCCCTACGGCATAGTCATATTCCCACACCCTGGCTCATAATAAAGCAATTACATGAAAAGTCAGAAACATCGAGACACTTTTTTGAGCCACTGTATGTGCTACGATATATGAACTACAACTGTGATAGGAGAAAAGAAAGCCAAAAAACAGGGATTCACAATGTAAGTAGTGAATTCAAGCCAGTCAAAACTCCAACGGAACTTGCCAACAGCTGCTCAACCACTCAGCCGGCCAGCCTCTCAGCCACTTCGGGTATCTCTGGCGGAGTTCAATTCTCCGTGTTCACTACTTAATACTCCAAACCTTACTTTATAGGTTTTCTTTTCCCATCATCTCGTCACTTTAATGGTAGTCAAAGTATAGCCTTAATATAGTTCTGATGTAGAGTCTTGATCTCAATGTTAATGTAGTACTTACTTAGAGTTGCGGCATCAATATCAATGTTCTTGTAGTCCCTGCTCCATGAAAACAAAACAACAAGTCCCCATTATGTGTCATCCCGCCAGCAATTAATTGATGCGCGCCAGATCAGCATCACGCACTGCCACTCAAATATATGATCCCCTATTGATCATTGCGGTAAGCTCATTTACCCCCCGTTCAAGTTTCTTTAATGAGTCATGACCGGACCACTCTAGGCCATAGCATTTGACGTATGTTCCCTCATCAGTCCATTCCGTCCATAGTCAACCTCAAGTTCAAGGTCGTCTTTTTTATTCTACATCAAAGCCCTAGCGCTAACATGCATATATAGGGGTAAAAAGCCTTTTGTTTGGCAACACCGAGTCACCCACAAAAACTCGGAAGGTAATTACCTTCATCACATCAAATCTTGTTTGACCTTTTTACTAACCCCTTCCGTAGGTGTGCATCAATGTAGCATCATACCTCAAGCAGAGCCAACACCTCGAGAATCTTTCCTGGTGGCTTTGTCACTATTGGTTGACGCCGACAATGCAATGCAAGTCCAAATTTGAACATGGTGGGTTCTTTTCTCTCTAGGCCTATTTGATGCACATTCCCTCATCAATCCATTACATCCATAGTCAACCTCAAGTTCAAGGTTGTCTTTTTTATTCTATGTCAAAGCCCTAGCACTGACATGCATATATAGGGGTAAAAGCCTTTTATTGGGTGACACCGAGTCACCCACAAAAACTCGGAAGGTAGTTACCTTCATCACATCAAATTTTGCTTGACCTTTTCAAGGACATTTGGATTACACCTTCAGTGGGTGATGTTCCTCGTTGGCTGGATGATCAGGATGTCCGTGATGGGATACGTGCTATGTTAAAGCATGATAGATGCATCGAGGAGCAGAGATGGCTTGGGCTAGAAGCTGACAACCTTTGCAGGTGGTTTGGCGATGAACTCACTGCAATAGAACTCGCTCTACAGTTGCCTGGAAGTGTGTACTTTTCTTGATGTCATCTTTGATACATGCACTAATTTCTTCACAGATATCAGATTTTCCATCTTACTGCGTCAGCAGTGGGAGCATCTCTGACATCTCCAAATTCGCTGGTCCAACCCACTTGCGTCACCATCATGATTTGAATCTTGCGCAAGACATGCTGAATCATTGGCGATGCAGATCTCAGGTGCCTCCCAAGAAAGTGCACTTCAATGGGTTCCATTGATATCATGCACCACTTCCGTGGAGGAGGAAGAGGGCGCCGAGGATCCAGAGGTTGCCGCTACATCCTTTAATGATCCTCCACCCGAACACCTTGCCCTCGATGACATCATAAATGTTGACACTCTTGACAGTGAAGACGAAGAGGACATTGATATCCCAGCTGACCCTCATGCTCTCATCACCTGGCACACTCCCAAGGTAAGCCATCTTTCCTTACCAGGTGCCCATGCATTCATAGTTTATCTAGCCAGTTATTATTGACGCAGTACCACCGATGAATGAGACTACTGTTATTATCCCTGGAATCATCAGAACTGTGGTATGTCCCGCCCACGATGCATTCCCACAGCAAATTTTCAAACCAAAGGACATCAAGATCCTCGCATCGCCTACTTCCCTGCTGAACAATAGCCTCATCAACGGTTGTGCAGTGTTGCTTTATTTAGACTCTTTACAAGCTTCTCCTGCTGTCAAACAATATGCTATTTTGTCCACGCATGACCTCCCCCGCATTCGGTACAATGCATCAGACGACATGCTTTGGCGCAGCATATCACAGACTAATTATTGGACCAAGGATGTATGGATTATACCAATCCATAGGCCCTCAGGTGTCGGTCATTGGGTTTTGTGTATTGTGCACCTCCAGAGCAAGGAGCTTCATCTCTTTGATAGCTTCGCTGAGCAACGACCTTGGAAGAGTGAAGTCAAAGTGAGTACTAACATAGCATTTCTTTCATTAGACTTAATGCATCTAGGACATCATGAAATTAATTGTTCGGCTTTTCAATATCGCTCGGCAACATCAATGTGTGTTCAAATTCGACATTGACTTCCATGGTTGGGTTGCGCGACCGCTGATAGTAAGTATGTTATACATCAAACGTACACTTCTCCTAATTTACTATCAGAAGACTGCGGTTCAGACTAATGGCTATGACTGTGGCCTATGGGTGCTTGCAATGATCGCAGCAACTTTGCATGGGTGCCACTGTATGGGTTTGAAAGAAGACCATATGTCCATGTTTTGTCACTACCTTCATACACTTGTGGTATTAATGTGTAGCTAAATGTATGGCTCAAGTCCGTTCGACATTTTCTCAACCTCAGTGTGATAGAGATAAATCCTGCGCGCATGCCATTGCAAGAGGCATTTGGCCATCTTAAAGTGTCTATCACAGTCCTTTGTACCAGAAACATAGTCTTGTAATATGTACCACTGTTCCAGCAATGAGCTAATAGCACCTTTCAACTCTGTGCAAAGACCTTCTGCTCCTGCGTTGTACTTCTGTATGCATTGTTGTAGCTCCTCCTTCTCCAAGCGTGAGTTACAGCCGTGCATGACCTGCACAAGGTTTTCTGTGAAACGAGCCTCTGCTGGAGTATCGGATGGAGGAGGCATAGTGTAGAGTGGATTATGATCCTATTGAGGGAGCTCTGACTTGTCAAGATTATCACGGCTTTGGGAAGCGAGATGAAATAAATCACCATCCGGAAGGGAGGCGAATGCAAGGTTGATGAGATCTTGAGGCAAGGGTGAAAGGTGGTATGATACTAGAGGTGGCTTTGATGAGCCTTTGCGGCTATGTGCTGTGGTGTAGTTTTGAGAATGTCGAAGTCAACAAATAGCTTTCCCCCTGCAAATAACAATGAATACTCGTTGTATGCTGCATAGTATAATGATGTACCTCTCGGACTGTGCATAGTTCACCTTCTGTCGGTGCAATGCAGCAGTTTTCTCTGCCAAGGTTAGATATTTGGCTTTTCGACCCATAAAGATGGTAGAGAGACCCAAAAGACTCAATGCAAGTGTATGCACAATTAGCTACTTAGTATATGGTTGGGCCTCCTTTCACTCGAATGTTGGGAGATATTGGTACCAATCAAACCAGCAAGCGACACAGAATTCAAAAATCATCATCCACAAAGTCTGCGTGAAGGCAAGCATAGATGGGACATGTTTTTCATTTTTCTTGAACTGTATTTGAATGCTTATTGGCTAATCAATTAATCATGTTGCGATGCCTCAGACCTCCAGCAGGCAGCTGCTCCTCCAGGTGCTCCAGTGCCTCCCACCTGACTTGAGGATCCCTCAACCAATATTTGGCGAGTATGATACTCTCTTGAGCGAGCGGTGTCTTGTCACCCAGGTACACAGTCAATTGCTGTCGATCTTCCTCGGCCAGATTAGTCTATGTGCAAGTTAGCGAGTGATTTGGAGAGATGCCTGCTATTGCATTTGGCTTTCCGCAAGCCAAATGCAATAGCAGGCATCTCTCATTTCTTCTCAGACGAGCCTTTTCAACCATTGAGCATGCTCTACTGATTCTCACGATTTTTCCCCCAGCAGACCATGTCGACGACCATACCATTTGTCATTGAGTGTGTTTTCACTTCACCTCAAGTCATCTTTATCAATAGTGCACTCTCCACAGGAAGACCAGAGCTCACCATCATCAATCAGAACCATCCTTGATACGAGAACACTGTGAGATCATTGGCAGACTTGTCTGTCCTTCATGTATACAAGGCCGTTTTCTACAACATTCCAGGTGAGTCATTTAACAAATGTGTCCTTCTCATTAAAATATCATAATATATCAGTAGAAGTCAAACCCCGTCAAGAAGTCTTCTGTGTGACGCGTGGGGCTTACATTGGTGTAGTGGCAGGCTGGTGAGCACAGATTTTTTCGAGGCGCATGTTGTATTTAATCTTTTTGACATAGGGAGAATGCACTTAACTGCATTCTGGGTGTCCCTGGCGCCGTTCACTATCGTGTTGATTCCATCGCAATTGGCGAGGAAAAAATCAGAAATGCAATTGATGAAGCACACATTGAGATGGTGGAACCCTGGGCATCCCCAGACTTGTAAAGTAGTTACTACGTAGTATCAATTGAAGTCTTGCTCGAATTGTGTGCGAGCATGTACAAATGAGGCTCGCGAGGATGAAACGGAGGTTCCTGTAGGTCATATTAATTTGGTGAAGATGAGTGAGAGGCTCGAGAGGCTCACAGTTCACAACTGCAGGCTGCGAACTGACAAGCTCATCAACTTCTTGTTCTCCGTCCTCCATGTCACTGATAATGGCGATCTGTGGGATGAGCTGCCTGTGACCGGGTCCAATGAGAGAATGTTGTTGATTCGCCTTCGACTTCCATGTGGGTGGCACCGGTGGGAGTTCTATGAAGACTCAGAGTCTGCACGGATTAGCTGACGTGGCATTAGAACTTGAAGCAGAAGTATTGCCCAGACGGGTCAGCCCATGCCTGTCTATCTGGCCATTGACAAACTCTCATTGGCCGTGAGTATGACGTGAATTTGCAGTGGGCGCTTCTCCAACAATGACAGGGACACGTGATTTTGCGAGACTTTTGTGGGCATCTGTTGCAATAGATTTGATGGTGAGGACATTATTCTTGAGGGCATCCGCAAGTTTGAAGCGCTCAAGGGTGGTGAGGTCATTGATGCCCTTGCTCCTCGCAGTTGTTGGACGTCTCTCGCCGGGCATAAGAATGTCTTCAGGGTAGTTTTCAAGGATGTACCCATGATGGGCTAGAAACTGAGGCAGAGTCTTCCACAGGATGGTTCCTCCTCGGCCTTCCAGGGGCCCTGTATAATATTTAGCTGTTCTACACTACAAACTGACTGTGAGACTTACCGAGAAGTGCTGTGAGCCCACCAACGATGCAAGGTATCCCCTCAAGGAGCTTCCATCCCTCAGGATCCCGGACCTCTCGCGTCTCCATCCATTTATCCAACACTTCCTGCTCATTGACCTTGTAGCGCGACAACACACGTTGGAGAATTGTGTCAAGCTGCGTGAAATCCATGAGTGCAATTAGTGTAAGCTTAAGAGGGAGTAGTGCGGAGAATTGACATTGACAATACATCGATAAGATGTGTGCTTCCATGATAATCAATGACTTCGTGAATGCTGGATGAAGTAATAATCCGTGAGGTAATTGATGGCATACATTTCAGCCCTCCAAAACCTCCCACAGGCTGTCCCAGCCCGCGACTCTCAATGGCATGTTGTCATTCCTCCCCTCCCATCAAAATTTCTCTCTGCAGTGTTTCTTGCTTGACAGCCAATGCCAGGCAAAGTGAAATAAAGACTCACATGATGCTTATTGGCTGATTAAGGTGCACGCGGGAACCTCATGTCTGACCAATGTCTTAACCTCCCGCACCCTCAGATGCTCCAGTGCCTCCCTCCCAAGTTGGAGGATCCCTCGTGTTACAGTTCTATCTTTTCACTTCTTCACGTTGTCACATATGCTTACTCATCATTCCATAGTATTCTATTACATTCTATCGTACGATTCTCTTTCTCTTTTTCCTATTTGTTACTCATATTAAAGCTCCGCTTCAATACCCTTATATATACCATACTTTCTACGCTTTGTATCTTTAACTTGACCTATGCAGACCAGGGCCTGCAATCTAGCTTCATCTTCATCAGAACATTGACTTTGACTTTGATCCTTGAACGTTAAGACGTCTAACCAACGCCGAGCGTAACACCTCGTCATTTAGCCATTTCCATGGTTTTTCGAGCCTTCCTGGAGGAGTGCGCTTATGTTATATCACAAAGGTACGCAGTGAATTGCTGTCAATCTTCTGTTCTAGTAACTTTTGGTCAGTGAGTCCCTATGGAACACGAGCATTCTGGTACTCTCCCAGAAATATGAAAGGCATGGAAGCATCACACACACTTTTTTTGTGCCTTTTTTCCTCCCACTCGTATTGCCGTCAGTAGAATCAATGTCGCCCTCGAGCATTGCTAGTATTTGCTTAGACAAAGGTGAGTGCATCTTGAGCTGCACCACTTATCACTGACCTATGTTGCATCAGACAGTCATTTTAAACACGGACTAGCCTCTCTGGCACACCTATGGAACCTCACTCTGAGCAAATCGGCAGAGGGCGTCAAAAATCACCCCCCCTGTCCAGACTCCTACCAAACTTCGCACTCACATAAGACCCACCTCACGCGATGGTGGTCTTGTCCGAAAAAGCGCCCGCAATAGAGCGAAGCTGCTTCCAGGCAATGGCTCTGATGGCCATGCATCAGATGGCGTGCCGAGTTCACACTTAGAACACTTCTCTGGTGGTTCTTCCCAAGGTCTGCTGGACGTGCTTCGTGGGGTACGTGTACCTCCAGGCACCTTCTTAGAATTTTCTAGATGCAGTGCGTCATGCGAGCGGTCGCCTGTGGGACCTCACGAGCCTCACTTCATGCAGGAAGTATTCCCAGCACCCTGTGAGGTGATTCTTCCTCAACCACCCCCGATCACTATGCAGGGACAGACCCAACAAGATCTGCCCATCCGCAGCGGTGAACAAGATACCTACGACTTCTCGTCACTTGATTTCCCAGCCCCATCATGGGACCCTATGGCTGGAGGATTGTTCAATGTCATGCAGCCAGCCAACCTTTTCATACCGCACGAGAGTCATCCACCAGAACATAATACACCTCCACATGTTCCACTCCTACCTGTACTCAATATTCCTGCAACCTGTGTCATCCCTCCCACTCCCACCAACCCTGTCATGATGGGAAACCTCACGATGGACACCCAGGGAGGGCCTTCAGGTGCCGCCGTCGTTGGTCAGAGGTCAGAAGATGCCAACACTGCAATAGAAAAACAGTTTGACCTCATCGATTGCGCCATCAATGAGCTTGTAGTCTCGACTGGCATGCCAACGCAGCAAGTTTTGAATCTATTCCTCAAGTCTCGGGGCCGCATCAATAATGGAACAAATTACTGGAACATCTACGGGCAATACTTCAAAGCTTATCGCCTGTGCGAGCTACAGTGAGCTGGCAAAGATGCGAATGTGATCAGTAAGTCTGTCTTTTAGTTCAGTGGTTCTGACTCATGTTGGGATGCAGTCACATTGACCATCCAAGGCGAATGTTATATGTAGGTCCTTCCAGGATGCATATGCTGATGATTGGCAAGACATCCTCAACACATTTGATGAGACACGGATCGCTTCAGGCCCACCTCTGACTGTTGCACAATGGTCACAAGAATTCACGAGGTTGACAAAGAAAGTAACATCCTTGGTAAGTCTTACATTGTTTACTTAATTTTCATGTGCTGATGGAGCATCCAGCTGGATCTGGCCACCGCAAAGCATGGCTTCGAAGCAGCGCTGCTTATGTGCGGGAAGGTCGTGAATCAAGATGCATCAATTGGCTACATACACATGACCCCTGGTGCAGAGGAGGTAAATTTGAGCCATCAGTGTACCATAGGCCTTGCTGACTGCGTGTTCTTTTAGTTTTGGGCTTCCCGATGTCGTGCTGATGATAACACAATGGTGGGGCATTTTAAGGCCCATGTATAGTAAGTCAATCATATTTTCTTGTCTCAATACTTCAACTGATGTTTTTCCAGCCACCTGGCTTCTCTTGCCGTTGTTGAGGATGTTTATGGTGAGGGCGGACTTAAACCTTCCAAAAAGAATATAGCATTGCCTGGGCGGCGCACACGCATGCCAGGGGTAATAGAAGATGATGACGAGGTACAGGAGGTTCCCAACAATGTCGATTGGAAGACACTGGCCGACCACATACAATGCATCAAAGTTGGCATAACCTCAATGTTCAGTGACCTTGGCGGGAAGTTAACAGCATGGTCAGGAACTTTCCCATGGAAACTATTGCCTGCCGAGCTGGCGCATCACTGGTTTGTGATGAAAGGGTATCCTGAAGACATGTTGATGCCAGGAGAGCCACGTGTAACGGTTGCACGACCCAAAGGCATCAGCGACTTCGATAAACGTGAACGTGTCATACTTGCGGATGCCTTGCGATCAGGCAGATTGACCATTGAATGACAAAAAAATGGAGACTTGAGTACGTGCAAATCAGTCCACTTCCAATACGGCTAGCTAATCATTTTATAGACCAAACATCCCCTATTATATTCAGCGAGGCCCCTCCTGAAGATTCCTTACATTCGTGTGGTCGTCACATGCTTGTTGATGGCACCATCGATCGTCAGGGAATCGCTCGTCGTGGACCAAGTGCAGCAAGCACAAAGGTCAAGAAGCTGAAGCCCTCAACATGCATGGAAGGCCATTGTGCATGGAAGGCCATTGTGCATCCCCCATTCTCATAGATGACACGCCTCCACAATCCCAAACAATCCCTAAGCAGAAGCTTGTCCCAATTGTCGAGATCTGGAATTGTCCTCCTCCACGTCCATTGAAGGCTTCAAAGGGAAAGAAACCTGCACACGAGGTCATTCCTGTCGACATGTCCAGCGATATACAGGTCAGCTCTGAATCGGATGCCGAGGATGAGTTCAAGGAGGACAAAGACGCCCTTGAGAGTGAAGACTCAGAGTATGAAGATGAAGTCGCCACTTCTCGTAAACGCAAGGTGAAGGGAACCAGAGGCCATCGCTCACATAAGCAACGTGCTCCATCAAGCAACGTTCAAGTTGTTGAACCACCTTGCGAGGGGAGAAAAGCCGTCAAGGGCAAGGGAAAAGCGGCTGACAAGGATACTGGCAAGGAGCAGAAGATCGCAAAGAAAGTGCACTATGTCTCCGTCGCAACTGAACCAGACACTGAACAGGATGGTGAGCAAAGTCCCTTGCACTATATGATCTTAATAACCCTCCTTCCAGGACACAAAGCTTTATGTCTTCGTGATGGCCCACAGGACTCGTTGCAACCACGCACTCAATGCGGTAAGTACTACATTGGTTTCACTACTGGGAACAGCGCTTATCATTTCATAGAACTTCCAAAGCCCAAACAAGTCATTCCAGGATCATCCGAAAGTGCACGCCAAGCTGTGCTGTACTCAGAAGGCAAGCGTCAACCGCATGCACCAGGAGGTTCCAACACCGCCCAGGATGCACGACAAGGAAGTCTCGACACCTCCCAGGAGGTTCTGCAAGGGGGTTCCGATGCCTTGCAAGGAGGTCCAGATGCCTCGCAAGGAGGCCATGATACATCCCAGGTCGCACAGCAAGGAGGACTCAGAGGCCCCAGAACCTCTAGATGGGACTTACCTTTGAGGGGGAAGATGGAGGATACGTTCACGCAGGCCAGTGACCATTTGCAGGTGCCTTCACCCACACCTTCATCTCCATCCCCTCAGAGTCGAGAGCAACTGCGCTCACTTCTTCCAGCACCCTATGATCAGCACAACACAACTGCCCAACCTAATGGGCAGCAACACGTTAGCAATAGAAGTCTTCCTCTGCCACCATCTCGTGGTTCTATGGAGTACCAGCCCATGACTCAACAGCATCTGCCTAGTGGTGTGAATTATGTCCCTGGTGTCAATGCAGCTCGTCAGCCTCAACATTCCATGGATGCTTGCAACACCATGTACACATATCCTCCGCCCCATCACCCCTACTATCCTACGCACTCAGAATCCTATGAGCAAGGGACTGGCATCAGGAAAAAACATAGTGACTACATAGTACTATATAGTCAGGGTAGTGCGAGTAGCCCCGTCGTCAAGTGCCCTCTATGTACTCACCATAGAATCCCATAGTAAGCTACCAGTAGCTACCAGGTACTACTGTAGTTTGTAGGAGCACTACTACAGGCAACTATGACAAGAAAATAAATAATCAGTCAAGAGGATTCGAACTCTCAAACTCACTATTAACTTTCTCACCCAACAATTCATGCAACGGCACACATACCATTAGGCTATCAGACTGTTACAATATATCATGTGTAATATAATTTAACAAGCTACCGTGGATTTGGAAGAAATTTCGTTGAATTACTGGCAGCAACTATTATTTATACTACCATCTGCTCACAACACAACAGCTACTATGTAGTAATGTTGTTATTCTAAAGCTTGCTGCATTGGTTCATATATTAAATATGTTTGTCTTTGTGAAGATCACTGCTGGTGAAGCTATATGTAGTGGTATGAAGACCTTGAAAGCCGGTAGCTCCTGTAGCTACCTGTAGCACGCTGAACTACAGCTTACTACAGCACTCCTGCATGCTACAGGAACAAATATTTGCTACCATCACTCCAGGTTACTCCTGGAGCTCCTGTAGCTCTATGTTGCCCTAGTGACAGCTACATAGGGCTACTAGGGCTATATAGTGCTATATAGCTGTCACTGGAACTCCCACGATTTTTGTTTTTTCCTGATGGGAGCATACCATGGAGGAAGGGACGTGCACGATGGTTGTGTACCTGCTCCTCGCCAGGAATACTCAGGATACCGTGATGGCCGGGTGATCTATGATCATTATCAAGGTCCAGCCCCGCGTCATGATGGACTTGATCCTCGTCAAAACTGGCCTCGTTATGTTGCATATGCTGAGGATGAACGGATGATTCGCGCAAATTCAACGAGCCCACTACCTGGTCTTATGCAGTACTCGTCATCTCCCCCCCAGTCTGAAGGCAATTAGAGCATTGCATTGGTTTGTGCTGTTTCTTGGGATGCTCTGCTACTCGCTGTTTCTTGCAATTGTTCTTGCAATCGCGTGTTGTTCCCCCGCGTCATTATTTACCCATAGTATTCTTTGCTGCGCACTTGTGATCCTAACCTACCGACTGATATTCATGTACTTGTAGTATTGAATACAAAGTTCATGTGCCGCTAAGAATTTTCCAAAACACACAAGATTGAATAGAAACAGCTCATGAGGTAGGATGATTACACATCAATAGATACTGATAGAAAACTATTAATACACCTAAATGTTAAAAACGGCTCGCAAGGAACGGGAAACATGTCTGCCCCGAGCTCCAGCTCCTTGCAAGGTTGAGCATCTCGATCTCAATAGATACTGATAGAAAACTATTAATACACCTAAATGTTAAAAGCGGCTCATGAGGAGCGGGAAACATGTCTGCCCCGACCTCCAGCTCCTCGTGAGGTTCAGCATGTCCATGTCAATAGATATGGCTCGCAAACACACCTGGATGATTTCAAAAACGGACCGAGTCGTTGAGAAGCACGTCTGCCCCAAGGAGTCCAGCTGCTCACGAGGTTGAGAAAACCATTAATGCACCTGAATGATGTTGAAAAAACGGCTCGCGATACTGACAGAAAAACTACTACTAACGCACCTGAAATGATTTTGAACAAAGGGCTCGTGAGGATTGTTGTGAATGAGCGAGGGCAGTGCAAACTTTGGCTCACGAGGTGTGAGGAGGAGCAGTAAACTAATTTGGCTCACGAGGTGCAAGGAGGAGCGGGAAAACAATCTGACATCCTCTTGGCTCCTCCTCGCTGGAGGTTCTGTGGAGTCCTGAACAGGATCTAAGGGGAGGCCTCCCTGTGGAGGTAAGCTTTCAGGCAGGTTACTACCTACAACGAAACCTACCCTGAAAGGCCTTCGGTACCTTTTCCAAGTGGTGCCAAGGGTGGTAGGTTTGGGGTCCTTTTTCAGGTAGCTTTCGAGAGACCCATTTGTCATCCATGATGAAACAAATGCTGGTAAGACTCCGAAACCAGTTGTGATTCCGTGAAGCGAGAGGACATGGTCGTCTTCCAAGTTGGCCCAGACATGGGCCTCACGTCGTATAACCTGTCAACCAGAAATATGCAAGTGATGTTGATATGTTGGGACATGAGATCCTACCCATGCAGTCTTTTCCACCGATATCTTCTCTTCGGAGTCAGCGACCCTCACCAACTTTATTGCAACCTAGAGATTTCAAACGAATCAACGTGTGTACACGCATACTTGGGGTTGGGCTCACTGTAAGAGGCTGATCACTAGAAGAGGTGGACCAGATGCATTTCCAGACATCACAAAATCCACCCGTGAGATGAGGAGTATTCTGAGTTCTCTTGAATTCCACCTCTGGGATCTCTTGGAGCAGAGATTTGAAACCAATGTTGTGTGGTGGCATCTTTATTAGTCTTGGATGAGAGTGTGGGTCCAAATGGTAAATACAACTGGGGTATAAGTACGGAAGTGTTCACCCTAAAGGACAGATACAGTTAGACTCAGATGATAAGCACGTCCCTCGGGCCAGTATAACACAAATTACCGATGTTCGATAAAGAATGTGTGACATAACAGCGGGTGCTTGCACTTGGTAAAGTTTCTGTGCAACCACAGCATCGATAGATCATCTGATGACATGCCTGTTCGAGTTGATGAGCCAAAAAGGTCATACCAGGAGGACGGCCACCTGCTTTTGGGCAAATCTTTGACACGTGTGATGAAACATAAAATTTGCACGCTGGAGAACCAGTACAGCAACGTTATCGTAGGCGTCTATCTGCAGTCAAAGTTTCAATTGAAGAGGTCATCATGAACCCTATGCATAATAATCACATCATCGAAATTAGTCGATCTTGGCATGAGCATGGCACTGGGCAAACTTTGTGAATCTAGCCTAATCAGCACGGTACCATTGAATGCGGGAACGGTGGGCTGACAGTGGACTTGATGGACTCGTTGGACGACGCTACCATGTCTGAGTTGAGTACTGAGTCACCAGACTTACTAATGAAAATGGAGTAGTAGGCACAAAATTCAAATTCCGAATGTGCTTGGGAGGAAATTTATAATTTCACAACTTGAACTTCATGCACTGCCAGCAGTACTGCTGAACGCTCCCGTACATTGATACAAGCCAACTTATTCCAACTAGTACTCGTACTCATGGATCAAATGAAGATTGTTGTGTGTCCAGGCGATGTAACTGTGCCAAGTCTAACAGTACCAACTCTACACTACGATTTATCATCGGCTTAGCCTGTCTTCTTCTGTTTGCGCGCTGTCGGCGGCAGGGAGAATAAGATGCAGCTGTTTTTTTTTCGACTCGTCTATCCACTATCACCCGGTCGAGGACTCAGTACTCAGCGGCCGCACCTCCGGTCGCCTAATCCTGCGCCTGAAATTGTCAATCCCACAAGTATGTCTCCTCAACTATGCAGGATGGTGTAGGAATAGCAATTCCTTCGGGAGAGAGTACTGACGTCTCGAAATCTCGCAATTATTTCTCCATCAAAACAATGCAGTCCCGTGGATCGCCGTGCAGAATGTGTTACTAGGAAGAAACTAGTCTCCACGACTCCGACATTTTCTGATTTCTGCAATATGCATGCAACGCATCTCAGTATGTCTCAGTTCGATCATTGATGCAAGGGTACACGCTACAAACGGGTGGACTCAATATATGCATCAGTTTGTCGTTTGTTGTTAGGCTACTCTCCTATGTCGTTTGCTGCGACCCCGCCGCTGATCATCAGTGAATTGATGAGTCCTCGATATTGTAGCCGTGGGAAGTATAGCACGATGTAATTCTGCTGCCGCCAAATATTAGCTTATATACTGCGAGCAATTTGAATTGCACATATATACTCATGTATGCTTGTAAATCCAGCTTAACATGAATGATTTATAACAATCCTGGGACATTCCGCCTTTGCAGCCAATGAGTAGTGGTAGTATACCTGAGCCAATTGTTTTGAGCTTCGACATCTTACCTGATCTTGTTTTTTAATTACAATGTTATTTAAGGCCTTTTGATGGAAAGAGCCTCGGGCATTTGTCGACAAATATAAAATACCATTAGATTTAGTCACAAAGCTATGACATTCCTCCTTTTCAGATAATGAGGGGTGGTAGTAGACTTATCCCAATTATTTCGTGCATTGTCGTTTGGCCCTATTTATTTATCCCATTACAATGCTATTCAAGCCCTTCTCGTGAGAAGATACCTTTAGCGGACAACTTTTGAAACTGGCTGTACCGCTTCCAGCGGCCTCCGCTTTCAATAAGACTACATTAAGTATTTTCAAAACAATGCTTTACATGTTTCTGATTGCTGCTTATTGCAAATGTGAAAGTACAGCGGCGCTCTACAAGGCATCAGCGGGATCAATTGTGCTACAGCGCTGGAAATATCCTAAGTCCAACATTTGTATATGTTTGTTCATGTGACGGTGCGCTCACAAAAGTTCAACTTGAACTTTTCTTCCCACTCTCACTCGCTCTCACTCATCGCTACTCTCGCTTGCCACTTTGGCTGACGATGATGGTGCGATGACAACGACGATGACCCGACAGCAACAACCCAACAACATCAACACAACGACGACGATACAACGACAATGACGACAACGACGACGACACGACGACAACGACAACGACGACACGACAACGACGACAACGACGACACGACGACGACGACAATGACGACACGACAATGACGACAATGACGACGACGACAATGACGACGACACGACGACGACAATGACGATATGACGATGACGACGCGACGCGATGCGACGACAATGACGACGACGACGCGACGCAATGCGACGACAACGACACGATGCGACGACGACGCGATGCGACAATGACGAGACGACAACGACGACGCGATGCGACGAGATGACGATGACACGACAACGACGCGATGACATGATGCGACGAGACGACGATGACGATGACACAACGACGACACAACAACATATCTCTCACTCGCTCTCATCTATAATAGATAGATAGATGTTCGCTGTTTATGTCAGATTTAAAATTTAATGGAATTTGCTTGATATCATTTAATTGAATTGGAAAAGCTGCCTGAAAATAATGTGCTAGTATTGTCGTGAATTGAGATCCTATTTACGAAAATTTGAAAGGGATTAAAATAATTAGACAGATTGCCAAATCGTCAAATTCTTGCAGATTTGTGCAAGTTGGATCGCATTTCATCCAATTTGAGAAGGAGGTTTTTCCTGAGTAGCTTTGACATCGGAAGCAGATATAAGAAAATGAAAAACGCTTCTTTCCTCTACAAGGTCAAACATGATAATGTAATGACCGATGGCAGAATTATGCTGATGTGTGCGATTGTGTACTATATATTGTGATATATGGCTTTCTACTTTCTTCACCGGTTCACTGATGATCGCTTCGACTACCGAGTCCGCACGGATTGGTCCCACCGGCACTTTGAATCGGATCCGAGGATTGAACACAACTTGGAGAAGGGCATATGTAATAACGTAGCCCATAAGGCAACACTTCCTGCCTCGAGGCATAGACTACAACTAAACCAGCATCCATGCCATCATGGACCTGTGCGTCACCCCTACACGAAATGGAAATGCATCTAGATCTGGCTTTCGATGACCGTTATCTCAGGCCAATTACGTCTTGAGGTCTCTCCGCTCAACTTACCAGTATGTTCTGTTCGCTAACTACTTTTTGTTTATTGCGACATGATGTGTCAATTTACTACCAAAATACCTCACCGGAGTTTCTGTGGACGTAAAACGTGCCCTGAACGCCATCACTCTCAACAGTGCACCTGTGCGCCTACCCAGCTTGAAGTTACTACCGAAATGCTGCTCGTTCATATCCGCGGATGTTGACCCAGATCCATCACACATATCAGCATAGTTCCAGCTGTTTGTGGCATCGATGGGCAAGCGCTCATTCGCATAACAACACTGAGTCTTCATTTACCCGCGCGGTTGGTAGCATTGACTGTCAAAAGGGTCTAACACGGTAGTCTCTGTAACCGCATTTGCAGCACAAACAACACGTGGTGCGTTATCTCGAGATTGGTCATTAACCTGTCTTCCCATAGTCATACTCAACCAAGAACGTTGGAGCGAGGCGCTCTGGCAGGACAGATCAGGTCGGAAGTTGCAGGGGTCCTGGCGCAGGAGCAGGAGTTTTGGCTCGTAGACGATAGCCCTGTGGCGTGTCGTAGTCGGTCCTGGATAGATAGAGCTGTAGCTTCCCGCTATAAATTTGGCCTTGGGTTTCCCTTGCAGTCCGTGCCCGCTCCAACGTTAACTTGTTGTGCCGTTAGTTGATGGTTATATGTGTCAGTTCGAATGTGAGTCAGTTTGCCCTCGAACTCCAATTGGAGTCAACGACTTAACAGGGCTAACTTTTACCACCACCTTATATGAAGGTCACGCAGGCGCGCACGTTTAGGAAGACAATATTCGATAAGCTCCGAACACAAACTTTAAAGCAGGGTTACAAGTACAAAGGTGAATAAAGGTATGAGCAAATCGTGAGGTAGTGAATTGATACGAACATTGTAATTACTCGTCATTGAAGCTTCTGCAGCTCGGTTTCTATGAAAGCTACGATTCCCGTGACTTCAGGTCGATCCTGGGATTCAATGGACAGGCATTTCAGCCAATACTGCTCATGGACTTTGTCAACGCCGGTGAGTTGGCCGAAGGGCTTTCTTCCTCTCACTATCGCTGTCATCACGTGAAACGCATTCATCAGCGGGAAGTAAGGTTCTTGACCACAAAGTAGCTTCGGTGTGTCAGACATACAGCAATCTCAATGAACGAAAGAAGGTACTTACCTGAAGCATGATACAACCGTGAGAATATACGTCTGCGGGCATTGTTGGCTTTGCCTGCTCCTCAACCATTTCGGGAGCCATCCAACGCACGTTACCCGCGTGGCAGGAGTTAAATGTAGGATTTCCCGATTCTGCGAGAATCAATGAGAGACCGAAGTCTGCGAGGCGAAGCTTGCCGTCACTATCGATGAGTACGTTGGTCTGAATTCATGATATCGTCATCTCTCAAGCGTAGTTCTGCAAAAGATAAAAAATCTACCGGTGTCAAATCGCCATGGACAACGTCGTTTTCATGCACTAAGGGGCTATTTAAAACTGCATGATGCATGGAAAATAGAAACCACGCACAATACTTGAGACCGAATGCTATTTGACGTGACTGCTTTGCTTGAGATTCAGTTGGTCTTTTTAAACACAAGCGCTTACCATGTCGAGCGACGTCGAAAGATCGGGTTTGGGTTCCTTTTTCAGGTAGTTTTCGAGAGACCCTTTCGTCATCCATGATGAAACAAACGCTGGTAAGACTCCGAAACCAGTTGTAATTCCATGAAGCGAGAGGACGTGGTCGTCTTTCAAGTTGGCCCAGACGTGGGCCTCACGTCGGATACCCTGTCAACCATAAATATGCAAATGAATGTGTTGTAACGTGAGATCTTACCCATGCAGTCTTTTTCAACAGTTCCGTTTCACTAGCGTCAGGGACCCTCACCACCTTGATTGCAACCTAGAAGTTTCAACCAAATCAATGTGCGTGCATACGTGCTTGGAATCGGGCTCACTGTGAGAGAGGAATCACTAGAGGTAGAGTAGATGCATTTCCAGACATCACCAAAGCCACCGGTGTAATTAGGAGAATCATTGGTTTTCTCGAGTTGCGCCTTTGGAATCTCTTTGACCTCAGTTTTGAAATTGATGTTGTGTAGTGTCATCTTTATTCGTCTTGGATGAGGGGTGTGGGTCCAAATGGCAAATACAACTGGGGTATAAGTACAGAAGCGTTCACCCTAAAGGACAGATACAGTTAGACTCAGATGATAAGCACGTCCCTCGGGCCAGTATAACACAAATTACCGATGTTCGATAAAGAATGTGTGACATAACAGCGGGCGCTTGCACTTGGTAAAGTTTCTGTGCAACCACAGCATCGATAGATCATCTGATGACATACCTGTCCGAGTCGATGAGCCAAAAAGGTCACGCCGGGAGGATGGCTAGCTAGCGGCTACCTGCTTTTGGGCAAATCTTTGGACACGTGTGATGACACATAAAATTTGAACGCTGGAGAACCAGCACAGCAACGTTATCGTAGGCGTTTAGCTGCGGTCGAAGTTTCAGAGAGAATATAGAGCGCTATATCATATGAACACAGGAACAAATACGTCGCGTTATCTGTCAGTCTGACTTCTGTTCGTACTAGTAGTCAACCAATTTTATCGGCATGATAGGGAACTTGAATATGCCGATGACGCCTGAGGTAAGTTTCATGCGGCAATTGGAAGGTTGCGGTACTGTGCACATAGCCTCCTGGTTCTGTATGTAACTGGTCCAGGTGGTCGACCACAAGCCTACTAGTACTTTTCGCAAGAGTTCCATGACCCTAACGAGTCACTACTAGCGGGAAGTACTTACCGTAACTACTTGAATAGTCGACGATCATTTGTTATCACAAGCATGAGTCATTTATCCAGCGGGAGGCTGGTTCGTTACCAGGAGGTCTATGTTCAAGGCGGATACTTTCATTAGACTTTTCTAATCGACACCATGTCACCACTTACTCGGTTGGCGTGCGTGCTCGCGCACAAGTTGTACGACACATCGCCCTATACATGTGTTAACGTATAGAACTAGTCTGTGTAATTTAATTCGATTTATTCTGACATCACATGCACATAAAATGATGAACAATAGGACGTGGGGTTAGGGTTAGCAACTCAATTTCATTTTCGATCCTCCACCATGGCACCCTTCCTTGAAACAGTCAAGGTAAGCTCAAGGCTCACGTTGGCGATGGTTCACCTGATGGATCCCTTTCCTAGTCGTTTAACGATGTGCCGATCACCGACGATGGGGTCAACACCTGTCGCATTCCTCGAAGCTGGTGACGGTGTCGTTCGCATGCTCAGTGCGTATCACCACGCCATTCACTGCATCGTCTGATTCACAGCATACAGAGGAACTCACTAGCCTTATGAGCTCCGTTGGCTCCGGGGCATTCTCGCCCGTCATCAATGACATCCAGGGTAACATCACAGTGGGTATTCCCAGGCAAGCGATCCATCGATCAAACTGCTCATCCAACTCTTCTACCAGAAAGTTCGTGAACGGCACGATGCGACTCCCTCACAGTCCGGAACGCTGGAGGTATTGGTGACCAACGAGAAAAGCAACAAAGTGGGAAGCGCAACAGAGGGCCTCATGTGGCTGCTTCGGTCCCTGGCATTCACAGGCAAATCCCTTCAGCAAGCAGCAGAGCAACCCATCAGAGGATCTCAAAGTTGCCTTCACGAAGGGATATAATGTCACCCTCGGGCCTATTCACCGTGGTTCTGGAATATTCAGCATACAAGGAGCTATAATGAGAGCGGCTGGCTTGATGTTCAACGTTCGTCAATCATTGCTCTCACAATTTATGGTTTGATTCTAACGTCGTGCGTTGATGTAGACTGCGATTGGATATTGCCCGCCTCGCAAGAGCTTCTACGAGAAGCTTGCAGCTAACCCGAATGGAGAGCCGTGCTCGCAGGAGGTGCTTGACAAGCAGCTCAACGATTGGATCACTGGCCTGGATACCATTATCACGAGGATGGACAAGTTCTACACAAAGGGGAAGCATGGAGAGATATTCAAGTCTGCATGAAGTTATAGATCAGCATATCGGCAATAAGCCGCACATTGTGCATTGTACGGATAAATCATCAGTGGTGTGCGTCATTGGATTCTTTTTGTGAATGCACGGACTTGAAGCTTGGAGTACTATTAATCTTCGAGATCACTGTCAGGAAATGCGTGCTTTGTTCACTCAACGTCTTGACGTTCCCCGAAACAAGCAACCCATGTAAATCAAACATGCCTGTTAGCTCGGTGGATCGAAGATCGGTACTCCTATGAGGTATGTCCAAGTCAATCATGAACCATAAACATGTCTAAAGGAACTGAATCGATAAGATCGCACTAAGCGACAGTGATCGCTTTCGTTCGTACCATACTGACTATGGAGCAAACGCACGGGAGGTACATTGTTCTAAGGAACGTGCGTCTAGGCAGTGGACTCCACGAGTTTGAGCTTGTTGGTCGTAAAAATGACTGCTCTTGAAGAATATGACCGAAACGACCGCTCATATAATACGTCGGACATTGCCATTATATGCTTCGCGCTTGACTTTGCTAGGTCGTTAAGGGAAGCAGAGTAGAGGGGGTGTGTTTGCTCGATCAGTTTATTCTGATCGGTGCACGGAAGGTTGTGTAGGAACTGGAGAGGGAAGTGAACTTGGAGGAGGTGAGTTTGTAGATTCGGGGCACACTAGTATATGCTAATTGATTCAGGCAGTTTTCTGAATTGACAACTTGGCGACGGCGTTTTATGCATTTCACATCCATCTCAAGGAGGATAGGTGTTACAGCGAGTGTTCAGCAAAGACTGGGGAGGGTATAATTGACATACTTCCAGTCAAGCGAGCATTTCTCTTCCGCAGGCCCCTTGTCGCTGTGGAATAGGTATGTGGTGACTACGCATTGTGCAAGATAAGGAAATAATTGACCTTTAGCTGCAATATTCCATAATCAAGAGTACTTCGTTGCTGCGATGAGACATAACAAGCCAGAAGTATCGATATTTGATCTATGCACAAGATATTTTGTTACGCTATTTGTACAAACCGGAGGAAAACTCAAGACATGGGGTATACGTACGAACAAAACTCTAATGTCCAGCCCTCCTCATTCCCGCTCCGATTCCCTTCCCGGGGCCAAGTCCAATCTCCTTCCCCGTATTATCCTTCATCGCTCTGACACCCCAAAACGCAAACCGACAAGTCGATCCGCTCCCATGACCTGCTTTTCTGTACATCTGGTCGTAGCTGACGCTGAAGGAGAAGTAGCCTTCAAAAAGTTCTTTTTTCACAGCTTTGCTCGTCTTTTTGCCTGCGTTCGCTTTCGTCGAGGAATCTGCTGCCTCACCTACGCAATCAACTGTTGTTCCATGACCGACATTCTCACACTCTCCTGCCACGCCCTCTCCAACCCACACGCGCTTCATCTTCCATATTCCCTTTGCGTTCTTGACTCCACATTGAGAAGGGAGCCCCGCTTGTCCAATGACGCCTGGCGACACAGGACTATGATCAGGGGCCAAGAAAGAAGCGCGTTCGCTCGAGGTGAACGTGAGTTCTGCACGATGTTTCAAATTGCTTATCAGCACGTCAAAAGGGCGCTCCATCATGGGATCGAATATAGAAACGCTTTCTGCTCTACCTGTGTCAGAGCTGAGCGAAAGGAAGCATCGTGCGGTATAGTCGTGCTTGGACTGGTAGGCGAGGATCGTGTCATAGACTGCGGCGTAGTCGGGGGATGTGCTACCCGGCGGGAGGTATGCTTTGACGAGGAAGGGGAGGTACATGCCATAGAGGTCGAAGTTGCCTGAGAATATAGCGGGTGGATGGGAATTCAATGCATGAAGTGATTTTGGGAGGGGTGGGGGGAGAATGGCTATCAGTGGCTTGTGCAAGGCGAGTCAGAAGGTTTCTTCTCGGGGCCATGGAAGGCTGGCGGGTAGACATACCTTTTCCGGGGGCGGCGTCGGTGTTCGCATTGGCCGGACGCGGGCGGTTTGACTGTTGGTGGTTGGAAGTGGGGCTGATGGTCTAGGGCGTTTTTCAGGGCGCGATTTTGTGGGGACTGCGGATCCTGAAAGCGCACGAGCATTCATTAATGGAGTCCCGCGTGATACTGAAGGTTGACGGTATGGCTTTGTGAGACCGCCAGAGGAGGATGGTTGCAGGAACTCGGATGGAGAAGGGGGTTCGCTGTGTCCATGCGAAGATGATTTGGGCTGCACCATTGGTACACGTAGCATGTTGGCGGTGCCAACAGGTGATGGAATCATGGATGTGTGTGATGTAGTTTTGGAGAGTAACTGGACGCGTCGTTGTGTCACGTGGTCAAGAAATCAACTCGCGTAACCAGACAAGGGCTTGCTAAGCGCTGCCCATGCTCAAATTCTTCCAGTTGCTTGAAGTCATGTGGTATCTGAAATAGTACGCATGAACCTGTTCTGAATTTGTCGATGCTGATATTAATCCCAGTCATTGACCACATGAGTGTGCTGCGCTCAGCACGTGTTACTACTGTCCCCTTGCACTTATCTTTTATCAAAAACCATAGTATGCAAACCCTCAAGCCAAGACGGATCCGGATCACCTGCCCCACAGCATAAACTTCTTGGGAATACAAATCCCCACAATATTACCACCGGCGGTCGCCGTATCCCCCATCTCTCGCGGTCTTTGTTTCTAGCCTAATGGTGTCTTCCGCCGACCCATCGAGAAAGCTCCCAAGGACTCCCATTCGGAATATTGCATATCCTATCATGATGCAGAACCATTATCCAATATCGACGCATCCCCCAAATTGCAATATCATTGCTATCAAACCAACATCTGACTTGGCAGTTTTCACTGCTACTCCAGACTCGTCCATAAGAGACACGGCGAATTCTCGGTATCGGAGAAATCTCGGAAATGTCACGTGTGGACTTGATAGTGCTAGTGAACAGTATATATGAGAGCAATATGAGAGTGCGGAGAAGAGACAAGTCCTGCTCATTCCTATCTTTCATCGCTACAGCACTCACAGACCTGTGAGAAGCTAGACTATCTGCGCGTCGTTACAATCCAGATTTCACTTGGACTCAAAACCCATCATGCCGTGGTCAGATTTCGCAAATGCAGATGTGGATGATATCGTCGAGAAGCTCACTACGGACGAGGCTATTCTCCTCACCGCTGGTGTTGGCTTCTGGCACACACATGAAATCGCCCGCCTTGGGATACCCGCTGTAAAAGTTAGCGATGGTCCTAACGGTATGTCAGATTCGCTGCTCGATTAAAAACACGATGATTCAGACGCATATATGCAGGTATCAGAGGCAATCACTTCTTCATGAGTACACCGGCCAAGTGCCTGCCTTCTTCTACCGCGCTTGGAGCTACCTGGGACACGGAACTGATCGAGGAAGTTGGGTTGAAGTTACTCGCAAGCGAGGCCAAGCTCAGAGCCGCGCCTGTGATTCTTGCCCCGACATGCAACATCCAACGCGTATGTGCATTCTTACCATCCTTCTATGCGCACCCATTCATGACTACCGAACCGACTACAGAACCCTCTAGGTGGCCGTGTAAGTCCCATATCCAGAATGATGGCTCTGATCCCATCTAATTTTGTACTCCATTGTTCAGGCCTTCGAGAGTTTCTCAGAGGACCCACTTCTATCTGGTCTCATTGCGGCCGCATACGTTAAAGGTGTTCAAAATGGCGGCATTGGAACTACAATCAAGCATTTCGTGTATGTCCCACCATCCGATTCCGATCACCATCCATGTTAACTCGGGACTAATACAGGTGCAATGACAAAGAAGACGATCGTATGGCATACGACTCGATCCTAAGCGAACGTGCGCTTCGCGAGATCTACCTCATGCCGTTCATGCTTGCCCAGAAGTATGCGAAGCCGTGGTGTTTCATGACTTCGTACGTTCGCATTTCAATTTCAAATACTGTGCTTCTCCTGGAGCAGGAGAAGAACTTCGACATGTACTGATCTTCATGGTCATATTTTAGGTACAACCGTGTCAATGGCACCCACGCCTCTGAGAATAAGCATCTCTTGCAAGACATCCTACGCCGCGAGTGGGGCTTTGAGGGGCTCGTCATGTCTGATTGGTACGTTCCTCGTTTACACGTATGATTGAATAGTGACCCATGTTGCATCCTGTGAATTAGGTTTGGAATCTACAGCATAGACTTGAGTATCAATGCTGGCCTCGACCTCGAGATGCCAGGTACCAACAAGTGGCGCACCCTTGATCTCATGAACAGGTCTATTGGCTCAAGGAAATTGACCGTGAGGACTGTAAAAGAGCGTGCGCGCAAAGTTGTCGAACTTGCCAAGCGCGTCGCTCAAGAAGCACCAGAAGTGCGTACATTCATATTCCGTCGCATGCTCTTTATTGATGATAAACACTCATAGATCCTCGATGGAGATGGTATAGAACGTACCGTCGAAAGTGCCGAAGACACAGCTCTCATGCGCAAAGTCGCAGGAGAATCCATCGTATTGCTCAAAAACACTAACGCCCTCCTCCCTCTGAACCCTAACAAGATTAAAAAGATTGCTATTGTCGGAGGGAACGCAAAAGCTATCGTACTTTCTGGAGGAGGATCGGCTGCACTCAAACCATCGTACTTCGTGACCCCGTATGATGGTGTTACCGCTGCGCTTCCCAAAGGCGTGGAGGTTCTCTACAGCGAGGGTGCTAGCAGTACGTGGTTCTGTCATTCACATAAGAAGAGCTGTGTTTTTATTGTTCATTCCGTTAGCCTACATGGAGATGCCCACACTCGACTACGAGCTCTTCACGCCCTCAGGCAAGCGGGGCTGGACTGCTACGTGGTACGCGCATGAAGACGATGAGAGCATGTCTGTAATCAACACGGCCTACTCGACGCGTCTGGTTGACGAGACGAGGATATTCATCAGTACATCGGCACCCAAGGGTATCACGAGACGTTGGACGATGAGACTCGAGGGTGAGCTAAAGCCCCGCGAACATGATTGTTTGTTCGAGTTCGGCTTGACTGTTGCTGGAAGAGCTAGGGTGCGCTACCATATCCATGTTGCTGTTATCTCACTGAACATTGACATTTGTAGCTCTTCGTCGATGGTCAACTCGTCATTGACAACTGGACACGCCAACACCGTGGCCAATCCTTCTTCGGCAGCGGTTCCATAGAAGAAAAAGGCCGCGTGCCACTCAAAGCCGGCGTCAAACATCACATCCTCGTCGAGTTCTGTAACGTCCGCGCACCAGCAGACGGTGATGAAGACGAGATGGTGATGGACAGCAACCCCGGCGTTCGTCTTGGTGGCGCAGAGGTGATCGATGAAAATGTGAAGATGGCTGAGGCTGTGGAGATCGCGAAGAAGGCTGATGTGGTTATTGCTGTCGTCGGCTTGAATGCGGATTGGGAGACGGAGGGGTATGATCGGAAGACCTTGGCACTGCCTGGACGTACAGATGAGCTGATTGAGAAGGTGCTAGCAGTGAACCCCAACACTGTTGTCGTGACCCAATCCGTGAGTGCAATCGAGATGAGATGTATGGCTTCAATCGAATTGATCTCATGTTTACGCTAGGGTTCATCCATAACGCTTCCGTGGGCAGATTCAGTTCCTGCGATCCTTCATTCATGGTACTTGGGTAACGCGACGGGCGACGCGATTGCAGATGTTCTATTCGGCAAGAAGAACCCGTCGGGCAAGTTGTCCTTGACATTCCCCAAGAAATTGGAAGATATCTCCGCCCATGGACACTTCCACTCTGAGAACGGTGTCCTCCGTTACGGCGAGGATTTGTTCGTTGTGAGTCCGATTCATTCATGGATGTCATTCTGCGCTCATTTCCTTTGGCAGGGCTACAAGCACTTCCATCATAGAGGCATCAAACCACAGTTCTCGTTCGGGTGAGTAGCTCAATCTCAAGTATTCAGAGAACAGAAGATTGATTGATTTCGTGTCGACAGTCACGGTCTCTCCTACACGACCTTCTCTTACTCGAACTTGACACTCTCCAAGGCAGCTGTCTCGAACGGCGAATTTAGCCTGAACGCCACCTGTCACCGTCACAAACACTGGCAAGCTCGCAGGCTCCGAAGTCGTGCAGCTGTACGTCTCAATGCCTACCACGTCCGACGTGACGCACCCGCCGTTGCTCCTTCGTGCCTTCCGAAAAGCCAAAGACCTCCAACCGGGACAAAGCGAGAAGGTGACGTTGACGCTAGACAAGTATGCTGTGTCGTTCTGGGAGGAGAGGATCGAGAGGTGGGTGATCGAGAAGGGCGTTTATGGTGTCAAGGTGGGCAGCAGTTGTGATGAATTGCCATTGGTCGGCAGCTTTGTACTTGAGAAAGGGTTCGAGTGGAACGGCTTGTAAGCTTGTAGCGATGCATATGTATATTTGTGAAATCACAGCAGTCAATGTAGTATGTTCGTTTGCATTCCACTGATGCCAAAACGAAGCTGGACGAAGCGTCTCGAGAGCAAACCTTGATTTCAAAGGACACCAAGCTAGCAATTCTCGAGGATTTTTCGATGTAGCTTCCGACCAGTACTGTACATCCTCACCTGTAGCCGTAGTGCCAGTGGATCCTGCTTACGGTCCATCCTCCATTCATAGAGAATAATTTTGTTCTCCCGCTGTGAGTTATAGGCAGTATTCATTACACAGTACTTATAAGTAGAAATACACGACCTTTGACAAAGCAGACTGAGCAAGACGATGGGGTCTCTGTGAGCTTGGCTTTGCGGAGATGACTGTCGAAGTGCTCTTTCTCATTCTATTTTGCACAAGACATGGCCGAAAGTCTGTCATGTACAAGGCATAATCAGCGTGGAAGAAAGAGATCCAATATTGATTGACAAATCACTTGAAGGTCGTGACCGGGCAACAATGTGCAAGTGGTGTTTCTTGGACATGGTAGGGAATACTTTGAACGATGATGACATCGGGCATAGTAAAGTTCGGGTGTGAAAGTCGATACTCACCAGATTATCCTCCGGGCTATCGTCGATAAGTAGGGGAATGTTTCAAAGAGGAGTATCCTTGGCGTTTGCATCACAGAACATACATCCCTTCTTGATTTTGATCGCACATCTCCGCCCATCGACAGTGTTCGCGCACGAAATTTTGACAGTGAGAATATGGCTGCGGTCGCCGCCTCTGATCGTGCAGTTGAGGTTAAATTACATCTTGGGGTGGAGGTCCGACGAGGATGAGTATATCAACGGTTGACAGATACGTGTGACTGTCAGATATCAGGGGTTCTTCCAGCTTCTCGGTCGTTCTTCCGTGTACCTACTATGACAGGCCTTATGATATGTCAAGTGTTGCCAGCGGTATTGTTCTCAGACATTGGGCGTTGCAGGGTCATCGGAGGTGAAATCAGAACAGGTTGTGACATGGGTGCTCAATCCGTCAATTCGTTTCCAAGAGCTGGACCTCGGTGGACGTAGGACGCCACATTTTGGCCGCTTCAGGTTGCTATCTTTTGACATTCGGTAGTTCTTTGTCGACCGTAAACTTGTCATTGATCGGCCAATCCTTTTTCAGCAGCAGTTCCATAGGAAGGAAAGGCCCGCGTGCTGTTCAAGACCGGAGTCAAATATCGCATCCTCGTTGAAATCTGGGAAATATCTCTGCCCATGGGACACTTCCACTCTGGGAGTTGCATCTTTCGTTATGAGGATCTGCCCGTCGCCATTCAGGCGATTTGATCTAATTTCAAACCGTTTAGCAGGATTACAAGAACTTTCATTATAAAGGTTCCGACTCGGAAATCGTGCAGCTCATCCACTACATCCGCGGTGACGCACTCGTCGTTGCTGCGCGAGACCTCCAACCGGGACAGAGTGGGAAGGATAGTATGACGCTGGACAAGCATGTGTGTCGTTCAGATCGATAGGTGGAGTTGTCGAGAACGTGTCAAGGCTATGATGAACTGCCAATTTGATGTGGGTTTGAGTGGAACGGGTTGTAGCGATGCAGATCAGTATTGACATGGTCAACGCAGTATCGTTTGCATGTCCTTCTCTAGAATGGAAAATGGACTGAACCTAGGCCAAACCTAGGCTGTCAGAATTGATCAGAGCGGCCTGGCACGTGATGGTCCACGGCATGCAACGCCCGCTGTTCTCTTTCGCCATTTTCCGATCTTTTCTGATATCGAACGTTTTGGGAGGTTCACCAGATTTTAACGCTTTGTGCTTTCAGCCGATCATCGTGCATCATGTCACGGCGTCCGCTACATGCAATTTGCCTATCGGTGAATGGCACCCATCGCGCCGGATGATATCACGTCGCTCAAAGCCCAACCGTGACAACATTAATAATGGGCGTTCTGATGTGGTCCGTTGCTATCATTGACTATATGGTCTTGGTTTCTCCAATACTCATGCATCAGTAGCAGCGCGCCCGGGTCGTCATGACCAATTCATTGCCGATGTACTTTGAGCGCTCAGCGCAATCAATCAGAAAAGATTGACAAAGTAGGCTGCTGCGGAATTTGACTGATCGGGTCACGAGAATCCATATCACATAGCGAGCCCGCTGGCACTTGAGGGACTTGGTGTTACTATCGATTTTCCTTCATCAATTCAAGGACCATCGTGATCTCCGAATATTCAATATTGTACACAGCGTCCCCGTATTCGTACTGCTGCGGCCGAATCGCGTACTGCAGGGACGTCATAATTGTATCACCGAGCACCCCCCGCTGAGAACCATCGAAATATACGTTAGGCACTGTATCCCATTTCTGATTTCATCATAGAGTCCGGTACTTACATGTGCGGTCCGAGGCCATCCACCATCATATCGGATTTAGTGGTTCCTATGAATCCTATTCTCCAAGAACTGCGTAAACGTGGCCTTGTCAATCAGGTGTGTATGTGGTCTTTGGGCGATTGATTTGGCCAGTGTAATGATCATTTGTAATTTCCAATTAGATCCCTCCTCCATGGTGTGGCACGTATTGAGCTTCTCGAACGAGTATGGGAACTTGACGAGAAGCCGCATTAGAAATAATGAGTCATCCCGAGAACCAGACATGTAACAGCGATTAACGAACTCATTTTCCTTGCAGCTATTATCAGACTTCCCCCTGAACGAATTATCGTACTCCGCCGGACTTTCACAAGGTTTCTCATAAACAACAGCTCTATCTATGCAACCATTTACTGGTAGGGATTCTGCATACAGTTCCGCCAGTTTGCCCAGAGTGCGTCGATCAAGACGAATTCAATGCTGCCAGTGTCAAGCGGATGCTGGATTTCTCATGTCATGTATCACGTCTGATTGCACATGCCTACATTACTCCAGTGGCAGTAGTGCGCAGCTTTGTATTTTATAGAGCAGCACATGCAACTATCGGAGGTTTTCCGGGAGAATTATGTGCGAGCTATTTATGACGGCGTAACTCTGAGCGAAAGTGCTGGTCTTTGCGGGCCTGAGGCCTGATCGACCTCGGACGGTACCTCAGGCCTCATTCGACGATGTGCCTTGGGTAATACAAATGATCTTGTGTATCTGTTGTAAATCAGCCAACAGTTCACATCATTGAAACGGATCTTCATGCATCGGAATTTATACAACCCAAACCATATCACACAACAGACCTAAGAGGAGCCAACAGAAATTCTCTCATTTCTCCGGGCACATCACAAATCTGTAGTGGATGCTACACTAAACAGTTCGTACTAGCCGAGCAGCGTGTGTAGTCTAAATACGTGACGCAGCAAAACAGCGCCAAGGCCAGGGAGCGCCCGAGAATATAAGCTAGAGTTCAGCACCTTTCCTTGCATCGTCATCACAAGAAAACATATCGACATAAGTAATAAACAGAAAAGAGCGACGACGGTGCGGATATAATAGGCAAACAAGTCCGCAACAAATTTCAGATGCGGCGAAAATTTCTGTGGCGAGGTCTCACTCATTTGCGACCTGTAAGTTATGAGCACGTGAGCAAAGAAGAATAGGGTTATGGGATTACGTACTCTGAGTACACGGTTGTGTTGACCGTAATCTTCGTCGTCAGCGTAACTCATACGCTGGCTCGGAGGATCGTCGTCGTGGTAATCTTCACCCTCGACTTCGCCCACAGGACTGTGAGACTGAGCAGGGGGTGGCGACGGGGAAGTCTCATGAGGAATGGGAACCCCAGGATTCAGTGGAAGTTGAGACGGTGAATTAACAAAGCCAGTGTATGCATCTGCAAACTGGGTATCATTGCGCGGGGGTGACTGGTATACAGGCTGAAGGGGGAGGGAGTAGTTCTCGCTCGACGAGTGACCCTGAGAGTGCCCATGTGAACGCATACTTCCATGTGTCTGACGAGTATATTCCGAAGGCCGGCGGTTAATATATGCTCCATTGTTGGTAGCAGCCATGGCGGCAACTCCAGTTCCCGCCAGACCAGCGCCTTCGAGCAATTCGATACCGCGAGATCTGTATCGCCCACTAGAGGTATGATCCAATATTTCGTGGGGCTGTGGGCCAGGACCAGCGAAAGCATGGTATGGGGTCCTGCGGCTCGGCTCGCGAGCAAGGTTGCCTGCACCAACACCAGCAATGCCTGGTGCACGATGAGTTTCACTGTCTTGCCTACTCCGAGTCCTTCCCACGTTAGCGGTAGCGAGAGATACTGCCCCAGCTGCGTATGGGTCATACTGTGTCATCTCACTCATACCATATGTGTCACTGGGAAGATTCATCGGAGCCTGGCCAAAAGTCCCATGGGTGGTATCCGAGTATGGATATCCACCGCCCGAACCGCCATTGTGAGAGTATGCGTAGTCATCAAATGGCGAACGCGAAGAAGCGGCCGCCTCTGCGGCTGCTTCCGCGACGTCCCTGTCAAACTTCTTGGCACGACGGCGGCGAACGGCGTTCGTCACAATTGCGATGAAAATCGCAATAACGATGAGACCAACGACGGTGAAGACACCGGCAACGGCTCCAGTGTTCGAAAAGAACCTATTATGATGGCGGTGATGTGAATTACGTGAGAATGTATTTTAAAATTTGAACTCACGAGTTGGATGAAGTGGCGGTATCATTAGCAGATGAAGGAGTGGAGGTTGCCACAGTCACATAGGTTACACTGGTAATTACAACACCGCCGCTGGTTGATGTGTAAACTGAAGCACTAAGAGTGGGTGTTGGCGATGTTGTTGCAATTGTGGTAGGAGTAGTAGCCGAGACAGAAATACTGGTCTGTGTGGATGAAGTGCTCGACGAAGTAGCACTGGTTGATTGCGTCGTGGACGAGGCTGAGGTCGTACTAGCAGTACTGCTCGCCGAGGTCGACGAAGAGGTAGGAGTAGTACTGCTGGATGTAGTCGTCGGAGTCGAAGCTGACGACGACGTAGTGGTAGGCGACGTAGTTGCTGGCGTCGAGGTACTGCTGCGCTGGAGTTCCAAACTGGATTTAATGTGATAGATGAAAGAACTCACCCAGTAGATGTTGCCGCAGGGGTCGTTGTCACTGCTGAGGTGCTGTCTAATGAAGCGTACAACTTCCAAGTGCATCATGGACTTACGAGGACTAGACATTTCTGAAACCTAAATGAATGGATCTTTTGAAAAGATCAGAATTTCAATAATTCAGGGATCAAAGTTTCGACCTGCTGTTTGGGCCAGCAAGATCAGGTGGTTGTGGTCAACGAACAACAGGATCCACGCGCATGAGAAGTTTTACCTATGTAGTTTGAGAGGCAGTTGAATCAAGCTACCACGCCTTTGTTATTCAAATCCTTATGTAATAAGCGGAGCGGGCACGGCTTTAAGTGGGAAGACACGTAGCATAAGGTCATGTTCTGCCCAGCTGCCCGCGTCCATTAAAGAACATGGAAAACTAACCCCACGGCGGACATGCACTATGAATACAATCACCCTTAATCCCGCTTTCGCTTTTTCTGTCGAGGGTCGTCCTCCTGCTCGCTCTCTTCTGAACTCCCATCCTGTTCCACCGGCATACCCTTTAAGCCTTTCATCTTCCGCGTTTGGAGTTTGTTGAGATCCTGCTTCGCGATATGCACCCGTCCCCTCAAGTCGCCCATTTCGTCCACTTCCAAATTTTTCTTTTTCTTTCCAAGGCCCTTCTCCAAGTCTTGCTTCTTCAACTTTGGTCGTCTCATAGCAGCCTTCCACATCTCTGGATCAGCGGCTTGATGACGTCTCAGTGATAGGTCAAGGAAGGGGCCCATCTCCGTCAGCTCGACACGTGGTACACGCGTTCCCGACGGAAGTAGCTTCACGGTGTACGTCCGTATATGGATCTTGGGTAGATTTTTAACATCCTCTTCCTGGGAGTCGCCTAGAATAGGATTTGCCGTTTGTAGTGAGGGAGCAGGTGCGATGCTAACGCTGATTACATGCTCCAACCCTGGTAAACATATCGAATCGATAACTTCTCCATTGAAGAAGTCCATAAGCAATGATTTTACTTGAATGAATCGTGGGTGGGTGTCGAATAGTTCTGATGCGAAGTGCATCATGGGCTTATGTCCCGGTGTTGATTTTGGTGTCTACCGCCCATAAAGTTATTAGATTGTACGGCAAAGGGAAAAATACTCACTTTGAACTCTGCCATGCTGACGAAATTGTCTACTCCAAGTTCGCACATATCCAGTAGTCTCGAGTCGAATGTACGTGCAATAATAAGACCTGCAGGTCTCTTTTTCGTAGATTGGCCCACGAGGAACATGGACGCATCATTTTTGCCCGCCCAAAATTCAAGGGACGAAGCATCCTCAAAGGGGTGAACGGTGTTTTTCTTCGAGAACGATATTGCGTCTGGTCGTTTGAGTGCCATCTGATTGATGTTTAGTCTCCAACCTCGAGGACTTTCGAACAATACATACCAGCTCTTTCATCACACCGTTCAGTATCTCCCCTGTATGAGTTCCCTTTACGAATATCGCTGTCCGAACATCTTCGACCTCCTTGGCTTCACGAGCCTCCAAAGCCCGCTTTGACCTAGCATTGCGTGGTTTTCTATAATACACCCTTCAGCAAGCGCACAAATTTTTGAGATCACAGGGACTTACACCGTTCTCAGCATACTCCCGATCTGCCAGAAAAAACAACTCGACAACTTGAAGTCAGTCTATTCAGATTTTTCCGGCCACAATCCACCTTCCATTCTAGGAAAAGAACAGGACGTTGTTGTGCCATATTTACTAGGGTTCGGTCCTCTAGCCGAGGCCTGATTTTAGTACATTTCACCTTTCTACGTCGCTGACAGTACACTAGACGTGGCATACTGACTTGGCTGTGTACAGGGAGACTCGAGTCAGATACGAGACTATTGTTCGTCGTCTTTATTCATGCCTCGGAAGAAATAGCACATGTATTATGGCACACCTCTTTTGCCTGTGGTCTATCGAGTAAGTTCTCAGGATTGATGCATTTGTCTGAGCACGGTAATCTTCTGCAGTATTGCTTGGAAACTATCATAGGCTTCATAGCCCTGGATCCACCAATGGTGCATAGTGGACTCGACTCCCACAATGGCGCCGCTTAACAAGACATCGACTTGGGTAGGCTGAACAAGGATGTCTTCGTGGTAGACAACAAGGCGTTCTGCGTGAAAGTGGTACTTCAATCCGTCAGAAATTTCAGACAAGCTCATGAGGAATCTCCTAGTTCTTTATTTCTTCCCGTGCATCCTGGTCGCGTCGTCAGCAGTTGATCTGTGAGGCGAAAAAAGTCATTCAATGTCAGAGGTGTGTACAACTAGGCGTAGTATAAAGTCCAGTTCGGGATGACTGATACGAAAATAGTCGTGTGACCACAAAATTGAACATAAGCTCGACTCGGAGGAGCAAGATGATGTTTTATCCAAATCCGTATGTGCGCTCCTCTTATTACGGTTCCGCGAACCTTCGTGATTTGTTGCGAACTGAATACGGCACACTCCTTGCAATGTGCCTTTTCATAATAACAAGCGTACCTTGTCGCACATCCTGATAGCCTATGCAGGGACCTCCCCGATGCTTACGGGACAAATAAGCCGCTGAAGAACGTTCACAGGCGCACATCAAGCGGCATTCACCGTTCTCCACATGACTTGCCGTCTTTCTCACAAGAGAGAAAGACGCCACCAGGTGCCCATGTTCTCCAAATCACTGGTCAGCGATGACTACAATCGTGTAGATGACTGGCCAAACATCGTAAAGTCTTTTGGCTTGCTGGGAAAGATCATCCATGAATGGTATGTCTTCAAGTAGAGTATACTGCATCTTGTTGATCAACAGTCCGTCAATCAAGCAAAGTTCACATCAGTCCAAGAAAAAATAAATCGATCAGATGGTCCGTGCTAGTGCTATTATTGGTTACCACCGGTTTGCACACCCCTCCGAGTCACCTTGTGCAATCACAGAATGGACATATTGGCTGATTTCTGAATCTCAGTCCGCCCGAAGGGCACACCTGTGCAATGTATATTCAAGCTCCGAAGGGCCGCTTCATGCTGTGAGCGTGACCAAAAAGCCTTTGTCGCGGTCTCGAGCTGTCTCTTGTCAGATGGCATTCATTCAAGCTCATGAAGAGGGCATTCTAGAGCATTGTGATTTAGTAGCTTTAAGGTTTGTTCCGGGCGATGTGCGTTGCACGAGAATAGTAGCTAAAATAATGCAGAATTGGAATATTGCGGAATTTGAAAAATATTTGCAAAGATAAGCCGTGGAATAAAATAATGTCGGTAAGGATCTACTACTACTGGTGCCGGTGAATGATGGAGAATGGATGTTCTTCATGATGTAGAAGACTAGCAACGCTTGCTTGACTCGAGACCCGGAACCCTGGAGGATAGAGAGATTTATATGGCAAATGTTTAAAAATAAATTTTCGCTATGTAGCACAGGATTTGGTTCGTCGTTGTTCCCGTACGTATTGGAATCACGGTGGAACGATTGTTTTCCTTCTATGACCAGGGGAGACCAACATATTGGGAAGAGACGGGGACCTGATTGCTCTGGCGTTAGTGGCCCGAAACGGGTACAAAATTCCAATCGCGGGGTGCCTCTTAGTGTTTACAAGAGGGGTCATCGTTTTACTCGAACAGCGGTAGAATCTAAGGACTTCCTTATATAAGTAATCTTTTTTATTCTATTCCTATTTGAGCATATGGATAGAGTAACCCATTATATTCAAGGGGGATTTGCAACTCACATCGAGATGTTTGATTGCGGCGAGTACCAAGCCCAAGTTGGCAAGCATTATTGGTGGTTTCAGAGCGGTGTATTTACACGACAAAAGATTACGAATACGAGGCGCTACCGTAGCAGTACATACAACCTCAACGAAACCCCACCAAAAGGTATAGACAACACTACACAAGATTAAAAAGATTTTGGTATAGATGAGTGCGAAGATATAACGATGAAATACTTGTACTAGAAAGGGTTTGAGTCGTACTGACCGAGCACGGAGGAAAACACAAGATAGGTAGGTAATCGCGCTGCTAACAAACACCAATGTTCGTACCCCCCAATTACTAGGGGTATAAAGCGAGAAAAGTTATGATTTTTATCCCCCCACGACAGTCACACTCTCATTCCAACAGCGGAGGAGTATGGAGATGTAACTGGAGACTCCCTTCCTCGCTTTGATAGTGCTGGAGGGGTTGCCCCATTGGATGATGGGGATGACGAGTTTGATTGTATGCTGACGGATCGAGCAACGGTGGCGAAGGCAACCCCGTGTGGTTGGGATCGTGGACTGCGTGATGTGTCTGATAAGGGTGAAGATGCGAAGCTTCCTCTGTTAGCGGAAAGTATGGCCCCTGCTGCTGCTGCTGCTGATGCCGATGATATGTCGTGCCGAAATTGTGGAGAAACTCGGCCTCCCCCGAGCGACGCCGCGCTTGTGCTATACGCTGCTGCTGGAATTGTTGGCGTCTGAGCTCCTGGGAGTAGTGAGTAGCTTGAGATGGGTGTTCTATCGACGAGTGTGAGGGATGATGCTGATGAGATGATTCCTGATGCGGTAGTCGGCCGTGAAGCCGTTCCTGTTGCACCGGGTAGAAATGATCGTACTCCTGCATCTGCATCTGCGTCGTTGCAGAGTTCCAGGACGGTGAGCCTTCGAGATTGAGGGCGTGATTCTGACCCGTACTCGTACTCTCCAGGCCCTGAAAGCCCGCTGCTGGGTTCTCGACGTGAGACATCATCGTCTGGTCCCGGGTATGGTCGTTTGCGAGGGTTGTTTGGTGGTGAATATGCGAAAGGCCCACTAGATGAGACTGACTCGGCGAGCGCCGGTGGGTGGAAGGAAAACGGTGAGTCATATGACCCCCCTGATGGAGATGCTGGTTCTGAATCGTATGAGACGCCCCCGTAGGAGGATGTGAGGGATGGCGCTGCCATGTCGCCGCGTCCATAGACTGGAACGGATAGTTCTGTGACCAATCCAGGCCCTCCAGCGTAAGCAGGTTTTGTGGAGAGGATTGATGCGGGAGCTGTACCTGGGCGATTGGCTGTTGTAGGTCTTCGGAAGGGTAAGGGAAGTACGTGTTGTGCTGACTGAGGTGGGAGGGCGAATGATTGGGATGATGGAGGGGGGATTGTCGCGGAGACGACGGCAGCGAGTGGCGGGAGCGTTCTAGCATGTGCGTCGGGACCCCCTGCAGTTGGTGGCCTGCTGCTGCTAGATCCGGGCCGACCATCCCGTTCCCTAGAGGAGAGACTGAAGTTGAATGTGTTGGTGGTGAAGGTCTGAAAGGACTGCGACTGTTGCTGCCAGGAAGTAGAGGATGCGGGGGGGACACGAAAGGACTGGCTGGAGTCACGAAAGGAATGGTTGTTTGTAGGTCGAGGATTACCAGAACGATGATCCAAATCGGAATTCCAACCGTCACCGTAAATCATGTTGTCACCACCCTCGTAACCAGTGCTCGTACCGGGACGCTGGTGCATGGGGTGGAGAGAGGCAGACAAGTCCTCCTCCTTGACTTGATCGAGACCATGCATTGAACTATCTTGAGATCCTGAATGATTGCTTGAGGCGAGTACGGCAGCAGCATTAACGGAAGCTTGACCTCTCTTGCCTCTTGGCTGACCGGTTTTATTTGCGGCGGCCATAGAAGCATGAAGAGAGGTAAGTTCACGCATCATGCGCTCATTCTGCTCTTGCTTATCAGCGTGAACAGTTTGAGCATGCTGGCGTAAATTGTCGAGACGGGAGAATTGCTTGCTGCAGTGGCAAGTAAAAGGGCGCTCGCCAGTATGTTTCCTGATAGGAAATTAAAGAGATCGAACGGGGGTATGTGCCTCGGTACCTACCTAATGTGCCTGGCAAGATGCTCACTTCTACTGAAAACCATACGGCACTCGCCATAACCTCTGCATTGAAAAGTCTTTGCAGGAGCTGGACGATAGCGTTTATTGACGCCTTGTATGCCTGCTGAAGCAGATAAAATAGATGGATTGTTGGGTGCGACTAGGGCAGCCATGTCGGATGATGAACCTGTGGGAGAGAGTTCACCGTTGTCGTCGTAGTGATTATTTAATGATTGATTGAGATCGTGAATCTCTGAGGAACGAGAAGAGATTGAAAGTGAAGCAGGTGAAAGTTTTGAATCGACTTGAGTGTCGAGAGTTGAAGATTTTGAGTCCTCCATGAAGCGGGTTAGGAAAAGAGGAACAACCTTCTATAAAAAAGGTGCCTGATTGCAGACGCTGGAAAGAGTTAAGCCCAACACCTCAATTAAGGCACCGCAATCGTCGGACTTTTAAAAAAATCTATCCGTTAGTTTGGTTCAGGAACAACCCCGCCGAGCTACGGCACCGTTTTACACTGATAACACACGTCACGCCGTAAAGGATGCCGTATATACTTTGACCCCCCCATAATAATAATTTATTATCGGAAGAAAGTACACGCTTTTTTCGCATCTTCCCTTTAACTCCTACTTCATGGCCAAGTCTAGACTCACATAGCACCCGTGTCCGTTCCGAATATCAATGTGGCTGTGACACTTTATCGATTGCCATCTTTTTCGTTGTCAACCCTTTTCCCAGTTTTTTTGCATTATAGGATTCACTCTTCCCAACAAACCAATTCGTGGGACTTCCGGTTGCACTATTTTTCCCCCACGGAATTTGAATTGGCATTTTTGTCTTTAGTTTGTCCGCATCAGTCCCGATGCGCTATCTGCGCTTTTCCATTCACCTGTCAGACGACATCTGATCCGCTTTTTTTTCAAACACAGTTTATTTACTCCGACATTCAAGGCGAATTATATTACTCCGCCAGACTATCCACGAGATAAACATGCGTAAGCCCTCCCACCGCGCACGAGGTCCTTTACATACACGTGTACCATCATTCCCTCCTCCTCCATCGTCCATATCTCAATCATAAATATTAAATACAGCATCTGTGCTGGCATAAATTCCTTTGTCCGAATCAGGGCCGAATAGTAATTAAACTTGCAAATTCCCAATCCGCACAATCCAGTACCCAAGCCCTGGCACCGATAATTACGGATTAAGCAGGGAATTACCCATACCCAAGACGGTCTAAGCCAACGGTCCAGACTCTCGAAGCCCATCCGATAACACTGCTTGCTTGGTGCGCCCAATATATGTCCCGCGCCTCGGGCAAGCACAGCTACGCTCGTTCCGATCACCCAAATCTTCATTCTACATTCCGTTAGGCACATAGCCCAGGGACCTCCCCCAGGGGGCTATGCAAATGCAAAGACTCTCGGAGACAACAAAGCTAACGATCGACGTTTACGAAAACCAAGTGCCTGGGCAATCAACCTTACGTACGCTCAAAATAGAAGTTCAATACGCACAAGGTGGTCGTGATTAACCACACGGACAGCCTACTGAAATCACACTCTACAAACCATATTTTTACAATATCGGATGGATGCCCCCGCTCCCTCCGCCCATCATACATCCATTAAAAAAACGTCTATCCATGTGAGACATACTGTCAAAGCTTATCACCATGCTGCGGTTGTTTCGTAAACATGCCCGAGACCCATCAGATTGACTGAAGAAAATAACGAGCTGGGAACATAGACATCAGACTGTTTGCAAGAAAATGTCAAGACATACCCGAGTCCAGTTCATGCTATGTATAGGCTTACAGGCGAACGTTCAGAGTCGAGAACTTCAGCCGTTGAGAGCTCCCGCGACTATCGTAATACTAAAATCGAACGTCACCAATCATGACATCGGCGATTTTTTTCTTGCAAGCCGCACGGGAGTGACGAAAGTATCGGATACCATTCCCAGGTTGGGTTTAATTCTAAATGTGTGGTATGTTCCACGAACTGCTGATTGATTGTGACGAATTTGTCTGCGGGGTGCAATTCGTGTATCCGCGATACATTGCGGAAAATGCTCCGCATCTCGGACATGGCTACAGCCACAACTGGCTGTCCCTTGTTGAGGAACACCATCGACCTTGGGATGTCTGGTGTACGATATTGTCTCTGTAAAATACCTTGTACCATCAGAGACACGTAAGGTGTTGTGTAACTTAACACATAACGCAGATCATGTATGTCACGGAAGGATCATTCTGGCGTCAAAAGAAGACACGATGTACCGCGCGCCGAGTGTGGGACAGAAACTATTGTTGACGCCTCCGGGAACAACAGAGACTAATAGCCATGTCATGCATCTGGATCGACCCATGTGATTGGGTATTGCATGCTAAAAGACAAGGCGTCTAGGCGGAAGGGGATGGTATGGTACGAACATACGGAAATTAACAATTGACATACCATCCATCCCGTCGCTGTCAATCAAATCGCGGATAGAAATGCGTCCGACGGAAGTAGTGTTTCTAGAAACCTGAAAATTCCCTAGGGTTCAACGAATGGGCTCAGGCCTCGGTCTATGAAATCACAAATTACCTGAAAGTTGGTTTTCATTTTGAAATTTGAGACAGCCAAGTACAACTCTGATACACAAAGTGTCATCGGAAGGTTTCCACCTGTGCTAAACGACCCGTTCGCAGGCTGTCCCAATATTTCATCATCACATTTAGATGACTGCCTACGGCAGAAAAAAAAACTGCTCGGATTCTAAATCGTATGCTTGAGTCCATCATGATAGGCGGTGGTAATTTTTCCGCGCCACTATGGCCTCATTAACTACGTCCATTCGCATTGGAATGTCCAATGGACGACACAACAGTGCTTCTGTGGCTGGCATGGCCGCCATGGTCGTTAGTTTCCGGGCGGTAATGATCATGATGATGATGGTGGCCTCCGTTGATTTGTTGCCTGAAGATCAGGAATTGTGCCCTGGTATCAGGAACTTTTCCAAAGTGAGCATTATGGGCTGGAAGCGCCAGAAAGTCCGTAATCGAAACTAACTTTCGTGCCTTCATCTTCCGCACATCGATATCGTGGCACGTCTGCGGACTATTTGACGCCAAGTCGATCACTTGTAGGTGGTGTATGAACACTGTATCAACTGTAATTTGATAGCTCACATAAAATTTATGTCTTACAGGACAACGTGCTCATTAATTTCCGCGTAGAAGTCTTTTACTCAACTGGCATTCGCATTGAACGAAGGGGGGTTTCTTACTGCGGGGAGGCCGGCCTCGCGCAGCCTTATGCCCGTGCCAATCTACACATGGGCCCTCCGTTCACAAAGGCCAGCTGCCAGCCAGTGTGTCTGATACGGAGGTACCATAGCACCGGTATGAGAGCCATTTGATAAACCTCGTCGGACCATGAAAGAAATTTGCGGGCGTAAACGGAAGGCGCGTTGGCCTATGTCAATGTCGCAATGGAGGCTTCCCACTGACAGATCATATATGTAGCACAGGTCTGGCTGCCAAGAGAATTTATCATCCCATATACCTTCAAAGGGCTAGTCGCGATGCACTGATGGCTTACCACGTATAACCAACTATTTGCCACTACCGTGGCTGGTGAGGCCTAGGACTGGTGTCGCCAAGAACATTGGTTAAGAACCGGACGTTTCACGCTGTTCAACATCGGCTATATGACTATTACCGGTCCGGCTGTCACAGAACGTTGACCGCGTCGCTCCAAGTCAAACACCGAAAGATATGAGATGAGCGTGGACGAACACAGAGGAAATCATAGCCCTCAGGCATTGGAGTCTGGAGTCTGGCTTTGGCGCTAATGCGCTCCAGTATGATACGCGTGCAGGTTCGACGGAACTTCACGCCAAACATCAGGGTTTCCGTAATTGTTAAAGATCCGCGGCACTACTAGTACATAATTCCACCGTACGGTCATGACGTGCCGCTCATCGCAGTTCGAGGCGTTCTCCGAGGCCCTGCCCCACACATTCTCAGGTCTAACCGATATCAATCATAAGTAGCCGATCTTGCTCCGCTATTCGCTACTACCCACGAATCACGGCCAGCTTGAATTTGCAAGTGGTTTCGGTAGGTCGGTTCAGGCCTCAGGTGTCGTTAATACGTCCTGTCGGAATCATGACTTTCTAGCGCTTACTCAATGTTTCAGCACGCACGACATCAGCCTGGGCTGTGCATCATTAATTCCCCACCATTGAAACTCTGTGTAGTGAGGTATGTTATTGATGTAATACGCTTTAGTACGTATCCTGACAGGCCGAAACCATGGTTCTTGACATTGGTAGATGATCGGTCTCGTGCAAATACTGTCAATGAAGCTAGTGGTTGCTCGATGAATGTCTCAGCCTCTTCTGTGCCCAAAAGACAACCGACAACCCGGGCATCAATGTCTGACATTTATTAACGGCACATAGATACGTGATACCTTAGTGAGCTCTTCTGCTCGGGTGGTGTTTAGGGGGCCAGAGCTACCCAGCAACACGACGGCACCACATGATGCAAACTCGCATGTAAAGGTAATCATCATCTCGACGGAGAGATGTCGGCAAGCAACTTTTCGAGTTATCTATCCCCTTCATGCTCTCTTCGCGATCACTGCCAGCGATGCATGCGGTGAAGGGTAGGTGGCGTCAGGTGGCGTCTTATTCGTGTGCTTTGATGCGAGAGTCCCAAACTGTCACAGGATGTCATGCGGCAATGCAGCTGGTTGGCCTAGACACCAGGAAATGGCCGTGATGGGAACACCACCTAAATCGTACCTTCAGAAGAATGACAAAAGCGGATCGCTTGATATCACAACATTCTGTTCATCCGATATGAATCAACTGCTGTAATCTCTGTGTTCTTATTACTTTCTTGCTTTCTCCTTTGTTCTACGCGGGGTAAGAGTGTGAATATTTAACCCGGAGCTAAGCTTGTCCAAATATAGCAGGGACAATTGCTCCATCAAAGTTCCGGAAGCTGGCTTATAAACAACCAACATCTAGCGATATGACCATTAAGACGGTACAATCCGAGAATTTGTGGACGGAAACACCCTTGGTGTACTCAAGCCATATTTCTGATATTATCGGATGTTCTGCATACCTAAAGCTGGAGGTGCGATATAGATTTGGACCACGTGCGACTCATCAAACAGGCGTACGTACAGAATCTACAACCTTCTCAATCATTCAAATACAGAGGTATCTCCAAATTCGCACAACAATGCAAGGATAAGCATGGTCCTTCGGTGCACCTGATGATCGCTTCGGGTGGAAATGCAGGCCTAGCTGCGGCAGTTGTAGCACGTGTTTTGGAAGTGAAATGCACAGTGTTCCTTCCCACCAATGTAAGTATCGACACGCAACAGGCTCTTCGAAAGCATGGCGCAGAGATTGTGACAATTGGGGAATTCTACTCCCAAACACTCGCTGCGCTCCAAGATGCCGTGAAGAAAGACGCAGATGCGTGAGCACAGGCTTACCCGTCACTTACGGCAAGCCAAACGCATCTTAGTGTCCCTAGTGCCAGCATATGATTCGCCTGTCCTCTGGGATGGTCATTCATCCATGATGACCGAGATGAAGAGACAGCTTCCTAGGAAGCCGGACGCCATATTCTGCAGTGTCGGAGGGGGAGGCCTTATCGGAGGCATCATGCAAGGCTGCAAGAAAGTTGGGTGGGATGAAGGTAATTGAAATCCGCTATACTCATACCTCTAATTCACGCCCAATAAAGTGCCGGTGGTAGCGCTGGAGACCACTGGCTCGAACTGCTTTTACAATGCCATCGCCATCAATACCCGGAACTTCACTTCTAAAGTCCCTATCGTACCTTCCATCGAAGTGGAGGACAATTCTCCGTATACCGTTGAAATTCTTGAGGAATATAATATCGCAATTCCACACATGAAAGCGTTGAGATCCCGAGCAGCCTCGCTAGGCGCAACCTCACCAGCTCCCGGGGTAGTTAGAATGGCAGTCGATCGTCCCGGAGGAATAAAATGCGCATGCATCCCAGACGAGATGGCTATGCATACTGCAAGATTATTTGGAGGTGAGTCCCTGTGCGATACGGAACGAAAATTGGCTGGCGCAATAACCACACTGCCAGACGATCATAAAATACTGACGGAGCTCGCTTGTTCGACAACTCTGACTCCCGGGTATAATCGCGAGTTTCTCTTGCGCATCCTCGGACCAACGTTCTCGGCACTTTCTCCAGAAGAGAGGAAAGAAAAGTGCCTGGTTTTTGTAGTGTGTGGTGGAGTCAAAATCTCTTTCGAGGAAATGATGGAATTTGAAGAGATTGTCGCTGCAGCGCAGGTGCAGAGCTACTGGAGTGTGCAAATTGATGGCGAAGAAACTCAGCTGCCTAAGCAATGATATAGAAACATAGAAGGAAACATGGACACACTCATACAATACTAGGAGCCTAGACGAAGTAAATGTATTTAGAAGGAAGTAAGGGAGACCTAACAACCACGACTGACTTATAAATGCTACTCGTGATGAGAACTTTAGGACATACCGTTACCCTGAACTACCACCATTTGAACCACCCTTTTGAACTCTGTGGAGGTGCCTCCGGCTGTGTTTGAAGTTCTTTATCCCGCTCCATTCGTCGTGCAAGTTTATCCGCCTTTATCCTTGCCAGCTCTTCTCGGATGGCGGTTTGATCCGTTGGTATTTTCTACGTGCATCTTGAGCACACGGATGAGCAGCACATTGATATTAAAAGACTCACACTGTAGGTCCTATCTGGAGGCGGGAATAGGTGTTCCCTATACTGGTCGCAACAGTCAACGACGAAGTCGTCATAAACAAAATGACAACCTACAGGAAGGACGTGGTTATGGTACCAAGCAGGATCACCGAAATGCAACAAGGCCATGACGGGTACAAACAAGTACAGACCAAATTTAAAGACCTCAAGATTTGGACCACCCATGATAGACGCAGCCAACGTACAAAGTCACTCACTGAACCTGAAGCGGCATGTAGCAGTCAGAAAACGATCACGTGACTTTCATTCATTCATTGACGCGTTGCCGCTCATACTCACTTGGTCACGTCTCCCATATAAAAACAACCATTCCTTCTTTTCGAAGCTCGTAAGTAGAAATCACTGATTAGAACGCCTATTGATGTAATTACTAACACTGGACTCAGATTTTCCCGACCTGCAGAGGCGACTTGGCCACAGATTATCATGGCACAACGAGAGGATGACTCGGAAGATGTGTCCTATAAGCGAGCAGTCCATCAGAGCGCTCTGAGTCGGCCTTCACGTCTGAGTAGTCATGAGAAATCCGGAATAGGTAAGACTTGAAATTATATTGCAAACCAGAATATATAGTCACATGTACTTCGCTCGTGCGACTTCCAGCCTCAACCTTCACTGCTGTGATATGCGATCCAACAAAGACCACAAGGTATAAACGTCATCTTACCACGGATTCTGAGTCTAGAGACGAACAGGCTAAACGCCCACGAGCCGATAAGGCTCCTCTTCGCAAGCATGAGCGGTTTTGGCTTGCAGACGGAAATGCTATAATTGAACTTGACGGTATAAACTTCAGGGTGCACCAATCATGGCTCACAAAGCATTCAAAACGGATTGCAGCCATACTTCCCGACCAAGGAACGCAAGGCAGCAGACTCGAAGAGATTACACTTGATTTTTGTGGCGTGCTCAAAGCAATAGATTTTGAGGCACTGCTTTCATTGTATGAAAACCCTGGGTAAGTATATGCTGAATTTTGATCATCATATCGTGCTGGCTGACGTGTGGATTAGCGACTACCGCGATTACATTGAGACCCCAACACTGATGTCTCTTATCCGCGCAGCGGCGATACTCGGTTTTGACAACGATCGTACATGGCTCGTGAGGGAGTTGGAAGCGCTTTGGCCGTCTAACCTTGGAGAGCTATTTGTCAACCCAGAACCACGCCTCGATGCTCCAGAGGTGGCTTGCCTTGCACGGACGTGTGACATTGATTCGCTGTTGAAGCCCGCGTTCTACGATATGGCAAGGGCACCTGGATTCGGTCTGGACAGGCTGGATGAATCAGAGCAGATCGGCCGTGCGGATGTACTACGCCTTGTTCGGATGAGAGAGTATCTGAGCGGAATGTGGGCTCAGGTAGCTGCACATGAGGATCCTACCTTTGTTTGCCAAAACCTCCAGGCTGCACCATCTAGCAACGACGAAAGGCCCTCAGGTTTATCTGCAAATACCAACGGGAAGCCTGTACTTTGCCCTACCACCTCTGCTATGGATAGTCACTGCCTCTCGGCGACGGCACGTCGCGAGGCGTGGGTTCGGCTTGTTCACTACTCACAAATTTTTGCCCAGTATCGGTACGACCCACTGCGCGGACTGGCAGCGTTGATAAACATTTCGTGGACCAACGAATGGTGCAGGGATTGCGTGGAGAAAAGGAAGGCTGATTGGCATAAAATGCAGAGGAGAATCTGGGAGATGGTTGGTGAGTATTTGAGAGAAGAATGACGAGTGGATGCTACAGTAAGTTACCTCCCATGATTCGAAATTTCGCGCAACCAAGAAACATTTCTCGCTAATGGTCTTGCTAGAGTTATGGTGAAGTTCACCGGCTTTGTACTGGAATTCGTGTCAGAATAGAAATAATTTGGATTGGTGTAAAGGCGTGCCAGAACTAAGTATTTGTCGTACAAGAAGTTAGCTTCCATTCCGTTACTTCATTAGGTTCTCTGCTGTTATTCATATAGCCTTTCTTTCCCCACCATTTCAAACTGCTTGGTACAGTGCTGTCGACAGCATTCACACTTTGGAACATTTACTTTACCTGTGCTCTTTCAGCATCTGGCCGTCAGGGTTTCCGAGTCCTGCTCCCCGATTATATATTCCATTCGGCATTCCCTAAAATTGATGTCTGCAAAAATTGTCGTATTGAACTCTTGTTCGGAGTGCATTGCATAACTTTGGTCTTCCGTACGTGGGCAGATGGAAAATAATGGAATAATCGATCGATAAACTTTCTTTCTTGTCCGGCAGTCTGTAGAGTGTCATAATGTCGGTCGATGCATTGATACGATCACATGACCTATTGTGGTGTGGTCATTCATATTCATTCCGCGAAAGTTCTGAACGTTGAACGCTCATTCGAAATCACTGGATTCATCTTCTCCCGAACTGCAGGGTGACAACAGATCATAGAATACATGGCGCAACAAGGGAGTGAAAATATCGCTGATAGCCAAACAGTCAATCAGATTCAGAAGCCTCGAAGACAGTCGCTCGTTTACCCTCTCCGTTGGATTAGTCCTGAAATCTCCGATGAAGGTAAGACTCGAACGGCACCAATGGTGACCAACCAGCGAACGATATTTCTATATAATGTGCACCACTCATACAATTTCACCCTTGGGTTCAGATGTACCCGCTATTTCAAGCATCCCAGTAAAGAATGCACGGCGAAAACGCCAATCGTCCCCGAAGCCCGAACCAGCAAAGAAGAAGGCTAAACCTACACGAGCCGAGAACCTCGTCGAAGAAGTTCGCAAGCATGAGCGGTTTTGGCTAGCAGACGGAAATGTTGTCATTGAACTTGACGGCATACACTTCAGGGTGCATCAATCATGGCTTGCCCAGCATTCAAGACGCATTGCAGCCTCACTCTCCGACAAGGGAAAAAGTGGTGACAAATTTGAACAAACGAAACTCAATCTTCGTGGCAAACTCAAAGCAATAGATTTCGAGACGCTGCTGTTGTTTTATGACAACCCGGGGTGAGTGTCTACTAAAATTTGGATATCATATTTGCATCGGCTAACAGATGCGTCAGGGACTATCGCCATGCTATCGAGCCTCGCACCCTAATGTCCCTAATTCGCGCAGCGACAGGCCTTGGTTTTGACTCAGACCGTGCATGGCTCGTGAAGGAGTTGGAAGCGCTTTGGCCCTCTAGCCTGGAAGAGCTGACCGCAAACCCAGAGCCGTACCTCGATGCTCTGGAGGTAGCTGTACTCGCACGGACGTGCAACATTGATGGGTTATTGAAGCCTGCATTCTACAATATGGCAAGGATGCCTGGGTTCGGTCTTAACAAGATTAAGGAATCAGAGCAAATCGGCCCTGTGGATATGTTGCGCCTTATACGGATAAGAGAGTATTCGAGTGACATATGGATACAGGCAGCTGCGCACGAGGATCCTGCCTTCGTTTGCCGAAACCTCCGCGATGCGCCATCAAGTGATAGTGAAGGAATGTCGACTCCCAAACAAGCTGACGAGAAGCCTGCACTCGGCTTTATCGATATTATCGCCTCTGCTAGTGCGGCTAGCACATGCCTTTCGGTCACTGCAAGACGCGAAGCGTGGGCTCGGCTGGTATATGACTCAGGTATTTTCACTCGATATCGCTATGATCCACTACGTGGACTAGCAGCGTTGATAAACATCGAGTGGACGAATGATTGGTGTAAAGATTGTAAGGAGAAACGGAAGGCGGATTGGCATACAATGCAGAGGAGCATCTGGGAGAAGGTTGGCGAGTATTTGAGGGAAGATTGATGGGTGGATATTGCAGTGAGTCACCTTGCTCCGCAGGTTTCTTGCTCCCCTGATGATTCAAAGTCTTGCTCGCATAAGTATTTCCACCGTTATGTATCGCTCGAGTTGTGCTAGAATTGACTGATTCTACACCGAAATCAGAAAAGGGGTTTTAGACGAATGTTCAAGGCGAACTAGGACCAGTACTAGTAAGTATAGAGCTGAGTTTCATATTCTTGTTGTGCGCTTATTAATAAGTACGGGATATCCCGATTGCCCCTATTCAATATCATCTTACCTTACACATACGTCGCAACTCACACATTTACCTTGACGACAACATGACCGACGCGAACACACACCCGCCGACTCGAGAGATTGTACATGTCCATGTCACTCATCCAGATCGGGACGATCTTTTCCGCATCGCAGCAACTCCCAGTGATTTGATCAAAAAGAATGTGAAAACGTTCGGCGTACAATGTACGCAGTGTCAAAAAACGTTGGATAAACCTTTGAAATGTTCAAAGGTGCTAGTGGACTGATACATTTCTGTCACAAGCGCTCATCACATATTTTCGTAGTGCAAGGGTGTCTGGTATTGCTCAAAAGAGGTAAAATTTGTGACTGGGACAAAACACAGGGGCTGACGTTACAACTGCAGTATATTCTTGTGATAGTGCCAAAAGAAACATTGGTGAGCGTTCTTTTACAACCAATACACAGAGATCTCAGACCCGGACTCGCACTCATGATAGGCCCGCTCACAAACCAGCATGTCATGACGTTGAACGCTCCTCGGGGGCCCTCAAATTCGTACGAACGTTCTTCGCAAACATAACGCTCATGATGTTCCTCAAAGTTGCCATCATCTACGACTGTGGTTTGCTCGACAACTCTCGGCTCGGGTTCGACGTGCCTTTCATGGCACGTGTTGACATCGCCATTGAGCCAACTGATATTCTCGACTTCGCGGGACTATATCTCAATAATAGGCCCATTGCGGAGAAGCTTAAAGGAATGGTGCAAGTCAATACCGTCTCTGCGTGGGATCCGAACACGCATCCTCCCCTCACGCCGACGCGGCTGCGCTTATGGCAGGATGCTCGAGCACAGTCCACCGCAGCAGGTTACGGCAAAGATCCTGTTGGACTCATCGAATTCCTCAACTATACAGAGAACTCTACCACCGTAGCGGTTCATATTGCCAGCTCTATTATAGCCGTCGCAAGGAAACGCGAACCCTTCTTATGTTCCTCTGCTCTCACGGGCAATCAATCTCAGAAGCCCATGGACTCTGCGACATGTACAGAGTGCGTTATTACCTGTGATGCGAATTTCAACAAGCACAGCCCCTCACAATCGCCTTGCATAGGTATATCAACTTGCATATTCGGGCCGATGAGCAGAATCAGTTACTTTTACGGACTGTGATGACAGAGCAAGACAAGGAAGTTATTCGCGCTGCAGGTCGCAATGAAGACTCGCTTCCCGTCTCCCTTCTCAATTACAAGATGCAAAGAGAACTTCTCTATGCTAACATAATGAATTTGAGACGCTAGTCAAATACACCCTCAGGTGTGCGTTTTTCAGAGCGTTGGACTTTTTCTAATTGTTGCATATAGACAACAGACGACTGAATATTATCTCGCACAAACTAATTTTTGGGAATGTTTGTAACCGTGCTTGTAACATTGGAACTATTATATTACCAAGATATCATACGTGTAACTTCTACTGTATCATCAAATCATGTATGCTGAATCCGTTCGCAAATTTATGTAAAGTTCCATCAATTCCGCGTCATCATGATAAAATCATGGACAAACTCGAAGGACTTGATATGGATCTTGGATCCCGCCTTCCTTTGGTCTTCCTGAGGGAAAGTTAGAATTTCGCCTCGCCGATATATTCTTCATTGTACGTTTGTGAGTCACAATTTTGTGTTGACGTTATTTGCTCTAGTAGGCCCCTCTCAGATGGATTTTTGTACTGACGATGTATGTAAGGCCCTTGGCCAGACGTACATGTCCTTCATCCGAGCTTCAGTACATCGTGGCCAATAATTACTCCCCGTCCCCAACACGGATAATCACACACCTATTTCCGAGCGCCTACAACTCTAGCGGGACAAACCCCGGGCCACGCATGGTTCAAGTTTAGTATCCATTCTTTCGATACAGTCTCTATACCGAAGGAATCACATTCTGCGGACGACATCTGCTTGTGGGACAACGATGAAGGCTTTGCCGCGATGATTCCCATACTACTATGATAATATCAACGCCCTCACAACAAACAGTCGAGCAGCACCGGTCAAAAAGAACGTTGAGTACAGTGACTTCAGTTCCCCACTCACATAGGCTCAGGATGTTCATGGGTCCTGTAAAAAACCTGATTGCTGTCGTGTGTGTTGTCAACAAGACACTTTTTATGAACCTTAGAGCCCTGGGTGGTCGATGGTGATCACTCCGAAGCTGCTAGACGGACGCCGGAGACTCTTTCCGTCGGTGGTGCAGGATTCCAACCTCACTGGTATAACCTTGAGGGTTTTGGGAGGCATGTCGGTTTTCTGTGAGAATCTCTATTGCTTGATTTTGTGGCGGCTGCAGGTTTGGGGCTGGCGGCATTCCACGACATCCACCGTGATCCTTTCTCAGATATAGTCGAAGAACCCCACATTTGATCTTCCATTCGATTTTGGTGCCACCTCAGCGGCGACATAACCCACGCACATTCAATCAACCTTCTGTTTCTTCGGCTGCTCGTTGTCATCGACAATCTGAAGCTCTATTCAATCGAGGATATGTCCCAGATGCCATAATTGATGGCGTGTTTTCTGATGCCCATCCCATTTCCACGCACATGGTTCGTCCTTTCTGACTGAGTATGACTTACAACTGCATGTGCAAGCCCAATATACGATGTACACCCTAGACCCCAAACGCCGAGTCCTATGCATGACCGAGGGCGGGAAAGAGGAGCTCATCTACAGACTACATCGTCTCCATGAGGATCTTCTTCGATCTTGACGAAATAGAAGCAGCAACGCCAATACCGTGGAAACACTGGGGCCCTTCATTTTCGAGCACATGCAGGATCGCATGGTTCACCTTAGTAGGAATCGAATTCTTGCAAGCAATCCCGGCCGGTACTACACTAGTAGCCTAAACTCGGGTCTCACGGAGGCATACGATCGGATGAACTTCGGCCCGTTAGCTGTGACGAAGAGGCGGGGTCTAAGACGAGTGGTGAGAGTCTTCTGCGATGGATTTCGGTACCTCCACTAACAAGCCCAAGGAGAGTCTGACAACCTGCCTGCCTTGTATCGGAAACAGGATTGCAGTTTGGCGAGTTAGATCGATCGACCAGGGTAGAATTGATATACTCCAAACACTTCACGAATTCACAATACCGACCTCGAGGTCATTGATGTTTGGAGCGGTCTATTAGTTATGAAGATAGATCGTAGCCCTCGAGTAATCCCATGCAATACAAGTTCAGAGCCACCAAGAATGTAGCGAGTTTCCGACAGTTCAAGGGTCGTCAAAACAATCAAACTACTTCTTTATTAGCATACAGGTCTACCTTCATCCACTTTGTGAACTACGGCTCCATATTCTACTTACTACATTTCTTGGTATAGAAACTCTACGCAAACAAGGGCACCCAAACAGCAGGGCAGGTAAGTACTAGTGTTCATCGCGTCGCGGTCTATGGGTACAGACAAGACTGTGAGATAGCAACACAATATGATGGTAAGAGATGAGGAAAACAAAAGTGCTACGGTATAATAGTGCACACGTCTATGTGCAAGACAAAACAGGAAATGGTTACCGGACATGCGATGACTTTGAGGAGGGGGCATTCGCATTCTCCTTGGCGGTAGAGGATGACGGGACAGGAGGTGCAGATAGTATGGGCGCTTGATGCGGTTGTGCCAATTCCCGCTGCAGTGCGCCATCATCGCTTCCGGTACCCGCCTCCCCAACCGGTTTCATGGCATCTACCTCGTCGGCATCAAGTGAAATTTGTTCTGTAGACTTGCGTCTTGCAGCCTCTTCTTCTTCGGCCCGCCGGACGATATCGATCTCGCCCTGCACCGTTATACCGTCCAGCCATGTATGATGCACAAGCTCAAAAGCTTTTGCACGGCGCTCGGGGTGCAATTGGAGCATCGGAGTGAGGAAGGCAGAAATAGCATCAGCTTCGTCCTTCGGGAAGAGGTACTTGTCATGCAATACCGCTTCAAGAGGCCAAAACCGAAGCTTGTTGATATGTCGGAGTTCACCTAGAGTATGATACGGTGAGAACGTATCAGAGGGCATTTCTAGGAAACTTGCCTTTCCGGTTGAAGAACTCCGAACTATACTTCCCTGAAAACGCTACTGACCTCGGGATTTCTCTCAGCAGCTCTATGATCTGGGCAATGTGGTCATCATCTTTGCTGTACCGTGGGCCTGGCGCGGGATCGAAGAGATAGTCTCCTCCGGTAATGAGTTCGAATACCTGAGGTGTGTATGAGCAGTATGCCCTGAGCGATGATGATTGTTGGACATACCAAACAGGCAACACTCCACACATCTGCACTAGTGCCCCACTTAGCTCCAAGAATGACCTCCGGACAACGGTACTGTCGCGTCTGAATATCATCTGTAAAGTGATGCTCGACCCAGGTAGCTACGAAGATAGAGAGCACCGCCGAAGCGAATGTCAATGAGCAGCCATGAAAATGCAATGAAAAACGCAATGACAATAATGTAAAAGGAAGTGTACCAACCGTTACCAAGATCCGCAATTTTGACTGTGATCTTCGTAGTACTCTCGAGCAGGCTAGACGTTGTAGATGTCTCTGCCAGTACCGAATCCATAGACATGACAGAGGTGGAAAGCTTTGGATCGACAGCACTGGGTTCCATAGATGTTTTGGAAGTCGATACAGCGTGTGGCTGTGATGATGTTGTAACTGGGGGCTGGGAGGGGGCCATTTGTGTCAGTAGTGAAGGCCCTGGAGGATGGGCAGGGTGAGGTGTCGGCGTCTTATTGAATCCGGATGGATGGAGTGAGACATTTGAGATACGCTCTGCGGCCACCTCTGTCGAGTCTGCGCGCTTGGAGGAGGCGTCCATAGGGCCCAATCCTGATGTTGCAGCTGATCCAGCTGAGCCATCCTTCACCATTGAACTAGATCCGTAAGATCCGGGCTTGGAGGTGGCCTCACCATCGATCTTGCTCATACCGAATGCAAGTTTATCGAACATGGGGCTGCTGCCGAACGAGGAGGATGGGGACGGTAGGGGCTGAGATCCGGTTATGAAAACGGATTCGGAGCGAGGTGTCTGGTTGCCACCACGACCTTTGGAAGGTGGTACGCCGACGAGTCGGGTGGGTGGTGATGTGGCATTTGCTGATGCGGCAACCTCGGTCTGAATGATAGATTCGACGTCATCGATACTTATAAGAACGTTTTCAGGCTTCAAGTCTGTTGGAACATGGTCACGAGGTCCGAGGGAGAGGCAAAAATAACGGACCTGTGTGAATTATGCCACAACAACGATGCATGTAATCCAAACCTAGAAGGATTTGTTTCGCGATTTGTTTGACGAGGTGCATGGGCACGCCCTTGTTCTGATGTCGTTTGATGAGGCCGAGGAGATTTTCACCCAAGACTTCAGAAACCATGCACACGTGAGTGCCATTAGGACCTTTATGTCGGAAGTGATCCAAAAATGACATGACATGTGATCTCCCGGGATGTGTGTGGGCATGGGATGGAGGAGGATTTGGATTATCAGGGGTTGGGGGGACGGGAAGAGTGTTAGATGTGATCAAACGTTGGAGTAGTTTGATCTCATCGAGAGCGGTCTCTGTGTACCTCGGAGCGGACTTTACGATTTTGAGCGCGACATGACGATTCATTCTGATCGGATAAAAAAACGGAAGGAAAGATAAACGGACTGCACGTGGGGAGAGAAGATGTGCCTGCTTACTTTGTGTCTTTGGCGAGCCATACTGTGGAGAAATGACCCCAGCCGAGCTTCCTGACGACGACATACCTGCTGTCTGAAAAAGAGTCACCGATGTGAACAGGATGGTAGCCTCCCTTGACGTAGTCCTCCCAATCTTCTTCGTCTTCGGTCATGATGGATTGGGAGTGAGAAGAATAGGATGCGTGAGACATAGTGAAATTCGGGTATGCTGTAAACGAAAACGATAAGGCAAGTTCTGTCTAAGCAGGCGATAAGAACTATGTTTGATAGCAACGGGAGATAAGCTTACCTGCAATGTTTAACTGATTCTATTTGGGTATACCTTTCGCTATAACACAGTAAAAATCAGTAACAATAAGAACACTTGAACGACGACGGCGACGACGACGAGAACGACGACGACGACGACGACGACGATGACTACAGTGATCAAAGTATATCAGGAGACATGTGATTGGCTACTTTTTGGCTGACTAATATAAGTGACATATCATGATATTGTTTATTCCAGACGTTCTTGCCAAACAACCGCACGATGACCACGCCATCAAGGAGCTAGTCCAAATCTCCGCCCTGCTTCCCTATGGAGTAAACCTATACGTCTTTCCCCGCACGCATCAATGTCTACCCGCAGGTTACACGTCATAATTACCACAGGAACTCATCTGCCTCGTGTAATCACAATAGTCACCAACGTTGTATCAATGACCTCTGCCGTCAAACCAAGTTTCGTGTAGGCCACGAGATCATATTCTCGAAACCAGATTAACCATCTTGGTATGTCTCTGGCTTCTGTTTACCTCTTCAGGCATTCCGTGAATAGCATTGCATGCCTGAAACACGTGTACAAGTCATGACTTTCCCTGTCGCCGGTTCCCCAGCTTTCATAATCATCATCCATTAATTGATATTTACGCCCTCCTTCATCCGGTTCGGATAACACGAGGCTGCGCCTTCCATCCTGTGCTATTTATCCTTCAACTCTGCTGATCATACATTCTCACTCCACAGCTTATCAGCATCCTTTCAGGTGCTCGATCGTGCCTATCATCGTCCATGGTTCCATTCGCCGACCTTGATGATGAACAAAGGTATGCTAACAACCATATATCGTAATGTCCCTCTCATCCCCCATAGGATCAGCATTGCCAACGAACACCCCAACGATCTCGAGTCTGGGCCATCCTCTCCATCCTCCCCACCCAGCTACCTCCGTCCTCGTCGTCCCAGCAAATCAAATTCCCGCCATCGGTCACAACATACCACCACAGACGGTGGCTCAAGCAGCCACCTCCTCGCCCGTCTCATCGCTCGCGACGATGAAGTCCGCGAAATCAATGCACTTCTTGTCGTCACTTCTGAACGTCTCGAGACAGAGTCCAACCGGGCTAACAGTTCAGAGCGCCGTGCGCTCGAATACTTCAACCGATTGCGTCAAGCAACCGAGAATCGCGAGCGCGCTGAACAAGACTCAGCTCGTCTTCGCGAGGAGTTGAAGCTGTACAAACTCCAGCTTGAAAATGCACAAAAGGAAATTTTTCGTGCACAGGATATCATTAATCAAGTTTCTGCTCAGAAATGTGAAGCTGAGGCAGATGCTGCGAGAGCTAGAACAAAAGCAAGGAAGTTGCAGGAGGAGAAGATGATGATGCTCGCCCACGAGGATGGCAGGCGACGTGGTTACAAAGAGGGCCTAACAATCGGACGTCGGCTCGGCTTCGACGAAGGAAGCACGATAAGAAATGATGATGAACCGGTCCGACGAGTGCATCGGCCTGCCGTCCTACCAGATGGAGGGGACGAAGAAGAGGAAGAAGAGTCGGTGCACTCCGAACGTAATAATGATGTACGCTCACAGCCGCGGGCGCACCCACGATCTTCAAGACAGTATGTAACCATATATCTATGTGCAATCATACTCATTTTTTATGGACAGCGTGCGCCCGGAGTCTGCTCCGCCTGTTGGGCAGTATGGTACTGCGCCATATGCAGCTCCTATTATACCAGTTCCACCACCGCAAGCAACCCCAGTCCCCTCCCATTCCCCTCCAAGAAGAATTATGACGCCCTCGCCACCAACGAGTCCCCCAGCGGAGACCGTTTACCCTACGCAAATACGCACAACCTCTAGCCACTCAGCTGACGTTCCCCGGGATGGTTGGATACCGCGAGCAGACCCACAGACATCGTACATCCCAATCCCACCGCCACACGAACTTTATCAGCCCGTGTCCCTGAGCTCTAGCACACACCCACACGACTTAGATAACCGCTCACGTCGCGGTCCTTCGTATGATGCTGAGGATTCAAACTATGCTCTTGTGAGAACTCGCGATTTCGCATATGCGCAACCTGCCGCAATCCCAGTCCCAAGTCTGCATACTCCATCTCTCATGTCGCGATCAACATCAACGCATATGTCTCAATACGAGCTTGTAAGCGCCCCCACCGAACGACATGGAGTTTCACTTCGTCACGATGTATCTTCCACGCACACAAGGAGTGAAAGTCAGACTGAACGACGTACGTCATCGCGCGGCGGATATCCCCCCGAGAAAAGTCGGAAGGAAGATCTGGTAGAACAATGGCGTGTAGACCCAGAAGTTGTTGCTACAGCAACTCCTGGGCCGGCCGTAAGAGATTTTGTGCGATATTATCACCAGTATTCAATATCAGGGCACTAACTTTATGCTTGTTTAGCAACCTATCCCACCTCCTGGACATCAGCGTCCCAGGGAGTCAAACATCCCCGCCCCACATACTGATTCACGTGCTTCAAGTCGAATAGAGTCCCAATCATCGCAAGGTCCTTCCCAGAAACGGAGTCCACCACGATCAAGAAATCCACTCGACTACTTCAACTTCAGGCAACGTTTCCACCAGCGAACACAATCAGCTGCCAGTGTTCCAAATATAACTGTTGAACCCCCGGTATGTGCTCCGATATGAAATGCATCTTCTGTTCACATGTTTTACAGTCCGATGAAGCTTCGACTCCATCTGACCACTCTCATCAAGCACACCATCATCTTCTTAGTCCAGATGTCGCAAATCGGCCCCTTCCTCCGGTTCATGAAGAATCCCGGACATCCGAAAGACATTCGCAAGACTCACACGGCGCCTACCAGTCGACCACACCTACACAGCCTCCATGGCCAGCAGGGTTCATGCCCGTCTCAGGGGAACCACCAGAACCGGGCTCCCAATATCCTCGCTCAAGAAGTCGAGGACCTGATGAGCATTATCAGATGTCGCCTATTCCTGAGGGTATTTCATACCCTGAACCGCCGATGCGTATTTCGTCGTCTCATGGACATCGTCACCCGCAAGAGTCTGAACGATCGAGCTCGCCGGCACCTCTGCAGAGACCGATATCATTGTTCTCTGACCAGGATGGGTGAAACAGACATAATTCCATTATGATTTTTTGTATTTGTAGAGTTTTGATTTTGACGCATTCGCGCACTGTCCTTACACCATTGCCACATTATGAAACTTGTCTTTCCTTCCAAGCCAGTGACTTTTAGATGCGTTTGCTTTGTGTACAGCTTTGATCATCGGTAACTACTACCAAAGTATGATAGGGTGTTGACTGAAGCGCTGATGGCACTGGTGACTCGCCGGCTCCCTTCGATGTCAAGCAGATTATCCCGCAACTGATCGATGATCGAAGATGACTGATCGAGATAGAGGGTGCTTGGCTGTGCTCGGGCCAAGCTCGGGCACCTCAGCTGAAGCTGTCTTATTAGTAAGCCATCATAACTTCCGGTGGCACTGACGTTGCATCTTCATTTTAAACAACAAACACATGAAGACCCTTACAGCGTCCTAATTATGATGCTGTACCCGCCCTTATTTACGGAACACTGTTCTGTCTGATCCGTGGATGTTTGATGTGAGTCAACCATTTAAACGTCAGACAGTCACAGTGATACGCACGCATTTATCCCTCAGTTTTGAAGATGTCATCCGCGAAAAGCCTTCATTCAGACTCGAGTCAGACTCGTCCGAATTCGCACCAAAACTCGTGCCTGTAGATAATGGAATCTTGCAAGATACAGACTCTGCCGCGGGCGAACTTCTTGGAGTATAGGACTCCAAGAGCAGCTGGGCGCTGCGGATGTGGACCCTGCCGTCCGAGAAGCAAGGAATGTTTTTCTTTCAAGTTGTCTTTTCTGATAATGGTGCTTGGCATGCGCTCTGCATTGCTTACAGGATAATTACTCCAGGAGGCTGTGGCTGCTCAGGTCATTCTCCATATCACTATTGAAATTGTGGAGTGCTCGTTGCAGATGATGCGTGCTCAGGAGCTACAGAGGAACCCCCTATTCCAGAAGTCATCGCAATGCGCCATCGTGCTGGAGCCTGGATACTCTCTGGAATTCTCGCAGGACAAACTGCGGACGGATCGAGATTGATGAGTTTTGTTTTTCTTCTTTTGTTTCGCGGTCTCCCGGATCTTATTATAGCTCAAGATTCAGCGCTGCAGCGTTCAACTGTAGCCTCCTGAAGCAAGATATGGAAGTTGTGATTCTATCTGCCGACACTCCTGAATGCATTGGCAATTACTGCGGGTCTCACGTCGATACTGGGCTCCACCTGCCTCGGAAAAAGTGGATCACAGCTTTGTCCTGGGCGCTGAAGATTTTTTGCGGCTCGTCCAGCCTCGGAATTTTGCTGTAGCAAGTTCACAGAATGTTACATAGCCCCACCCACAAGTTCGGACGCCAGTGGAAGACCTGTTGGGATCCTGAATACAATTCTATTACTCAGCATCCGATATGTGCGTGAACAGTGATGAGGCGTTCGTGCAAGATTGTTTTGTAGTTCAGCGCTTGTAACGCATTCGCAATACGGAACCTCAGCGTGCACTAGTCCCCCTTAACAGATTATAGACGAATGAAGATGCGTTTTTCCTAAGTCTGAGTGTGCACGTTCATTCATTTTTTTGACGTCTAAAGTGTTATCGCCAAAAATGTCTTCTTCAACAGCCTCGACTAGTGCTTGAATTGAGCGTCGGTTGTCAATACATTGAATCCATGCTTGGACCTCTCGTAACTGGCATAGATTTCTTTGACCTGCTGCTAGGACCACCGAAGGCGCCGAGTAAAGCAGGTGCTCGACATCTGTCTCAAAGTTACTCTTTATGGACGGTGAGGCTTTCACGGGATGACGCGGGCAGCTATGTGCGCTTACCTTGCTTTCAGCGATCCCGCAGCGAATACCGTAATGTAAGTACCCTGCATTTAGCGAAAACATACCATTGTACAGTGGTGAGAAATGTCCACAGTGCCAGTTGAATAATTTCTTGTTTCAACTATTGTCCACAACAATGCAGCCGATAGAGTCGATGGCGCTGTGAGCTCCGCACCCGAATGCTACCCAGACAAAAAACTTAGACCTGTGGACTTGTGCATACGATTGGACATATAAAAAGGATCGTGCAAATCACCGAGGGCTACCAACAACTCTTCATCATGCACAACGCTCTTAAAGTCAACGAAATCGTCTACACTATACTGGAACACGTCAAGTCCTCTAAGTCGGACTTGCGAAACATGGCGATGACCTGCTCCGCGTTCTCAAATATCGCCCTCGACATGCTATGGTCTCAACAGGACAGTTTGACACCCCTCTTCCGGTGTCTCCCGCGAGACACTTGGAATCCCTGGTGGAGTGACGTTATGGTGAGTGATGTCTGCCACTTGACAGGACGATGATCATCGTACTCCAATTTGCAGGATTTTATCCGCGAACCGCTACCCACGGAGTGGGAGCGGGTCAGGATCAATGCAGTAAGGATACGCGAGTTGGTCTTTACGGGGAACACCAGTCGTTCCCCGAAACCAAGTCTCCAGGTCGTACAGCGACTTTTCGAGCTCTTTCCGCCCGCTGTGTTGTTCCCCAAACTGCGCACATTGCATTTCAAGGCATTATCTCAGTATTTGCGGGGCTTCGATTCAGAACTCTCGTTGCTTCGCCAGTTCCTCTCGCCTAGATTGGAACGCCTCGTATATAAAATAGAGCCCCGCGCTCCGGCGCGCGAGGTAGAGCAATTGTTTGATGATATTTTTACTCAAGCGCCTGGCCTCCAACAACTATCACTACTCAGTGCCCACAAGCTTTTGGCCTGTCCTTCCAAAGCACCTAAGCTGCCGAAGAAGCTGAATGTTCTTTCGATTGGCCCACTCCGCATAGGTCTGATGAAGCAGATCATTCCCGACATCCAGCATTTGCGCAGTCTCCAATCCCTTACACTGGCTGTGGGAAAATCATTTGATATGACATCAGATGGTATACCACTTGAATTCAGTACGCTCAAACATCTTCATCTCACTGGCGCCCGCTTGGAACATTGCACATCCTTCCTTCATAATGTTACCATGCCACAATTGTCATCCCTCGAAATCTGGTATTTCACAGCTAGTGGACCAGCCGAAGTCACCGCGGTCGTCAGGTCCTTATCTACGTTCTGCAAAACATTTGCATTTCTGGAGAATATCACTATGATCAACCAGTCGGGAGATCGCTTTGGGGAACTTGGGACTCTCCGTTCCAATATTTTCCGGCCTTTGCTCCTGTTCGGGAAGCTGTCGAGTGTCAAATTTATTGACATTGGAAAATACTGCCTGGACGACGCGTTCATTGAGGACGCTGCATTTGCCTGGCCAGATCTCCATACGTTGACATTCGCGTCAAAAGAATATGGCGAATGTCAGGTCACCTTGACCTCGGTGCTTTCATTAGCGACCAGGTGCAAGTCGCTTCATGAACTGCACTTAACGTTCGATGCCACACATTTTCCGACACTTCCCCGTGCGCCGGATGGAAACCTGGAACTTTGGACCACGCAGACGGCCTTCCGCAAGCTAAATATCGGAGAGTCGAAGGTGTCGGAAGCATCACGTTTGCACCTCTTCCTAGCAGTGCTGTTTCCAAATCTAGCCAGACTCGAGTATTATATCCGTTTCGAGGGTGCTGCGGCGTGGATACAAACGGAGGAGGCATGGAGGGAACTGCTGATCGAGCGGGAAAACTCTCCAGACGAGGCAGCTTCTTGGCCAAACTTTTTACTGCAGCTACAGCCTTAGTCGGAGGAGGAGGACCAAGTGGAAGATGAGGAATGGGAGAAGGAGGACAAGAATGACTTATTGTGAGGATGAATAGGTGGTCTCAAGCTGTACATGAAATATTACGATATGTTAGCTATTATGTACCTTTGCTCTATATGCTTGCGTATGCCTGAAAGTAGGGAACAAATGTAAATCACGCTGTAGTTCGTTGTGTTCGGTATTTATACGTCTCATATGAAAAGGCTCACTCTCGTCCGCAGCCACTTCATCCCAGTGCCTCCTCATTCGCTCAGACGTATAAAACTTGCGCATGAATATTGAGTAAGGAACTCCAGGCTGCGCCTGAACCCTCAAAGGCATTTATGTCAGCCTCAGTCTTCCCTTGGTACGCTCGCGGTGGGCAGTGGGCAGTAGTACCGATAGTGATGCAACAAGAACGCATAAATGTAATCAAATCCTCTTGTTCCCTGCAGAGGCCCTACACTCGTAGTGTAATTCATATTACACACCTCCTGTGTTACACACTATTTCTAGTTGATACATGCACAGATTCTTGGAAAGCATTTGAAATCAGATTAGGTCCTGCATCGAAGTCGATCATGAGCCTAGCGTAATTTTCTCGAACACCGAGGATCAGCCGTTGTCCCAGTACAGCTGACTGCCCAATGGTGAATATTTTCAGAAAACCAAAATAAGTCACAATTGCTTGGGAACATGAGTTCTATGGGAAATGATGCATCGATGAAGCGTGGTTGCATGCGGAGGTCAGTGACACATTGGCGTACCTTTGGCATCGTTGACGAACAATAACCGAGGCAGAAGCATAAAACTACAACGGAGCTGGTATGTGAAGAACTTCAACGGAAAATATAACCACGTTCACGTTGTCGGCTCACCTCACAAAGTAACTCATATGAATTTTCATTAACACCACGAAACAGTCCCTAATAACACTTCCCGCCGAGTGTTGTCGCAATTCACGGAAGTGCTTTAAAGCAATCCGGACTGCAAGACACAGTGTGAACACCTCCCACACACCGGTGAGTATCCAAGGGATGGTGCCCAAATATTGGAGATCGTCAGCAATGCACTGATAGGTGCCAGAGAGGATGACTTGCTCTGAAATTTATTAGTGAGCCTGAGGCACTCGAAGTTTTCGATCCATAATTGAAGCTTACCCGCTGAAATATACTTCATATTTATTGTGAGCATCACTATATTGGCGAAAATGATGGTCGTGAAGACAACAACCAGAACCTTTCTAGATCGTTGATACATGACATTTAATCGAGCAATCATGATGACTTTGCGCGATATTTCAGTGAAGTCGAGGTATCGCAACTGTATAGGCTCACCACCAAGTATTGCAATCAGGACCCACATCGTCCAATATAGCGCAAAGTACATGTAATAGCCTGGGACATCCGGTCAGCGATGAGCTTCAGAGGATCACATGCTCCAAAGCAACTCACAACTGTAGCCATCATTATTATGGATCAGAAAGCTGTCCAAGAATGTCGCTCACCCCTACATGATAGTTGATTAGACGGGTATGGAAGGGAAAACATTAGTACGGAATGCCCACTGTCACTAGACCGGTTCTCTACTAGTACGGACCCATAAAATAGCTAAAAAGAAGATGAGCGGCCACCAGCTGGATCATTTGATATCAGAGGGTGTGAGTGAGTGAGCGGCGAACTTGGTGGACGAATGACGATGAAATTCGTACCATTTATATCACCTTTTATTGCCAGCATGAGTACGTGTATAATACCGTCCATCACTTGGTTGTACTGAAGTAAAGGTTTTTGTCACGACTCACAGCTACGCGCTGGAAAAACTAGATTATACACAGGAAGTTGGAACGTTCAAACAAATAGTGAACATCCTGATTTCGGCGACTAACTTGTTTCCATTGCCATTCATCCCGACTCATTTGTGCGCTACTGGATCTTCCAACATGAAAAACTATACTAGTTCCCGTGTCTACTGCGGGTGGAGTAAATCACATCGCATCGCTAAAGAGAGTCAAAGAAAGTTTTGGCCTGGGGCTGCTGCGCGCAAACACATATGTGGTATTTGGTCCACAGGGGCCGAGTCGTTCTGTTATACCGGCATGTTAAACAATATAATCAGTAGAACGTGAAGCCGGGTAAGAACGTAGCAGTAGACGGTTCAACACTCCGCCGACGTGATATGCCAGCTGCAGTGCACCATCACTAAACTGTATCAAACCCTGATGTAAGTTATGTGAGCCGGAGCAGTAGATCGCCAAATAAAATCCTATACATTCATATCCTCGGGTCCGACATCCCAGGGTCACCGGGCTTTGTCAAATGAATTCGTTTGACCTAAGCCTACTTATAGCCAAATCAGTCTGCAGTCATGCATGGTCACCGGTCATGTCCCACGTAAGTACTAGTAGCTGTCGGGGACTCGGGACTTGGACTAGCTGCTGGCACGACCGAGCGCCGTTATGATTATTGTGCCTTTCACACAATTTAAAGCGTCAGCTTCATTGAAGACAAATCTTAAACGACTATACCTTTTATGAGTTATCCACGTTATTGACCGGCGAGTGACTAGGCAGGTTTTCACAAAACACTACCAGTGACATGCGTCACTATCAATCCAACATTCCAGAACGTTAAAGACTTGAGCTGTGTGCTGCATCGTAGTTCAGTTGTTTAACAGGGATGGAAGGCAACGATGTGAGATACTCGCTGCCTGCATCTGTCATCGAAATTGTTGAAATCAAAGCGGATAGTTGAGGGACCAGTCTGGGCCTCAGGTCGCGGCTGACCCAGGCTGAGTTTTAATTGTATTTGGTTACGGCCATTTCCTGGATGTCCTCCCCCAACCACTTGAAGGTCGGACGCCAGTTGAAGACCTGTTGGGGTCCTGAATACAATTAAGACTTATCACTCAACGTTGTCAACGCTCAGCATCCGATATGTTCGTGAACAGTGATGCATGATGAGGCGTCAGTGCAAGATTGTTTTGTAGTTCAGCGCTAGTAACGAATTCGCACACGGAGCCTCAGTGTGCACTAGTCCCCCTTAACAGATTATAGACGAATGAAGATACATTTCTCATAAGTCTGAGTGTGCACGTTCATTCATTTTTTTTTGACACGTCTAAATTGTTATTGCCAGAAATGTCCTCTTCAACAGCCTCGACTAGTGCTGGAATCGAGAGTTGGTTGTCAATACATTGAATCCATGCTTGGACCTCTAGTAACTGGCATAGATTTCTTTGACCATCTGTCTCAAAGTTACTCTCCATGGATGGTGAGGCTTTCACGGGATGACGTGGGCAGCTATGTGCGCTTACCTTGCTTTTAGCGATCCCGCAGCGAATACCGTACTGTAAGTACCCTGCATTTAGCGAAAACATACCATTGTACAGTGGTGAGAAATGTCCACAGTGCCAGTTGAATAATTTCTTGTTTCAACAATGCAGCCGATAGAGTCAATGGCGCAGTAAGCTCCACAACTGAATACTACCCAGACAAAAGACTTAGACCTGTGGACTTGTGGATACGATTGGATATATAAAAAGGATCGTGCAAATGACCGAGGGCTACCAACAACTCTTGATCATGCATAACGCTCTCAAAGTCAACGATATCGTCTACTTTATACTGGAACACGTCAAGTCCTCTAAGTTGGACTTGCGAAACATGGCGATGACCTGCTCCGCGTTCTCAAATATCGCCCTCGACATGCTATGGTCTCAACAGGACAGTTTGACACCCCTCTTCCGGTGTCTCCCGGGAGACACTTGGAATCCCTGGTGGCATGACGTTATGGTGAGTGATGTCTGCCACTTGAGTCTTGACAGGACGATGCTCACCGTACTCCAATTTGCAGAATTTTTCCCGCGAACCGCTACCCACGGAGTGGGAGCGTGTCCAGATCAATGCGGCAAGGATACGCGAGTTGATCTTCACGGGGAACACCCGTAGTCCCCCGAACCCAACTGGCCAGGTCGTACAGCGACTTTTTGAGCTCTTTCCACCCGCTGTGTTGTTCCCCCGACTGCACACATTGCATTTCAACGCAATACCTCGGCACTCGCTGAACTTCGATTCAGAACTCTCGTTGCTTCGCCAGTTCCTTTCACCTAGATTGGAACGCCTCGCATATTACATACAGCCCCGCGCTCCGATGCACGAGGTAGAGCAAATGTTTGATGCCATTTTTACTGAAGCGCCTGGCCTTCGACAACTATCACTACACAGCGCACACAAGCTTTCGGCCTGTCCTTCCAAGGCACCTAAGCTGCCGAAGAAGCTGAATGTCCTATCGATTGGCCCACTCCGCATGGATCTGATGAAGCAGATCATTCCCGATATCCAGCATTTACCCAATCTCCAAACCCTTACACTGGCTTTGAGCAAATCAAGCAATATGGTGTTCCAATCATCAGGTGGTATGCTACTTGAATTGAGTACGCTCAAACATCTGTATCTCACTGGCGCCCGCTTGGAAAATTCCACATCCTTCCTTCATAAAGTTGCCATGCCACGATTGTCGGTCCTCGAAATCTCGTATTACACAACTACTGGACCAGCTGAAATCACCGCGGCCATCAAATCCTTATCTACGTCTTGCAAAACATTTGCATTCCTGGAAAATATCACTGTGGTCGACTATTCGGAAAACCCCTCGGAGGAACTTGGGCCTGACGACCAACTCCATTCCTCTATTTTCCGGCCTTTGCTCCGGTTCAGGAGGCTGTCCAGTGTTAAATTTATTGACATTGGAAAGTACTGCCTAGATGACGCGTTCATCGAGGACGTTGCAGTTGCTTGGCCGGATCTCCGTACGTTGACATTCGCGTCAAACGTACCTGGCGAATATCAGGTCACCTTGACCTCAGTGCTTTCATTAGCGACCAGGTGCAAGTCACTTCATGACCTGCATTTAACATTCGATGCCACACCTTTTCCGACACTTCCCTGTGCGCCGGATGGAAACCCGGAACTTTGGACCACGCAGACGACCCTCTGTAAACTACATGTCGGACACTCGAAGGTGTCGGAAGCATCACGTTTGCACCTCTTCCTAGCAGTGCTGTTTCCAAATCTAGCCGACCTCAAGTATTGTCTCCATTTCAATGGTCTTTCGGCGTGGATAAAATTAGACAAAGCATGGAGCGAACTGCTGATCGAGCGGGAAAACTTTCCAGACGAGGCAGCTTCTTGGCCAAACTTTCTACTGCAGCTACAGCCTTAGTCGGAGGAGGAGACAAGAATGACTAGTGACTTACTGTGAGGATCAATAGGAGGCTGTACATGGAATTTTACGATATGTTAGCTATTATGTACCTTTGCTCTGTATGCTTGCGCATGCCTGAAAGTAGTGAACAAATGTAAATCGCGCTGTAGTTCGTTGTGTTCGGTATCTAAAATTGTACGTCTCATCACCGCTTCTGATGAAGTCTTATCGTTTCACTGGGCTTATATAGAACGCCATGGAACATACACTCGTGGGCTTTAGAGCGTATATCATGGACGCACCTGTTGTCAAAACTGATCCCGCCATCCGAATAGTGATGCATAAGCACGAGAAGTGCGAACCTTCATGCTTCATGCATGATACATGATCAGACCCAGGGTTTTCGCAGGTCTACAGTTCGAGAAGGACTATTCGTTAAACGATCAAATCTGAGATCGGCGCAAGGGCAAGGAGTCACTAGTCAGGAAGAACACTGCATAAAAAATACAGTACAATAACAAGCTTCACATAATACCTCTAATACAGAAGGAAATGTGCAAATAGACTCCCCTCGCAGACGACAAAAAACCTACAAATACAACCTACAAAATTTTCCTTCGGGTACTCAAATATGAATATAAAAAACTACCTCCGAAATGATACAAAAAATCGCCGAGTGCCACCTTCTGTGTAGATATATCTGTTCGAGGATTCCTTGGTAGTATCACATTCAATCTGTTTCCCTCTTTTATTCATCTCCGTACTCACTTTGTCATCTTGGTTCAACCCCCAGACGCTCTGCACCGACGATCTACCCAAATACATCGCCCCAAATGCCCGATTCACACGGCCTCGCTACCCAGTGGTCAATACGGTCCGCGCGCCGCCACACCCACCCCGGGTGTAGCTGAACAGTGCGAAGTCCAGGACAAGTACGGTTCCATGCGATCTACGCGCAGAACACGATCAGTGCCTCCGAAACCACAATCAAAATAGAACAAAGCAGACGTACGATAAGTTCGCGAGTGTACTCGTCAAATGGCTCCGACGTTCGGGGTTCTTCAGACTTAGGATCAGACTTGCGTTTAGATTGGAAATATAATGCAGAGACATTACCTTGCTCATCCATAAAGTCTACGCTGATGTCTTGGGAGAAAGGCAGCTGCTGCAGGCTGAGAACACCCTCCATCAGCGTATCCGTGACTGTATCGATGTCATGCATGCTCTCGAAGTAAGTATCACCGATACCAGGGGCGCCATATATTGTGTCGTCATCACGCTTCCTTGCCTCAAGGACACTTTGAGGGGGCGGGGGAAGAGGGATGCGGAAGATATGTGCGGATACGAGGTGCGGAAGAGCATACAGTGTACGCGAACCCATACCGAGTATAGTATCCTGAAAATGAGGGTCGGAGATGAGGAGGGAGAGACGGAATGAGGGAAATGCAACGCACCTCGCTTGGACCTCCTCTTGCATACCTGATTTGTAACTTAGTTAAATTAGGAAAACGCGCGACAATGGCCAGCACAACTTCGTCATCCCAGTCCCCTATAAATAGGGAGAGCTCTTGTACCCTCGACAAGTGAGAATGCGCTTCTACAAATACTTGGTAGAGTGGCGTGAGCACGGCCTCGTCGCGGATATCAAGTTTGATGATGCTGCGTCCAGAACAGATAGAAGAGATGATAGATAAAGGTGCAGAAATAGCACAGAGGGCTGGAAGAGCCCTTGGTGACAATAAAAGGGCAGGAACGTGGTTTCGCAAGATGAGAGTGCGGAGGGAGGGAAGAGTTTCAAGGAATGAGATGAAACCTGGCGGAACCCTGGAACGGTCTTTATGGATGGGGAACTTTATGTCGAGAGCAGTGAGTGGGGGAGGCGGGGAGGAAGGTGTGAAAACGCGATGTAACCAGACAGTGTGGTCATATGCGAGGGTGCGGATAGTGGGGACTTGTGCAAGCATTCGTAGACGGGTACGGGGATTGCGAGGATTAGTGTCATCATCATTAGATGGGAATACAGCGCGGATATCGAGGAGGGTGAGAGATTGAAGTTTCAGAGAAGTGTGGTCAACATCTATATAGACACCAGTGAAGTGAACGGTGCAGTGCACGACTGCTAAATCACGCAAGTTTGGAAGGTCGCGCAGAATAGAGTGTAAATCTCGCGGGAGAAGCATACCACGGAAGACGAGCTGTCTGAGCGAGGCAAAAGACGTGACTTGGGTGAGGAGATTTTCGTAGACGGTAGCGTCGGCAAGGAAGCGTGGTTGGTAGGCATCCTTGATTTGGAAGAAGCGATACCTATTTGTTTGCCGGTTAAGGGGAATAGGTGTCCAGTCGTCACCTTCCGCCAAGGAAACAACGGCAACAGCTTCTTTTAGCTGCTCCACAGGGCGTTCCACGATGGGGGATATACCAAGAAGAAGAGCGTGCGGTAAAGGCTGGATAGAAGACAATGCTGAGTACGCCGTTACAAACGATGTCGGAGACGTCAGAATCAGATGCTTGTAGAGAAAACGAATGGCGATTGCATGAAACCTCTTCGAGGTTAAGACAACATTACGAAGCGACTGTGAAGGTAGATATTCGAAAATTGAAAGCCAGAGTTCATTTGGAAGCGACATTGAATGGATGACTGTCGACGAAAACGCAGCTGTAGATATTGATGGACAAAATCTTCATGCAAGATCTAAGACTAAGGTATTTAGTTACAAGGTTACTTCGTATCACGTGACTAACCAATGTGCTGTCGACGCTGACTCGGAGATATCGATAAAGACGACGCGGTGCCGTCGAGTGAAATGCAAGTTCGATGGAGGATAGTTGGAATATAAAACACTCGTCAGAGCAGTACTTATTTATACCTAGGGCCTATCAAAGGCGAGATAGTCAAAAGGATAAAGGAGCTGGCCAGAATACTTGTTCACTATCATCAACCGGCAAAATATTGTGGCTGTGGTGTTCTGATCAGCCAAATAATTAAGTAATCATAGCCACTCGATAAGGACACAACACTTGTGGGAACAAGTTGCTGCCGGCGAGCCTTTTCTATAATATTGAGCTGCGTAATGTCCTCGAGTCATGCATCTTTCATTCATTCATGTTCTGCTCATAGGCTGTAACAGTACAACCCCGTCCATTGACAGTTCATGATGGGGCCTTGAAGTTGAGCTTTGGTAAAGACTTGCTACGGAGGCGGGGACAAGCCTTGGAGAGCAGTCACGGAGTGATATTTCACTTAGTATCAAGGTGGACGAATATCTCTACAAAACCGTCATCTACATCACTATCGAAGGCAAGTTTTATTCATCCAGAAACTCTAAGGTTCACTGTGAAAACGTTCTTGCTCATCTATTCGTCGCGATCATAGGCTGCTTCGGACTTTCTCGGCGAGTCTTCCGGAGAGCTGAGGGTTACAATATCATTGCAAGAATCGGAGACGTGATTTCTATCTCTGACATGCATAATGGATGTGAGGATGCTTCAGGTTTTGTAGCAATAAGGATCTCTGATGCACTTTCATTCATATATTGACAGTACCACTAGTAGGCATTTGTATTATACATTCGCTGTCAAAAGCGAGCCCTAATAATTGTATCACCAAATCATTGCTGCCAACCAGTGAAGGAGCCAGCTGAGAAAGCGTTGTTATATCAATCATGGACCAATGGTTTGTCGACTGCACTCCGCCCGGACCGCCCGGCCTCCACGCGCAACAGGCTATCACTCAGGCGATAGCATCTGGTCTCAAGTATCATGCAGTCTTTCGATTTCTCCATACGTGACCAGGATTGAAAAAATCCTCGGTGCATGATGCAAAGGCATTGTCCGTAGAGACTTAACACAGTCTTAACACCAGTAGGTTTCTTACATAATGCGACACTACACATGAAAGATGACAAAATCATGACGATGATGATGTATCAAACCAATATACTCATCAATAACAACGAAAGCTTTGCCTCGCAGACTTTGGTCTTTCGATGACACTCTGAAGCTACTATGTGGGCAATAATCTTACTTCCCGCTGGCGGATGCCCTTCGCGTAGTGGCGGCAATGTTGGGTGGCAGAATGGCGGCCAGTCCAGGAAACCGTAGCGTCGAGCTACAGAAGCTTCGATGGCAAGTAATTCTAATCAACGGCTTGCCATACAGTCTTTGTCCATGTCGATTCACGACGCTTTATACCCTTTCAGTCACCTTTGTATTTGTTACACTGATCATCTTACATAAAGTTCGTGTTCGGAGTGTATCGATGATTATCGATATTATCTTCCATGTCAAGGAGGGAGAGTTTCGATTCTCAAGCAACATCTGTACACGGTCAGCTGCCGCCGTGACTGTACACAGCACTGTCCAGAGTGAGGAAACGCCACGACATTCGAACATTAGCACAAATGACGAAAGAGAGACAGAACGTAGTTTACTTTTCATTACTACTATAAATTCATAATGGGTTGGCAGAGCATAAGCAAGTACAAAACAACAGAACCGTCCGCAAGCGAACGGATCGCTTATACAATATATATCATGTAACAAGTGAACTCCATGCAGTAGTCGTGTGTAACGTATCGACAAAAACAAAGTAAGCAAGCGGGTCTGGGGTATCAAAATTAGACTCGTCGTATCATATTAGCCAACTGTTTTGCGACATCTGGAGATATTCCGCAACGCTTCGTGAGATGAGGAACAATATCTTTGCGTCTCACATGCGAACCCCCTGTGAGTAGCTCCTTTAGCCTGCGCATCAACGAGACGAACAGGTTGTTTCCTCCTATCCACGACTGCCTCTGCCCGTGAGCCGTAAACTGCTTAACGAGCTCACGGATTTTGAGGCGCGATTCCTCATAGCGGAATGCCGCCTGTGTGCCAGCTTGCAGTCCATCAGCGGCAGTGATACACACATGGCCAGCAACGGCGATTTGATATTTAGCCAAGGTCGTTTGTTCTCGATACCACCAATCCTCCATATTCTTCTCTCTTTCGAGGTTTGTGATCACAAGGACAACGGGAACCTTCTTCTCGCAGAGGAATTCGTAAAAGAGCCGATAATTGCTCTGAAGAGTGGCGGTCATTCTGCCGGCGCGGATGCAGAACATAAGCAGATCAATACCGCCTTGCATGTCCAATTCTTTGACCAGCTTGTAGGCGTGCTCGACGGATTCAAGATACTCTTTGATTCCAAGCTGCGGTTCCTCGAGTCCAACGGTATCGAAGACCTTATAACATTCCCCATCGAAGTTGATGTCATAGGGTTGCCAACGGAGCGTGCAGGGTTCTAAGCCAAGAGATGTCTTTGCTACCACCATCCCTGCCATGAGGTTCACGACCGAGCTTTTGCCCACTCCACTCGCCCCAAAGAGTACGATATTCTTTCTAATCACTGATGTTTAGCAAAATACGGCATAATGCGCGTCTGACGATAGAGTACGCACCTTGACGACATTGCAAAGACTGAAGATGATGAATGGAGTATCTTGACTTGCGTTGTCGGTGTTTTTGAGTGTCATCAGTCTTGCCTTCAGTCCCCGCTTCGTTATGATATGACGTGTCCAGGCGTTAAATTTAAAGACCGATCCTAACGCCTGGATTCAGCATGTTCTAAGCCGCATGCAACAAAAACAACATTAAGGTCGGAGGTCCCTGGTTCAACCCTCAGACCCTAGTATTAGTGACCAGACCAGTCCGGGGAACCCGTTAGAACGTAACAAGTTCAGGCGCCAGACTCAGATTGGAATATAGATCCTGATGCCTGGATACAGCATGCTCAATGCATGTGAGAATGGCAAGGGACAACTGTGACCACACAGTCTGTCTGTACTACTAGTACAAGCTCGACACGGTAGAATGTTGTACTGGAAACTTTGGTTCCCGGAGGAGTAATCAACTTCAGCCAATATTGGCCCGACTGTTCCAGCTGGAACCTGATTTAGCTAATTTGTTGCGGAGATTCATACACTTACTTGAGCAGTGAACGTTTGAACACTAGCTTGCGTATCCGAAATGTATGATCTGGAGTGAAGTTGTCTTTGTCCAGGGTCAAGATTTGTTGGAAGGGACTATGCAGATCTCAGGCTTGTGTAGATCGGTTGTTACGAGCTCAGGGATTTGGCGGAACAACGAACCCTGCAGGAAATGCAAGCAAGGAGGGTGGCAGGGCATGACAGCATGTGTAGAGCAAAAGGGTCTCAGTCAACTTATGAAATTGAGAACCGATGCTGCTGAAGCCTGAATGAGCTAAAGTGGGAGAATTCTAGTATCAAGAGCGTCGGAACAGGAAAGGAATTCGTAAATGTAGTACAGGTGGCCCTAGTCAGCCAATTTAACATCGTTTATCGTTTGTCTATGTAGTGACCATCGATGACCTGGCAATAAGTAGTAGAAGTTTCCGACGACAGTGTGTATTCAGTGTGCAGCTGTTATACTACTGCCTGATTATCCTGATCGGCGCAATCATTGGATCCGAGTGGCAGGAGGGTTGGTCTCCGGCAGTTCCGATTGTCGTTCAAGAGGTACCGGGCCAGGTCATTACACACTTGGGACTTCTTGCGCTTATTCCGTATCACTTAGCCTTAGCTATGCAATTACATTCCCGACTCCCACGATAGTGGAGGAGGGTTTTGTCTGCAACAAACGTGCCGTTCTCTACCCAAATCGTGCGTGGAAAAGTAAGTCCTCCCGTGGGAAACTGAGAGACCGAGCAGCAGCGGTAGAATGAAACTGGGGTATACAGAAAACAATCGACGTTGAAAATGGTTCCGGCATAGCGAACTCGACCCATGATGCAGGCAAGCAAGGTCAAATTCGACAACGTCGAACCCTAGTTCACAACCAACTGGCAGGAAAACAGGAAATGTTGAAAGAGCCGGTGGAGTCGGGAACTGGCGCGTCAGCGGCGCTACGATAAATATCACGTAATAACTGAACTGCATGTAGCAATCGTGCGTAGCGTATCGAGAAGGACAAAGTAAACAAGCGAATCTGGGTATCAAAAATTAGTCTTGCTTAATCCTATCAGCCTGTTGAGAGCCGATGTGTCCGAGGGAAGTAAGGCCGAGAGAGAGAGAGCTGAGAAAGGAAAGGACGATACGGCCGAAGAATAGAGCACATCGAGTGCGAGCGTCTCCAAACGGAGAACGTCGACGACGTGTCAACGTCGGCAATCTTTTTCGTTCTTTAAGTATATATTTTTCATCAAAGCTATTGCTGGCAGACTCACCGTATAAGAGGACGCTGTTTTCGTCGAAACGTCTCAGATTCGAAACGAATACTGAGACGTAAGTACAAGTCCCACTGTAACGTTCGAGCGCAAGCGCTGACGTACATCTAGTCGTACCTTTGTTCTAGGTACAAACAATTGTTAATAGAGATTCGAAACGAATACTGAGACTCGTACCTTTGTTCTAGCGTGTCGTAAAACCTCCCGCGTGTATCGTTCCTCCACAGGTTATGAGCCCTGTCTCCTCCATGGACTTGTCGACTCCCAGCACCAATTCAAACCTTTTTAACATCCCGAAGCTCGCCGAAGATGGCTCGAACTGGATAACCTACAAGGAAAGGACGTTAACGGCTATAGGTGCACGAGGACTTACGAGATATACCGATGGACGAGCTAAAGAGCCTACGCCTTTCGTAAAGAGCTCTACGGGGGCCGTTACGAAGCCGGATGGTACAACACCTACGCAGAAAGAAATCGATGAGCTCGACGCAAAGACCGATGAGTATCAACAAAAGAACTCACTCGTAAAACAGCAAATATTTTGCACGATCACAGATCGGCTGCTGTTACGTGTCCAAAAGTTAGCATCCGCGTCCGAAATCTGGAAGGAAATATGCCACATACATGAAGGCAAAACCGAACTCGTCCAGATAGATCTGAGACGGAGGCTCCAGGAGACGAGGTGCGAAGAAGGTGGTGACGTCAAGGCTCATTTTTCAGAGCTTTTGCGCCTGAGGGAGTCGTTAGCTGGAATGGGGGTAGCCGTCATTGATACGGACTTTCATGCCATCATCCTAGGGTCCTTACCTGAATCCTACCGGCCGCTACTGTCGTCGATGAACGCAGCGGCCAAGATAACGAAAACTCCCCTCTCGCCCTACGAACTCATCACCATCATCACAGAGGAATACGAGCACCGGTTACTCACCGAACGACGTCCCAACAAACGCGGGACCAACAGTGCGCTCTCCGCGAGAACAAATGCAGGGAGGAGCACAAGCTCGCAGAGCTCGGCTCCAAAATCCAACCCCGACGCAGTCTGTACGAACTGCGATCGTAAGGGCCACTGGAAGAGTGACTGTTGGCGAAAAGGTGGAGGAAAAGAAGGTCAGGGGCCGAATCAACGGCAGAGACAAGGAGGACGCACCCAAAAACAAAGTGCCAATGTAGCCAAAGAGCCGGAGCCAAAGGACAACTACGCTTTCGCTACGTCAGACCTCGCAGTCATAGCAAAATCGATGGACGTACCTCCAGAGCGCCGAGGAGCAATAGTAGACTCCGGCGCGACCTCTCATTTCTGCCCGGATAGGGCAAAATTTGTATCCTTCGTTGAGATCGCCCCGCAGAAGATATACACTGCGAATGGAGCTACTGTCAATGCGACAGGACGAGGAGACGTGAGGATGGACTTACCGTTGGGCTCGAAACGAACGACCGTGACGCTAAAAGACGTCCTATATGCCCCCTCCATGGCATTTACCCTTATCTCCACCAATAAGATCGCCTCCGCCGGTTTGGCCGTGCTGTTCGAAGGAGGAATGTGCAGGATACTGTCTGCTCCCCCCGAACGAAGGACGATCGCAGAAATACCCCAAGTCCAGGGACTTTACGCTGTAACGTCCGACCGTAAGCATCGTGCCAACGTCGCCAGGACAAAGCTTACCATCAATGATGTCCATCGTGCCCTAGGGCACGTATCACATGCGGCCCTTCTTGACGCAGTCAAGAAGGGCCTAATCCTGGGCATAGACATAGATCCGGCGCCCGCCATCCAGTTCTGTGAAGTCTGCGTGAAAGCTAAGTCAGCTCAGCAGTCCTTCCCAAGAGAAACGAAGATGCGCGCACTTACATACGGAGAACTAGTCCATACGGACCTCTGGGGACCGGCGCAGACGACGAGTTTGGGAGGCTGTAAATATTATGTCAGTTTCACGGACGACTTTAGCCGGCAGACGCGACTCGAGTTCCTCAAACAAAAGAGTGACGCACTTACCGCGTTCAAGTCCTATGAGGCATGGGTGGCCCGTCAATCACCAGGTGTGCGCGTGCGCAAAATCCGTTCGGACAGAGGAGGAGAGTATCTGAGCGCCGAGTTCGATCAATACTTGCGTCAGCAAGGTATAGAGCGGCAGCTAACAGTGCACGACTCACCCCAACAGAATGGTGTCGCCGAACGACTCAACCGGACACTCGTCGAGCATGCGAGAGCAATGCTCCTAGGCAGAGATATGCCAAAGTACCTGTGGGCCGAGGCCGTTAGTTACGCCACTTGGCTCAAGAATCGCCTACCTTCAAGGGCGATCCCAGGTAGCACGCCCTACGAGTTGGTACGCAAGTCCAAGCCGGACTTGTCGCAGGCCCATGAATTTGGGGCCAGGGTCTTCGTCCATATGCTGGAGGCTGGTAAGCTGGAGGCGAGGGCGGAGGAGGCAGTTTTTGTGGGGGTAGACGCTGAAAGTAAAGGATACCGGGTGTATTGGCCCGGCAGACGGCGTGTCTCGGTGGAGAGGAATGTGACCTTCACGCCGATCCTGGCAGCCGATGGTATGCCGGACGAGGGGGAGTCTGCTGTAGTCAACGAACATAACAGCGGCAACGGTAATAATAACTCACCTAGTAGCGTCCAGCCCATCACCATGCCACAGCAACCTCAACCTTCTACTCCTAAGCAACCCCAACCATCTACTCCTCAGCAACCTCAACCTTCTACTCCTAAGCAACCCCAACCATCTACTCCTCAGCAACCTCAACCTTCTACTCCTCAGCAACCTCAACCGTCTACTGCCCAGCAACCTCAACCATCTACTCCTGAAGCGAGGTCGACGAGGGTAAGACCACCCCCAGGGTACTATGCGGCGCTGAATGAGGGCCAAACGGCAGCCCTAACCATGGAAAGCCTGTTGGAAGCGTCAGAACTCGACCTCTTGGATGAAGAGGCGCATATTCACCTAGCATTGGCCGCCGTCCAACCAGAACCGACCCTCCAACAAGCCTTGAAGGGCCCAGACGCTGCAGAGTGGCAAGAAGCCATCAATTACGAAGTCAGTCAACTCGAGAAGCTAGGTACGTGGGAAATCGTAGATGCACCTCGAGGCGTAAACCTTATCCCATGCCATTACGTCCTGGCCACAAAGCGCGGGCCGGACGGCGAGAAGCTGAAGCTTCGCGCGCGCCTAGTTGCAAATGGGCAGCGCCAGAAGTACGGGGTCGATTTCTTCGAAACCTTCGCCCCCACGGCCAATATGAGCACGATACGTGCAGTCCTAACGATGGCTGCTCAGCGCGACTGGGAAATACACCAAGTCGATATTAAAAGTGCATACCTATATGCGAGTCTGCAGGAGGACATATATATGCGAGCGCCCCCTGGATACTTGAAGGATGGTCAGGAAGGGAAGGTACTGAAGCTGAAAAGAAGCTTACCTGGACTCAAACAAGCAGGATATGAGTGGGCGCAGGAGCTAGCTGGAGCCTTCAATGAAATGGGCTTCAGCAGGTCAAAAGTAGATCAAGCCGTTTTCTACAAACGCACCTCGCGCGAACACGTCGTCATCACCGTCTCTGTCGACGACATGGCCGTCACCGCCAACCATATATCCCATATCCATCGGTTTAAGTCCGAGCTGCGCGCGCACTTCGAGATTAGCGACCTAGGGGAGTTGAGCTGGTTATTGGGGCTGAAGGTGACGAGGGACCGCGTAGCACGCACCTTGACACTTTCACAGAAGGCATACGTCGAGACGATCCTCGAAAGGTTCCACCTGGAGGACGCGAAGGTCCTGCACACGCCCATGGAACCAGGTACTGTCCTTTCCATAGATCAGTCCCCTGAAACACACGCCGAACTCCAAGCTATGCGAGACATACCATATCAACGCGCGATCGGTTCGTTAATGTACGCAGCTACGAGTACCCGGCCAGATATCGCTTTTGCGGTGGCAACACTGTCGCAATTTATGAGGAATCCGGGGAGACCCCATTGGGAGGCCACCAAACGCGCCCTGCGGTACCTGAAAGGCACCGCAGACTATGAGCTGACGTTGGGATCCAGCGAGGGAGGAATTGAGGCGTTTGTCGATGCCGATTGGGCATCGCAGCCACATAGGCACTCCATGAGCGGGTACATCGTACTGCTCCATGGAGGCCCCGTTTCGTGGAGCGCGCGCAAACAGCCTATCATAGCCCTGTCAACAGCTGAAGCTGAGTACATAGCGTTGACCAGCGTGGCAAGGGAAGTACTTTACCTGCAACTCCTCATCCGCGAGCTCTACGACGTCCAAGACCTCCCCACACCCATCTTCTGCGACAACCAAGCTGCTATAGCGTTAGTCTCGACGGGAAAATTCCAATCGCGCACCAAGCACATAGACCTGCGATACCACTTCGTACGCGGCCACGTGAAGGACGGTACCTTCAAGATAATCTACCGCCCCAGTGACGACAATGTCGCGGACGCGTTCACGAAGCCATTGGCACGTCCCCGACTCCAGAGGTTGAGGACATTGATGTGTTTGGATAACGCTCGAGGGGGAGTGTTGAGAGCCGATGTGTCCGAGGGAAGTAAGGCCGAGAGAGAGAGAGCTGAGAAAGGAAAGGACGATACGGCCGAAGAATAGAGCACATCGAGTGCGAGCGTCTCCAAACGGAGAACGTCGACGACGTGTCAACGTCGGCAATCTTTTTCGTTCTTTAAGTATATATTTTTCATCAAAGCTATTGCTGGCAGACTCACCGTATAAGAGGACGCTGTTTTCGTCGAAACGTCTCAGATTCGAAACGAATACTGAGACGTAAGTACAAGTCCCACTGTAACGTTCGAGCGCAAGCGCTGACGTACATCTAGTCGTACCTTTGTTCTAGGTACAAACAATTGTTAATAGAGATTCGAAACGAATACTGAGACTCGTACCTTTGTTCTAGCGTGTCGTAAAACCTCCCGCGTGTATCGTTCCTCCACACAGCCAACTGTCTTGCGACTTCTATAGGTATCCCGCAACGCTTCGTGAGACGAAGAATAAGATACTTGCGTCTCACATGCGAACTCCCTACCAGTAGCTCCTTCAGCTTGCGCATGAACGAGACGAACAGATTATGCCCTCCCATCCATGCTTTCTTCTGCCCAACATGTTTCTTGACAAGTTCACGGACAGTGACGCGCGATTGTTCATAAAGATGTTTGTGTCTGCCTTCCAGATTATCGGCGGCGGTGATGCACGCGTGACCAGCGACATTGATATGATATTTGTCGAAGTTATCATGTTCTCGCTCCCACCAGTCCTCCATCCTGCGCTCTCTCTCGAGGTCTGTGATCACAAGGACAATGGGAACCTTCTTCTCGCAGAGGAATTCATAAAAGAGCCGATAATTGCTCTGAAGAGTAGCAGTCACTCTGCCGGCGCGAATGCAGAACAGAAGTAGATCAATACCGCCTTGCCGATCCAATTCCTTGACCAGCGCGTAGGTGTTTTCGACAGAGCTGAGGTAGTCATCGACGCTAAGCTGCGGTTCCTCGAGTCCAACAGTATCAAAGACCTTATAAGACTCCCCATCGAAGTCGATGGCATAGTCTTGCCAATGGAGCGTGCAGCATTTCATGCCAAGAGATGTCTTTGCTACCTCCTTTCCTGCCATGAGGTTCAGGACTGAGCTTTTGCCTACTCCACTCGCTCCAAAGAGTACGATATTCCTTCTGATTACTGGTGTTTAGCAAAATACGGCGTAATACGCGTCTGACGGTGAAGCACGTACACGGGGAAACACAGTTCGATAAGGTCGCAGACAGCATGGCATGACTGTTCGTGGCGCTGCCTGACCTTGTATGTATCACTTTCATTGATGGTCAACGCGGTGATACACGCGTGGCCGGCAAAGTTCATCCCGAAGTCTGAGATGGATGTCTCGTTACTCCTCCACCAATCTTCCATTTCCGGTTCTCGGTTTTCCAGTCCTGTGACGACAAGGACGATGGGAACATTTCCCTTGACTCGGGACAATAATTTGTAGCTTCGCCGGAGCGCTGAGGCGCCCTTTGTGCCCTGCACACAGTACATAAGAATATGTATCTTTATACGACTTTGAAAAAGTGTCTTTAAAGCATTCTCAGCTTGCGGATTGGGAACCGTTCCATAAGAGCCCTCGTCAAGACCTGCAGTCTACTTCAGTGATGCTCACGAAAAACGGCGGATTGTACTGACCAGCCGTATCGAACAGTTGTACCTTCAAGGTCCTGTTCTGAGTCACAACCTCATGCCCGTACACGGTGGTTTCCCTTGTACATCCCTCGGCGTCGGGTGACGTTGGCACCAGCTGCGTCTTGGTAATCAAGTTAATCAAGGAACTTTTACCAGCGCCTGTATGTCCAAAGATGACAACATTGCAAGTGTCTTTGCGATGTGAAGCTTCCTCAAGTTCAAGGCATTTGCAGCCAGTTGCACTCTTATGTGGGGTGTAGACCTGACTTGAAGTTAACTTGCATGCTGGGGATGAGCTAGGCACCACATACTGAGCCGATGGACGATGCTCTCCCAAGAGCCGACGACATTGTAACGAATGAAAATAACAAAAAGGCGGCTCAACATGCATTGTCGGTATTTTTGAATGACACCAATCTTGCCTTCAGTCCCCGCTTCGTTAGAATGTGAGAGGACACGATCCTAACGCCTGGATTCAGCATGTTCTAAGCAGAGCATGCAACAAAAGCATTGCGATCGTGACGTACTCATCTAATGAGTTAAGGTCGGAGGTCCCTGGTTCAACCCTCAGACCCTAGTATTCGTGACCAGAGCAGTCAGGGAAACCCGTTAGAACGTAACAAGTTCAGGCGCCAGACTCAGATTTGAATATAGATCCTGGTGCCTGGATACAGCATGCTCAATGCATGTGAGAATGGCAAGGGATAACTGTGACTGCACAGTCTGTCTGTACTAGTACAAGTTCGCAGGGTCAAGATTTGTTGGAAGGAACTATGCAGATCTCAGGCTTGTGTAGATCGGTTGTTACGAGCTCAGGGATTTGGCGGAACAACGAACCCTGCAGGAAATGCAAGCAAGGAGGGTGGTAGGGCATGACAGCATGTGTAGAGCAAAAGGGTCTCAGTCAACTTATGAATTGAGAACCGATGCTGCTGAAGCCTGAATGAGCTACTAGTAAGGGTGCGAGAGACCTCATACAATGATACATCAAATATCACGTGTCCAACTGTGACCTTTCGTGACAACTGAGTGATTATTCGAGAACAAATTAATATCGAAGTGGTAAAAAAAATGGTTGCACAAAATAATCGAGAGAGATCAATAAACAAAATTGGGTTGTTCCATTTCGTTGCATCACCAAAATTGAATATGTTCTACAATTTTTGGTGTAAGTCACCTGAATGTAAAGCGGCACGTTTCGGCAACTTGCGTGACCTTATCCTCAACCAGTCACAGCTAGTCACACTCACGACGTGATATTCAATGCTTTCGCACGAGGTCTACCTAGATCCGACCATTATAGATGGTGCAGATCGGCCTAAGTACCTGGTAATAGTAGAAACTTCTGACAACAGCGTGTACCTGTGCAGCGGGTGTTATACTGCGCGATTATACACTTTGATCATCCTGATTGGCGCAATCATTGGATCCGAGTGGCAGGTCCTAGGCCTGGTCAGTATAACTAACTAACTAACTATTATGTAAATAATTTCAGTCACCAGCAGGACTTCCAACCCTAATCCTACATAAATCAACCAAAACTATCCCGGATCACAATTCATGGAACATGCTGAATCCAGGCGTCAGATCGGTCTTTAAATTGTAAATATGGCATCACGCTCTAATGCACTGAAGCCAAAACTATTGGCATTCAAAAACACCAACAAGTCAAGACGCCTTTTTGTTGTTTCCAACCGTTACAATGTCGTCGACTCTTGGGAGAGCATTGCCTACCGAATCAGTATGTGTGTCTGACTCTTCCTTAGCATGAAATTTAATTGAAGTCAGGACGTCGATGATGGTGTCGCTGTTGGAGAAACAGGCGGTACTGAGAGTTCCTCGACCAACTCGACCACTGGGATGCAAGGGATGCCGATGTTCCCCAACCCAAGGCCGTCGTCTCCTGAGGCTAGGAGAATATTGTCCACCGAATCCGTATGTGATGTCTGTCCTTCTTGAGCATGAAGTTAACTTGAAGTCAGGTCCCCACCCCCAATCAGAGTGTAGCTAGCGACAACTCCCATCCAGTCCAGAGTTCTCGCTCTGCGATTCTTGCAGAAACAGACAATGGTGGTACTTCTCAGTTTAACTTATTTGCGTGGCTGCTTCTCAAATTGTCCACCGTATGTAGTGTCTGCTCTTCCTCGGCATGACATTAACTTGAAGTCAGTTCTACTACACCTTAGGTGAAATTGCAGCTGGACGCAAATACCATGGACTCGAGGAAGCTTCGCACCGCAGAGACACTTACAATGTTGTCATTTTTGGACAAACAGGCGCTGGTAAAAGTTCCTTGGTCAACTTGATTACGAAGACGCAGGCAGTGCCAACATTCTCCAACGCCGGGGGATATAAAACCAATGTATACGAGCATCATATCGTGACTCAAAACAAGATAATCAAGGTACAGCTGTTCGACACGGCTTGTCAGTGTAGTTCGCCACTCTTTATGCGGTGTCACTGAACTGGATCGCAGGTCTTGATAAGGACTCTAAGGGAACGATCCCCGACACGCAAGCCCAGACGGATCTAAAGAAGCTCCTCGGAACTCTTATGACGAAAGGGGTCATTCATCTTCTCGTGTACTGTGCGCAGGGCACAAAGGACGCCTCGACGCTTCAGCACAATTACAAGATAATGGACTCCGAAGTGAAAGGAAGAGTTCCTGTCGTGCTTATCGTTACAGGACTAGAAAACCAAGAACCGGAAGAGTGGTGGAGGTGTAACGAGAGATCCATCTTAGACCTCGGGATGAACTTCGCTGACCACGCGTGTATTACCGCGTTGGCCATCAATGAAGGTGATGCAAATGAGGTCAGGCGGCGTCGCGAACAGTCATATCGCGCTGTCTGCAACCTTATCGAACAGCGTTGCCCACAGAATGGCACGGGCGTGCCTACCATTCCTCCCGCAAGGTACGTACTCCGTCGACAGATGCTCTTTGCGCCGTACTTTGTTAAACATCGATAAAATAGGAAGACTAAGAACATCGTACTCTTTGGGGAGGCAGGTGTAGGCAAAAGCTCAGTCGTCAACCTGATGGCAGGAAAGGAAGTCGCGGAAACATCTTCTAGCATGCAACGCTGCACGCTCCATTGGCAAGATTATGCCATCGACTTCGATGGGGAATCCTATAAGGTGTTCGATACCATGGGCATCGAGGAATCGGGACTTGAAAAACAGGACTACCTCGTGGCAGTCGCAAATGCCTATAGGTTCATCAAGACATTGGATGCGGAAGGCGGCGTTGATCTGCTTCTGTTCTGCGTTCGCGCCGGACGATTCACCACTGCGCTTCAGAGCAATTACAGATTCTTTTATGAATTTCTCTGTAACAAGAAGGTACCCATTGTTCTCGCAATTACGAACCTCGAAAGGGAGCAGAAGATGGAGGACTGGTGGGAGCGAGAGCATGGCATTTTCACTCGATACCAAATACACGTCGCTGGCCACGCGTGCATAACCGCCGCCAATGAATTGGAAGGCATACACCAACAACTTTACAAAGAATCACGTGTCGCGATCCGCAACCTCGTCAAGGAGCATATTGCTGGCGAGTACAATCATGCATGGACGGGAGGGAACAACGTGTTCGTGTCTTTAGCGCATGCGCTCAAGGAGATTCTTGTAAAGAATGCGCATATCAGAAAGGCAACCCTTGCCGGTCAACTCGCGAAGCGTTGTGGCATGTCCCCAGAAACAGCAAGACAGTTGGCCGATATGATCGAGCAAGAGAGTTCAAAGTGACTGATTAATTTCCGTCTTGTCGTGCTCTTGTAATTGTAGATATGTGGCTAGGTGTTTCTTATTCCTGCTCCTTGATCACTGTACAGTAAATTCGATTATTTCTCCCAGTTTGAATACGAAGATTGTTTGGCATACTTGCGTGCGCCGCCGATGGTGGGAAATTCACATCACCTTCGGAAGGTTAGCAAGTCGTTCTGACAGTAACGGATATCACCACGTTCGACCACCAATTTTGCCTTGTCATGACTGAATCAGGACTTACTCGATACGCTCCAGTGCGTTTCTGTGATCAGCTTGTTGAGCCAAGTGAGGAGCACTTAGCATATGTGAATGGTACGTTGGACAGGCTGTAGCCATGGTTGAATTATCGGCAGGCGAATTTAATGACGTATTTCAGTGTTATCGCGTACGATATAGGGCCTTTAGCGTGCAGCGTGTACATGCCATGATGCGATCTTAGATCGATCTTACCAACAGCCTGCTTGCAGGCGTTGTACTTAGTAAGAGGTGGCATAATTACTATGTCTGTTTAACTGCAAAAAATTACGATTAGCTAATGTAAACGCTGTAAAGCAGATTCCTCGCAAGATTCCTCCGCTACCCATTAAAATATTAATCATTGGCCGAGGCCCGAGCGCCACCGTAAATTTCTCGACATAAGTCTATGTATATCTTTTGAGACAAGCTCGAGCCACCGCGAATTTCAAGATGCCCAATCTTCTGATGGGCGCATCTGAGCCACTGATTCTAACACCTGTCACCCGGTCTGTCATGCACATTCAAGTTGCAGAAACGTGTCGCCGGAAACATTCCATGAGGCTACTCTTCCTTCCCCATGCGTAAAGAAATTCAAGATGCTCGATCACTTTACCTATCAATCACCGAACCTTTGTGATTCTGTGAAGCAGACAAGTTGCTTGATACCACGAGCTTGCATCAAGGTCAGCGAACTTGTCATCATGGTCCTTTACACACTCCTCAGCTCGCGTTGAATACACTCAGGGCTACTTAATGGTCAAAATGTCAGAGATTTAACCCATGATCGCGCCGCAGGAGGACAGCTCTGGTAATGTACCAGAAACAGCGCACGAACCACCACAACCGACGCCTATCACAGACCAAGAGGTGGGAGAATATTGGGAGCAGGATCGTTTCCCACCAGTGCGCACTATCATTCGTCTGGCTTGATCGAGTTTTTTGATCTTTCTGATAGATTGCAAATGTCTCCCGTATCATGAAGCAGTCCGTTCCACACACCGCTAAATTGCCAAGGATGCCAAGGAGTGCGTTCAGGAATGTGTTTCAGAGTTTATAAGTTTCATGACTTCTGAGGCCGCTGAGAAATGTCAGATAGAGAAGCGGAAAACAATCGGAGGCGAGGATATCCTATACGCCATGGTGTCTCTAGGGTTTGAGAACTATGCGAAAACACTGAAGATTCATCTGGCAAAATTGAGACAGGCGCGTATTTTTTTCGTGATATGCTTCATGGGTTGTATTAAAACTTGCGACAGCACCAAGCAGGATCTTCGTCGAAAAGTTTGTGTTCGGAGTGTATCGATGATTATCGATATTATCTTCCTCGCACGCCTGCCAAGTGTTATAACAAATACATTGACAATTGACGGTGGACGTCCAAGTAGATTATACACAGAACATCGACGCTTCAACAATTAACCTACATAGAAGATGTATAACCTACAAGATTTATGTTTTTTCGACACAAACTGACAATACCATTTCACGGTGAATGGCCATGTCAGCGCCGAAATAAACACCAAGTTCGACCTGTTTCCATATTTTCATTACTTCATTCCCAATACCCTTTTCATCTCAATTGCCAGTTCTGCCCCCGCGCATTCCGAACTAATGATCTCCTATTCAAATATGCGTGATTATAATCGGGGATGCTGGCCCGGATGGCCTCCAGCCAGTGTTGCGTGCTCTTGATTCAGCATTTTTTATGATATCTGCGAGTAACCTCGCGTCGCAAAGTGGCGATTCGAAAACATCGCCAAAAATGCCTGATTCGCACGGCCTCGCCACCCAAGAGTCAGTAGGGTCCGCGCGCCGCCACACCCACCCCGGGTGCAGTTGAACAGTGCGAAGTCCGGGACAAGCACGGTTCCAAGCGATCTATGCGCAATGATGGACATGATCAGAACACCCAAAACCGTGCGGATACAACATAGTAGACGTACGACAAGTTCACGAGTGTAATCGTCAAACGGCTCCGTCTCCGACACTTGGGGCTCTTCGAACTCGGGTTCAAAGTTGCAATTATAATCCAAATTATCGACAAATTGGTCAAGAAGTTTCTGCTGCTCAACAACTTTGCACTCTTGGCACGGCGACACGATGGGAGTCCCGTGGCAACAACACACGGTGTACGTGTCCATGTCCATGCCCACTGGCACATCCAAGTCCAAGTCCAAGTCTATGTCTTGATAGATGGTATGAATTGTATTGTCGGAGTTGCGAGCGTGGCGCCGGTAGGGTACGCCATAATCATCATTGTCGTTATCCTGCTCCGAGCTCCTGTCTGCGTCCGGATCGATGTCATGCATGCTCCGGAAATAAGTGTCGTCGATACCAGGGGCGCCGTATGCAGTATCGTCATCAATGTTGTTCGTCTCGAGGAAATTGTGAGGGGGTAGGGGAAGAGGGATGCAGAAGATGTGTACGGATACAAGGTGTGGAAGAGCATATAGTGTACGAGAACCCAACCCGATGATGGTGTCCTAAAAATGAGTATCAGCGTCGGCGAAAACGAGAGAAATATAACGCACCTCGCTTGGCCCTCCCCTTACATACCTGATTTGTAACTTGGTTAAATTGGGAAAATGTGCGACGATGGCCAGTATAAGCTCATCATCCCAGTCCCCTACGAACAGCGAAAGCTCTTGCACCATTGACAAATCAGAGTGCACTGCTGCAAATGCTTTGTAAAGTGGCGTAAGCGCAGCCTCGTCACGGATGTCGAGTTTAACAATACTACGGCCAGAACTGAGAGAAGTGACGGCAGAGAATGGGGCAGAAATGGCACAGAGAGCTGGAAGAGCGCTTGGCGACAATGAGAGTGCTGGTACGTGGTTTCGCAAGATGAGAGTGCGGAGGGAGGGAAGAGTCTCAAGGAACGGAATGAAGCCTAGCGGAACTCTGGGACGGTCTTTCTGGACGGGGAACTTGACGTCGAGAGCAGTAAGCGGGGGGGATGGGGAGGAAGATGTAAAAGCGCGGTGCACCCAGATGGTATGATCATATGTGAGAGTGCAGAGGGTTGAGGCTTTTGCAAGCAGGCGTAGACGGGTACGGGGAAGATTCAAGTCGTCATCGTCAGATCGAGAAGTAGCGCGAATGTCAAGGAGGGTGAGAGTTTCGATTTTCAAGCAAGTGTGGTCAATATCTGGAGGGGCGCGGACGAAGGGAACGGTGCAGTGCACAACCGCCAAATCACGCAAGTGTGGAAAGTCGTGCACGATAGAATGGAAATTTACTGGAAGAATCATACCGCGGAAGACGAGCTGTCTGAGAGATGTAAAGGAAGTCACTTGCGATAGGAGAGTGTTGTAAAGTGTCATATCCGCAACCAGGCTTGGTCGGTAGACATCCTTGGTTTCAGAGAAAAGGGCCCTGGTTGACTGGCGATTGTTATTAGCGTTGACAGTAATTGGCTTCAACCCGTCAAAGGAAACAACGGCGACAGCTTCTTGAAGTTGATCTACGGTCCGTACGAACGGTGAAATACTGAGAAGAAGAGCATGCGGTGAAGGCTGGATGGAAGACAGTGAGGAGCGCGCCGTTATAAATGATGTCGGGGACGTCAGAATCAGATGCTTGTAAAGAAGACGAATAGCGACTGCATGAAATTTCTTGGACGTTAAGATAACATTACGAAGTGACTGTGGAGGCAGATATTCGAAGATTGGAAGCCAGAGTTCATTTGGAAGTGTCATAGACGAAGACACTTTCGACGAAGACGCAGCTGTCGACATCATATTGACGATGATCCTCATGTACGTACGAGTTACGATAACCTGAGCTCCTTTGTTGAGGGCATAGTGAAAATGCTGCGCCACTGCTGCGACTGCTGCGCGGCAACTGCCGCTGCCGCTGCGATGTTCCTAAATGGTGAGTGCGCATTAACTACACTTACTTACTGCCACTAATCACTGGAACCTCCCAGTACTTGTCCTCCGAACGAGCCATGGACTTGAAGGTGCTCCAATTCCTTATATGTATATCCACGCTCCCAGAGCCACGGTCAGGTGATAAGTATCATTGAGATTCACAGTACTCCCGGTCTGCAAGTCAGGTCTCCAAAACACATCAGTGAAAAGTGGGGCTGCGGGGTAGTACTACATAGCCTATGTTGTGTGAATAGTTGGGTAGCTACCCCCCACTCTCAAACACCTGGTAGCACGGTGTTGTTACAATATAGCTTGTGATAGTGCTTGGTGGCTGCTGAGTCTAGTACCTGCATTGTGGAAGTAGGTTAATGTAGTACTCTATAGGATAAACCATATGTGTGGTCATCAGCAGTATACAGTGGCTCAAAAAAGTGTCTCAATGTTTGTAACATTTCATGTAATTGCTTTATTATGAGCCAGGGTGTGGGAATATGACTAAACTATAGGAAGGCGTCATAAAGCTATACTTCTTAGCCTCATTTGAGTTCCCTATAGTGTGGGAAGCTGATGTCATCATGTGCAGATATGGCTATTTTAATTTGGTGACTCATTGAGACACTTTTTTGACTTTTAGTTTGATCAACACAATCTCAATAATTATGATACTTTATGTGACCTTCTGTTGCTCTAATCACTTCTGCCACTCTTCTAGACATGCTATCTATCAATTTTGAATATTTCTTCTTAGCACTCCTTTCTCACTCTGCTGCAACTCTGTCCTACAGCTGAAATAGCCCCTATGATGAATTTTGATAGGCTGCAAGCAATTTCTTGAATATTTTTCAGATATATTCAATAGGGCTGATGTATAGGGACTATGCTAGACATGATAGAACATTGAGATCGTGGTATTTGAGCTGCTAGTGACTAAATTGAAAGCTTACCTCACATGAATGAAGATCTCATATTTACCATATTCTAACTGGGCAGGCTGCTAATGCTACTCAGGCCACCTGATTCATCAATTCCATCATCTCCAGCTCTGTTTCCACTCAAACCATCAATAATACTTGCAAGGCAACAAATATTAAAGCTACAATCAAGAAGAAGAGGACTCTCCTATTCCTAGCCTATAGAAAGAGAAAGTAAACTTTAGCTTTAAAGCACCAGTACTGGACTGGAAGAGGACTGGAAGAGGACCATATTATAAGATCAGACCAAGATAAATATGATGAGGTCAGATGGCTGGGAATACATCTGTAAAAAGACAGGTGAACCACTAAAAGAAAAAAAATTGTGTAAACTCTTAAGTGTAGAGTAACAAACATAGAGGTATAGGACTGTATGAGATGTAATGGAGTGTATATTCTCTGTGTGAAGTAAAGTGAAGGACCAATACCAAGTGGTACATCTCTATTTTAGATGAGAGTCTGCTAAGAAGCATACAGAAATCATAGATTAATGAGGAAGGTACTATGTTGCAATAAAATAATGATCCTAAATATATGTCTAAATTGGTCACTAGCAGCTCAAATACCACGATCTCAATGTTCTATCATGTCTAGCATAGTCCCTATACATCAGCCCTATTGAATATATCTGAAAAATATTCAAGAAATTGCTTGCAGCCTATCAAAATTCATCATAGGGGCTATTTCAGCTGTAGGACAGAGTTGCAGCAGAGTGAGAAAGGAGTGCTAAGAAGAAATATTCAAAATTGATAGATAGCATGTCTAGAAGAGTGGCAGAAGTGATTAGAGCAACAGAAGGTCACATAAAGTATCATAATTATTGAGATTGTGTTGATCAAACTAAAAGTCAAAAAAGTGTCTCAACGAGTCACCAAATTAAAATAGCCATATCTGCACATGATGACATCAGCTTCCCATACTATAGGGAACTCAAATGAGGCTAAGAAGTATAGCTTTATGACGCCTTCCTATAGTTTAGTCATATTCCCACACCCTGGCTCATAATAAAGCAATTACATGAAATGTTACAAACATTGAGACACTTTTTTGAGCCACTGTAAGTCTATAGTTGACAGTAATTCCACGCAGTCACTCGAACCATTGGCAAACTGTCAAAATAGCATGCATTGGCTGATATAATAATGTACACTACTACTACTCATCATCCTCATCATCACTTGATACACCCCTGCATTCATTGTACTCCTCGATTGCAGCCTCAAATGCACTACGAGCCATCGTGCAGCCAATTTCGTTGAAGAACGAAGGTAAGATGAATTAATAAGGCCAAGGACGAAGACATACCGGCCATTATCATACAGACATGACAACAGCTTGGGTAGCAGGCCTTGAGCCTTGGTGTGTTCATTGAAGTCCATGAGGTTGTTGAGATGTTTGTCGAGCACATCCTGATACTCATCCACAGTGAACATCTTGTTCATTTGAGCTCCACTGCTCCACTCGTCGATGCAACTTTCAATCTGATGGCAATCAGCACTCAATCCCCACAGCAAAAAAAAATGGTACCACAGTCAAAAGCAATGCAAAGGCAACCTCTGGGAATGGTTTGTAGAACTCAGGATATAGCACACCTTCATCTTTCTTGTTGCGGAACCATATGGTGTTGACACCCTTCTGGATAATCTTGGCACTGTATAAGCCTTTGTTACCATTGGGGGAGTGAGTCTAAAAAATTGTGTTGAGCAAACACACAGCAACATAAATGGGTACTTGCCTTATAAACGAAGGCAAAATCCTTCTTGAGTTCCTGTGCAAGCATGATGTTGCGATTGATGACAGATTGCTTGGTGCTCGTCTCAAACCCGTACTCATCTGCAACATATGGCCGGACTTTAGTCTTGACTTTGCCATGAAGGTAGGAACCTCGCAAAGTGATCTAGGTAACACATTAGAGATAGCATGTTCACAATAAAAATCATTGACCATTTTTAAAATCTTCTCCGCATCATAAGCAACTTGAGTATGTAGCCTCTTATATGCTTCATTCCATGCTAACTTGGCCCATGTCACCTCCTGCATATGGTTGGGCATGGGACCCTCTGTGCAGAGATGGCCACAATAGAGTGCCCATGCCATGCCGAAGATAGTGCGAACAGATGGTTCATAATCAGCAGCCTTCGGCTGTCCCTTACTTTCCTGTATCTTGACAGCCTTCTGCACTGGCTCGCTGTTGTCGTCACCATCAGATGCTCTATGGTGACATTTGCCCACACATTCGATGCTGGAGGATGGGGACCTACTACCTTCATCATCAATATAGTTGTTGTTGTCAGCCACGAGTGAGTCATTACCCTGGTCCCCATCCATGTTGAAGTCGACCAAGCCTAGGGTTTGCCTTGGGTGTGGAAAAACCTGCGGTGTTAGGGTTAGGGGTTGCACGGGTTAGGGTAAGGTACCATATTTGGTACACTGAGGCCAAACCGTGTACCCGAACTGCGGTATCATGGGTAGTAGCGGGTGTTCTTGTTGTGTTGCACCCACCTAGTTCACTTGACTTAAAGCTTGAATATCACTCTGATTTAATTGTTGAAGGCTTGACTTGGCGGCATGTTGATAACACTCCCAGGCTGCTAATTGTTGCTTCCCACGACTCGGACACACACACACCACTAGCATGGTCGGAATACTGGCACACTACTGCTCAAATCGGACCAATAGTGAAGAGTCAAAGGGTCAATATATTGAAAACTGGCTTCAGAATACTATAAAATGGACACTGGTACACCAGGTAAGTCATTGGAACTTCCTCTCAGTATGGCAAAGCCAACTGATACATCCTACATGAAGTCTTCGCCTATCTCCCGAAAGACAGCACCTATCAAGAACCTTGCACGGAAGAGTGTCCAGGCCATTTCACGACCACTTAAAAAACTCAAGAAATCTATCTCTACAATGTCTTCTCAAGTTTCTACCAGATCTTGCTCATCAACAACAACGCTCCCACACGGTGATGAGAACAATGACAATAACAATGAAGAAAGTCAGGCGGTTGATCATAGCGAGCCCGAGAGCACTGAGCTGAGTCCTGAACAAGAACTTGGTATGTTTATGTGTCATTCCTTTCACTTCAACACTAATACCTACTAGAACAACTTAAAAAAACCTGGCATTCACTGATCTACGCGTTCTTCAAACCTACTGTCATCTTTCAGTACCATGATACACGACCATGTCACTTTTTCACCTGTGCTGCTCCCACATACAAATTGTATGCTGGTGGTGTTCGCCGATTTCAGGATTCAAAGGACAAGTCTTCAACAGCTAATCTGAAGCATCACGCCATTCGTTGCTTTGGTGAAGACACCATCAATGCTGCCATCAGTGGTAAGGCAGCCTCTGAATGCAATGGCTTGGTTTTTGCCCTCTTTGCACGAAACGGCAAACAGCCAGTCAAGTATTCGCATTGTGTTCACACTAACCCAGAATTATGGTATGTTCTTCTTTTCAGTGTACTTTCACATTGGAATACTTACTGTAATGGATAGCGCCCATCTTGTGCGATGGATCACCGAAAACAACCGACCTGTCAACATCATCAATGACCGGGAATTGTGCAATCTTTTGACAGCTGGCCGACCAAGTGTTACCCTTCCTTCCAACCAAACCATCTCTCGTGACATCAACACATCTTTTGAAAAGTGCAGGGTGCACATTGCAAAGTTGCTTCAGGTGTGTCGTGCGTCTGCTATGTAGTCTTCAGCATTTTGACTAACCTCACAATTACAGGATTACCCTGGTCACATTCATTTTGGAGCAGACACCTGGACAGCTACCAATCATTGCGCATTTGTGGCATGGACTGCTCATATTGAGTATGAAGGTATCATGCTTGCATTTCTACTTGATATAGTTGAGGTTCCTGAAGTGAGTCAATAATATCTAATCATTCTCTCAACTCACCCTTGTTTTTCAGTCTCACACAGGTGCTACATTGGCACGCGCATTTCAAAAGATGCTTGAAGATTTTGGACTGACTCAGAAGATTCTCACCTTCAATGGGGACAATGCCACATCCAATGACATGCAGACAATGACACTCGACCAATTGCCCAACTCGTTCGCCAAAGAAAATCGTGCCCACTGCTTCAATCACACGCTCCAACTTTCCACCAAGACTCTCCTACGACCATTCAATATGACACTCTCTAGCAAGGATGACAATGACAATGCACCGAAAAACCTTGAAGGTGAAGTTGATGAATACACAATGATTGAATATGACGAAGGCCAGGGTGAAGAAGATGAGCAGGGTGAAGACGAGAGCAACAATGAGGATGACAAAATTGATGAGCTGCAGGAGCTGGGTGAGGTTGAGCAGGCCAGACTGCTGGAAGACACTGCCGCTGTCTGTGACATGGTCACCAAGGTAACATATGTTTTCTTTGCCAACTCTGTCATACACTAACTATTCACTACAGATATGAAAACTCTCATTCGCAATCATTCATTCAACTACAATAGCTCTCCCAGCATGGTGGAAGGTTTGCCGTGAGCTCGACCTCAAGGAATGACTTATCCCACGTGATGTTGTCACACGCTGGAACTCAACATATGACATGATGAAGTTTGTGCTTGCTTATAAGAGTGCGATTGACAGGATTACGGCTGATAAGTCATTGAAACTGCGCAAGTACGAGCTTGACAATGAGGACTGGGGCATCATCAAAGATCTTGTTGCTGTTCTTGAGGTGCACATGCTTATTTGCTTTGGATTCGTTTAGCTATTGATTCTTCTTTGTGTATAGACATACAAAAAGCAACTCTTTTCTTCTCTCAAGATTCAGCGAGCATTGCTGCTGTGATACCTGCAATGGACAAGCTTGACTGCCATCTCAACCCTCATACCAGGAACCCATACTATCCAGCCATCAAGGCTGCTATGAAGCTCGCATGCAAGAAGATCAACCACTACTATTCGATGACCGATCTTTCTTCCTTATACCGAATTGCAATGGGTAAGCATCCGATCTATTTTTATTATCACAGACAACTCACCTTTACTTAGTTCTACATCCTGGTCTCAAGCTCAAATACTTTCGGCAGCAAGAATGGAATGACGAATGGATTAGCCATGCGAAGGAGATCACGAGCGAAGTATATGTCAAACAATATGAGGGAAAATCAAATCCTGTGCAAGTGCTTGATTCCGGCACAACAAATGACTTAGTAAGTTTCCTACTGCAATATATCATATGTTTTTGATACTTATTATCCAGATTGACGATGACAACTTCACATCCTTTGCAAATATTTCAGTGACTGCTGGTATTGGATCTCGGACTAGCAAGCTCGACGAGTACCTCTGCAAACCAGTCGAGAATGTCAAGGAGCCTCTTAAGTGATGGGTTTCTAACTGTCACATCTATCCAAATCTCTTTCAAATGGTGTTGGACTATCTGAGTATTCCAGATACTGTTTTTTTAACTTTGTGTTATAAATTCACAACTCATTTATTTAAAAACATAGCTATGTCTACCACAGTCAAATGGGTCTTCTCACAGGGTCGCCACTTGCTGTCTTTCACTCGCAACCGCCTTCAGGGTTCATCTATTCGAGCATTTCTCTGTCTCGGCTCCTGGGCTCGTCATGATCTTATCTTATTTGAAGACCTTGTAGCTGCCATGAAGGCTAATTCTAAGAGGAAACGAGAGTCATCGGATGTCGAGTTGATTGAGTAAGTGTCATATCTCGTATTCCGGACCTACATCCGATAATATTCCCACGCCTCATCCGGACCTTCGGATGTCCTATCCATGTCTCCAGTACCCATCCGGATCCCTGCACCTCTGCACATCCACATCCGCATGTCCACGTCCAGATCCCTTATCCTTCGCAGCTAGCCTGCATCATTCATCCTTGTCCCATCGCCCTAATGCCACATCCTATATATCCACGCATCTCATCTGGACCATATCCGATCCGGTCCGATCCGATATATAGATCCGCTTCCGATCCGATATAGATAAGCTTCCTAATTCATTTCCTGTTCTTATAACGTTATACACAGCCTATTCGGTATTTCCTCTATCCCACTGTTTCGGTTATATCTATTACCGGTATGCTTACTGATCCATTAACCTATGTTCATTTCTGACTGACGTTTGTTAACCTTTGCATATGCTTCATACATAGCCTCGGACTCTGCTTATTGATCCTTCCGTTATTTCTCTTAGTATATAAACTCGTGTATATGTCTTGTAGTACCTCAGTCTGAATATCATATTAGTCCTCGCACTAGTCTTCACTCTAAGTCCTCATATCAGTTCTAGTCTTCCAACTTAGTTGATATCCATCTCAGGCCTAGGGAGTTTCTCCCTAGGCCAGAGCTCCACTTATCCGATACTCCGCTCATCCGCTCATCCGATCCTCCGTAGTTTCCGGAAGTTCATCTGGATCTTTCCCGTGGTCCTCCGGACCTATTCTGCTTCGGACTTTGTCCTTGCAGCCTTTCCTCTGTTTACTTCTACTCAGGACAAGTCCTGAGTAGCCATTATACATATCCGTATCAGGACGAAACCTCATTGTAATTTCCGGAAGTTCCTCCGGAACTTTCCCGCACTCATCCGGAAGTTACTTGCACCCATCTGGAAAGTCCTTCCGAAGTTTCCTGCGCCTTTGGATGTCCTTCAGATGTCTTCGGATGTCTTCGGACTTTCCTCGGACACCAATCTGAAATTAAGGGCACATACTCGGGTAAGGGGCGCAGCGCACGAGCTGAAGCCAAGCCCCTCAGAATCAGTCCTACCCTTTGTACATGGTCTTAACAGTAAGCATATTTCTAGCATTTAGTTATCCTTTGTAACCACAGGTTTCAATGACACAGCGGGTTTCATGTGACACCGCTGTTTTGATGGTTTGATTTATACCCCTATTAACTGCGGGTTTCATGACACTGCAGGTTTCATGTGACACCATTGTTTTGACGGTTCAGTTTATACCCCTACCCCTGATGGGTGGGGTGTGCAAGGGTATGGGTAGGGTGTGTGAAAATAAAACCCTAGGGTTACCCATAGAAAACCTTAACCAACCCTTCAATAGCTTCGTCGAATAAGGCCTCGTCAGTTGGGCTAGGAGAGCGAGTTATAGTATTGTTGAGGCCTGAACTAGGGTGGGGACCACCTGCAATTGAGTAGACATAGTAGGCTGCTATTAAATTCGGCACAATTCAAATAAATACAGGTACTCACCTCGAGACAATGCCGCAACTGGACTCATTTCTTGTTTGGCCAGCACAGCCTCATGCAGACACAACAGCTCAGCAGCTTTTTCTGGTGTCAATGTGTTGAGATGTGGAGTCTTGTTCTAGTATTACTAGTCAACAAAAAGCACGATGTTGTAAATAGACATACCAATGTGACCTGGTGTGGTGCGAGTGGCACTGTACTTTTCCATGCAACCAAGTTTGGGTCCCTGGCAGGTGTTGACACACAGTTTGACTTGTAAACTAATGGTGTGAGGGTCATTAAAATTGACTATTGACAAGAATACTAACAAACATACACCAGGATCTTCACTCAACAGCACTGCGGAGACTTGAGTGCATCCAGTATTGTTCTTGTAAGCTTCGTATTCAGCAGCCTTGCTTGCCTTCTGACGAGCCTTCTCTTGACATTCATGGGCCTTATTGACCTGCTGGTGCTGGTGATTTTCTTTGTCCTTGTGAGTCTCAGCTTCGAATGAAGGTCAAATCAACATGACATGAAAAAAATTGTAATATGAAGACTTACAGATATACTGAGCTCTCTCAGTAGGACGGTGATCACAGCGGGCCGCTGAACGTTCAACTGCAGACATTCTGTTGGAGAAGATGGAGGGGAGGAAGAAAGATCAACAAAGTTGATGACATGATAAGGTTTATTTGCAAGCATCATTCACCGATATGGCCCAAGAATCATGACAGAGCCTGTCAGGATGTCAGTCTGAGACATGGGCTGATTTTGGCACAGAAACGCACTGAAACCACAGTAAATATACAAAATACAGGTAGAATCTAGAAAAGAATCTACCCAAGTGCCTTCAGTCAGAACTTCGAGTCTTGAACAATGTCATACACCAGGCAGAAACCGCGCTGTAATTTCTGTCTCAAAGAGCTCAGCTGACACAAAGATGTAACCTCACACATTCAAAACACTCCGACATGTCGCCAACAATGGGACCTCATGGTCTCACATCAAAACACCAGGTGTTCAGAACAGGTCGACAGCCAATCTAGCACATCAGATACATTGACACCCCAAGACTATGAATATGACATACCCGAAGACGTCGACTATGAATTTCCGCACAGATCAAGATATGAGCCAGAGGACACTGAGTCTTTGATGAATTCTGGCCCCTAATCCAAATGTGCAAGAATGGAGGAAGTAGCAGATGAAGAAGAGCCGACATGATTTGCCAAGGTTTTCCCACACCCAGTTGCAGATGTTTTGGGGGTCGGACAGACTGTGTTTGAAGAAATTTGGGAGGCTCAGGTTGACATGGGTCTGGAGAAAAATCCATGGGCACCTTTTGATGATGAATATGAGTGAGGCCTTGCAGAATGGCTGTCGAAGAGAGTCAACAAGACTGCGACCGATGAATTCCTTAAACTGGCCATTGTAAGTCTCCAAAATGTCTTGGCATCTTCCATCACAGACAAAACCACCTACCTAGACGAAAAATCACATCAGCCAAGCTTTACAAGCAACTATACATTTCAAAAGAAACTCGATAAACTACCTACAGGTCCTGGATGGACTTCTGAAATAGTCATGTCAACAGGAGATCAAGTGGGTGGAGATCGGAAGCCATTAACAGAACAACATTAACTTTGGCAGGGTGACCCTGTGGAGTGTGTGCATGATTTGATTGGTAATCCCACATTCAAGGATTACCTTTCATATGTTCCCGAGCAGGTTTTTGCTGATCCGCAAGGGACGACGTGGGTATATGATGAGATGTGGACTGGTGATTGGTGGTGGAACATGCAGGTAAGTGAGGCAAATGTGTGAGATTGAATGATAACCAATTGTGACATTAGGAATGCCTACCTTCAGGTGCCATTGTTGCTCCAGTAAGACTCGCATCTGACAAAACAAATCTTACCCATTTTCATGGCAATAAAGCTACATGGCCAATATATTTGACCATCAGAAATATCAAAAAGGACATTCACCGTCAGCCTTCTAAGCATGCAACAGTGCTGATAGGATACTTACCAATATCGAAGATGCTGCATTTCAAGGATGACGAAGGACGGCAGATTGCTCATTATCATCTCTTTCATAACTGTATGTGGTTGGTGACAAAGCCACTTGTCAATGCCGACCGTCACAGAGTGGATATGATATGTGCTGATAGGAATATCTGATGCATTTATCCTATTCTTGCAGCATATATCGCAGATCATCCCGAGCAATGCCTGATCGCCTGCTGTAAAGAAAACCACTGCCCTTGTTGTGTTGTAGGAATGAAACATCACGGAGACCACTTCGACTCACCTCTTCAAGATGTCAATGAGACTTGAGCAACTCTCAAACACCATAAAAATGGTGAAGACCCTCACCTTTTTGAAGATCACGGTCTTCGTGCGATATATTTTCCATTCTGGTCACATCTTCCACACACCGACATTTTCATGTGTATCACTCCGGATATTCTACACCAGTTACACAAGGGTGTTTTCAAAGACCACATTGTGAGCTGGTGTTCTACAATCATCTCTGACACAGAGTTTGACGCACATTTTCAAGCTATGTCTGATTTTCATGGTCTCCATCACTTCAAATGGGGAATTTCAACTGTCTCTCAGTGGACTTGCATGGAGCATAAAGAGATGCAGCACGTTGTCTTAGGCGTCATCGCTGGTGCTGTTGAACACCATGTGTTCCAGGCTGCACATGCTGTTCTCGATTTTATTTACTATGCTCAATACCAAGCTCACATGGACACGACTCTCGCATGGATGCAGGAAGCACTGGATGTGTTTCATGTGAACAAAGATGTTTTTATTGAGCTCAGGCTTTGTCAACACTTCAATATTCCCAAGGTTCACTCAATGTGCCACTATGTGCAGTCCATCTGAGCATTGGGCAGCGCAGATGGTTTCAACTTGGAGAGCCCCGAATGCTTGCATATCGACTATGCGAAGGATGCTTACCAGGCAAGCAGCAAAGTAGATTATATTGTGCAAATGTGTTAAGACCATGCACAAAGGGTAGGACTGATTCTGAAGGGCTTGGCTTCAGCTCATGCGCTGCGCCCCTTACCCAAGTATGTGCCCTTAATTTCAGATTGGTGTCCGAAGAAAGTCTGAAGACATCCGAAGGTGCGGGAAACTTCGGAAGGACTTTCCGGATGGGTACAAGTAACTTCCGGATGAGTGCAGGAAAGTTCCGGAGGAACTTCCAGAAATTACAATGAGGTTTCGTCCTAAGTCAGATACGTGTAATGGCTACTCAGGACAAGTCCTGAGTAGAAGCAAACAGAGGAAAGGCTGCAAGGACATAGTCCGAAGCAGAATAGGTCCGGAGGACCGCGGGAAAGTTCCGGATGAACTTCCGGAACTTCAGATGAGTGGAGGAGCGGAGGAGCGGAGCTCTGGCCTAGGGAGAAACTCCCTAGGCCTGAGATGGATATCAACTAAGTTGGAAGACTAGAACTGATATGAGGACTTAGAGTGAAGACTAGTGCGAGGACTAATATGATATTCAGACTGAGGTACTACAAGACATATACACGAGTTTATATACTAAGAGAAATAACGGAAGGATCAATAAGCAGAGTCCGAGGCTATGTATGAAGCATATGCAAAGGTTAACAAATGCGAGTCGGAAATGAACATAGGTTAATGGATCAGTAAGCATACCGGTAATAGATATAACTGAGGTACCGGGAACAAGGAATACCGGATAGGCTGTGTTAACATTATATGCACAGGAAATGAATCAAGAAGCTTATCGTATATCGGATAGGAAATGTATCTATACATCAGATAGGATCAGATTGGACCGGATCGGATGTGGTCCGGATGAGATGCGTGGATATGGAAGATATAATATTAGGGCAATGGGACAAGGGTGAACGATGCAGGCTAGCTGCGAAGGTAAAGGGATCTGGATCTGGATGTGCGGAGGTGCAGGGATCCGGATGGATAGAGGACTGCAGACATGGATAGGATATCCGAAGGTCCGGATGAGGCGTGGGAATATTATTGGATGTAGGTCCGGAATACGGGATATGACAAAATGACTCATTGGCTCGAACTTCAAGAAGCCATCTTTCGACATGGCATGTTCCTCAATTGGGTCGCATCAAAAGGTGGACTTGGCGAATCTCTCGACTCAGATTTGCTCGAAGACGAGGATGAGGAACCAACATTTGCAGATTCAGACATCATTCCATCAGGACTACTGGCATCACATGGTTACCATGTTGCCAAGAGTTGCCCGTTTCTCGCTGTCTCCGTGTCTCGTCTGCAAACAGATTTTGGCACCCCGTCATCAGTGTTCAAGACCTTCTGCAAGCAGCACACCTGATGCCAAGGTTTGGATCAAGTAAGGTAGATGTATCATGGATCAACAGCAATGTTCTTGAGCTCGCTGACGAGTTTTATGTTAACCCTTACATTAATTTTCACATTTTTGATACCATACAGCACTTGTACTAGTGGTCACGCACAGCTTATTGTTCATGTAGTTGCATTGCTATACATGGCCCTTCACATCGACGACTAGACTACCTACAGCTATGGAACACAAGGGTATGTCTACTGTTGCTCAGGTGTTACATGACTGTCTACCCCAGGCTACTGAGTCTCCCAGTCATGATGTAGCGTTGGCGTGGCGCTACGACCCAAATTGCTCTTTCCAGATGCAACTATCTTGTTACTAAATGATCGATCTTTCATATTGCATTGTAGCTTGATTCCTCTGCATACAATTTTTATTTCTTCTTAACAAGTGACTGTGCAGTCGCAGGCAATGGCATCATCTCAAGACGTGGTCAGAGCTACTTTTCTTTGCTTTCTCGGTTCTCCATGGGGTTTTGTTACCTGTCATTTCTGAGGTGCTGACGTCCGTTTTTTTTTTGACATTGTTGCTGTCACTGAAATCTGGCCCACACTAAGATGATTGTTAACTAGGACCGTTTTAAGAATCAAAACACATCATACCTCAAGATCTCTTTCATCACTGCAGGAAACCTACATCTGCACCACCACCGCACTTTCCATGCATCTGTCTCCCCATGAAATTGAATGAGTTTGACAGGATACCAAAACTTGTCATGGCAAGTGAGCGCTCCTTTTCCTGCACTGTGGTTGTGTCAACATATGCAAGATGATGGCTGCAGCATGTGCTTACAGCAACCATTTAGCCCCACAGCTCGGGCATGTGCATGAAGATTGGTGGCTGAGCATGCTAACTTTTCGTTAGGTGTAGTATACAAGTAGGGCGAGCATGGTCACGATTGTCGATGTGTTTGTAACATATGCCACCATGACATGAGTAGAGGATGCATATGACTTTTCTGGTGCATTCCTGATGAACGAGTTTTCTTCCACAATCATTAGAAGCGTGCAGTTGACTGATGAGTGTGAATTTGCATAGGATGTGTGATGGTTTAGCAAGTTGGCTCATCAGAAACAATGATTCTGAGTTCAAGACATGTATATCATGTTCAAAAACTATCTTGCCAGTTCTCAGCATCATCACTCCGTCCCTTATCGCTTCCTTGAATCCTGTTAGCCCAGTGTTGTTGAGGGCACTGCATTAGTAGGATAATAAGAAAATCAGCTTGATTTGGAATTGAATATGAGCTACTGACAAGTGTTGCAGCACTGTGTTGCGGGCATCGCGGTCATCGCAGTCATCGCAGTCGTCGCAGGCACCTTATTTCCATATTTGGGGGATGCTGCGATATGGTGCCCATGACGACCGCGACGCCCGTGACAAGGTGCTGCGACACTAGTATACTTACTTGCTGAAAATAAGCTCGAGCTGTATAGCACATGGTCCTTCAGCAGTTATTTTGCACATCATAGTATTGCATACTCGCATTTGAATAAATACTTCAATGGTGGATTTGCATATCACACAAGTTTGAAATAGTAGCTGGGACTCAGAAGTTAGAACACACTGTAGATTAGTCTCCAGTAACACAGTTCAAGACAACAATAACCAAGTGAGTTTATATCAATCATGTAAAGTCCTTCAAGGCAACAATGCAGAGTCCATAGTATGTGGCCAGCAACAAGCAAGTGTATTTTGCTGGTGAGTTAGTTTGCTGCTCTACTTACTTCAAAGTAGTAGTGTATACTGTATAGCGTAAATTTGGAACGTCGCGGCAGATGCCGCGCAGCAGTCGCAGCAGTGGCACAGCATTTTCCTAGTGCCCCTTTGTTGATGGACACCAAATAAAGGCACACACTTTTTGTGGTAAGACAATTATATCATAATGACGCTGATGCACCAAGTCCCTGACTCCCATCTTTCCTAGAATTCATCATGCTCAGGTTACTGCCATGCAGTGCATTGACATGCAACTTAGTAATCGCGAGATTGTTGTTGGGTAAATACATGCAGTTTGTGATCTGTTCTGCTCTTGACTCCAGTGAGATCCAATGATGAATTATTTTGTCTTGTTTGTCCAGGCTTGGCATTTACTTTCTCTCTAGTTGGTGTCGAACATGTAGGCAGAGTAGCTAGCCCATGTTAATTGGCATGCTTTTTAGATTAGTATTGAATGCAAGAGCATGACAGCTCACAATCAGGCAATGAAAAATCGGATATGTGCGCATCAAGTTATTGTTAATAGTTTGTTTATCGGTATGTCGAGTACCAGCTTACCTAATCACGCAAGTACATAGTCACATTAGAGTTACTCACACCTCAGTCCGCTACACTACGAGTACGCGACTGAGGTAAGACATTCATTACTATAGTTCATTCCTTTACTAACTTCACTAGTATACACTCGTTTTATCTAGGTTAGTATTAGTCCGCTACACTACGAGTACGCGACTGAGTATACACTCGTTTTATCTAGCCTTCCATTTGTTCCCGCACATCGCAACTTCAAACAAAAAGTTATGAGCCCTGCTTCATATTCAAGCACACAAATAGCCTAGTAGTGACAACTTCCTACCCTCTACACAATGTCCAACAATCCGTCAATCTCGCAAGCCCAACATTCACAAACACAACTCACTGCCTCGTCAGCATCTAGTTCGAAGAAAGTAATTCAAGCTTCAAATCGACTCTATGACATTCCGTCACTAGAGAATGATGGCTCTAACTTTCAGAATTGGAAGTTTCAAGCGAAGAAAGTACTCACAGTGAGGAGACTTTGGGAGTTAGTCACTGGAGTGGAGGTGCAGCCCCCTGCCACAGACCCAGATGCACTAAACGAATGGTTAGAGAAAAATGAGGAAGCACATGCACAGATCACACTCATGCTGAAGGACGAACCACTAAACGGAGTCCTACACACAATGTTGGCATCTGATGCCTGGACAAAATTGTGCGAACAATATGAGGGAAAGGGCAAACAAAGCATAGCCTACCTGATAGGCGAATTGTTTTGAGGAACTCTGTCAGACGAGTCACCCCTAGAACCCCAGCTCAATTCAATGCGACAGAAGGCACAAGTACTGAACTCACTCGGCCAAGCTCTCGAAGACTCTCTAGTAGCCATTGCTATGATCATATCACTTCCTCCTTCCTACTCAACTCTCTGAACAATTCTCATGTCAACGAGCGACAAGATCACAATCGAAGGTACTATCAGCCAGATCCTGGTCGAGGAGAAGTCGCGTCGAGGTCCAGATTCTCAAACAGCTCTTGTAGCCAAGACCTCAGACAGGTCGAAAGAGAGTTCTAAAATGGATAAGAAGAAGAAACCTGGCAACTGCAACTATTGCAAGAAGCCAGGCCACTGGGAGAGAGATTGTCATAAGAAACAGGCTGAAAAGGCTAAAGGACCCAGCAAAGCCAAGGACGACGAACAAGATAAGCCAAAGACAGAGTTATCAGCAAAAGTAGCAGCTGTAGTCGAAGAAGACGCACCAGCATTGCAACTGTTTGTTGCACATGACTCTAAAGATGAACCTAACTCCGTGGAATGGATCGTCGATTCTGGTGCTTCAGCAAGTATGTCGTGCTGCCGAGATTGGTTCAGGACATTTCATCCAATAGTCCCAGT